TAGTGGTGCTGCTGGAGTAGGTGCTACTGGAGGTGCTGGAGCTGGAGCTGCTCCGTCTTCTGGTGGTCCGAGTGGCGCTGGAGGTGCTGCTGGCGCTAGTACTTCTGAGGGTGCTGGGGTTGGCGCTGCTGGAGCTGGGGGTGCTACTGGCGCTAGTGCTGCCGTTGGGGGTACTGGTGCTGTTCCTGCTGGTTCTGGGGGCACTGCACGGCCGCGGCCGTACTTCGTTCCGCTCCTTGAGCAGGTTCTTGGTCTCCCGTCCTCTCTTGGTCCTGCTCCTCTCTTAGAGTGTCCGCCGCCTGTCCCGTCCGAGTCCCAGTTACAGCCAGCCTCCCCACTGCCTGCTCCCTCTCCCTACACTGGTCCTACTGGAGGTCTTACGGAGCGTCGTGAGCCCGCGTCTCGTCCTGCGTCACCTGTCCGTGCTGCTCGTACGAGTGGTCGTGGTTCGCGTCAGCGTCCTCCGCCTGTCCCCGGCACGCACCGGATGTCTCTGCGTCCTTCCACTGCTCCGCTGCGTGCCCCTTTGCCTTCTCCTCCCGAGTCCTCTCTTCCTGCTCTTGCTGACCCGGAGTCGGACTCCCTTCGTGCTGCCAGTCCTACTGTCACGCGTCTCCTTGCTACTGTCGTCACTGACCCTTCCTTTGAGTCCACTGCTGCGTCTGCCTTAGTTGCTGAGCTTGTCGACTTCGCTGCTCACTGTCGTCTAGACTACGCCGCGAGTCTTGTTGCTGAGTCTGAGTCTGTCTGTCCTCCGTCCGTCGGGGGTGAGTGTGCTCTTAGCACGGACGTCCTTCAGGACAGGCAGGAGGAGTTCCAGTGTTTTGCTGCTACTTTGCCTCATCTCGTGTCCATGCTGATTGCCCCTGAGGGAGACCCGGATGCACCAGACATCCCGACTCCTCGATCGTACGCTGAGGCGATCGAGGGTCCCTACTCCTCACAGTGGCAGTCAGCCATGGACGTAGAGATGGCTTCCTGGAAGTCCAAAGGCACCTACGTCGACGAGGTTCCCCCACCTGGGGCGAACATCGTCAGTGGCATGTGGATTTTCAGGGTGAAGCGGCCGCCGGGTTCTCCGCCTGTCTTCAAGGCGCGTTACGTGGCTCGAGGCTTCAGTCAGCGGCAGGGAGTTGACTACTTTCAGACCTTCTCTCCCACCCCGAAGATGACCACTCTTCGGGTGCTGCTGCACATAGCCGCTCAGCGTGACTACGAGCTTCACTCTCTTGACTTCAGCACAGCTTTCTTGCAGGGCAGCCTGCACGAGGAGATCTGGCTGCGCCGCCCACCTGGCTTCACTGGGTCGTTTCCTCCTGGTACCCAGTGGAGCCTCCGGCGGCCAGTCTACGGTCTCCGCCAGGCGCCCCGTGAGTGGCACGACACACTGAGGACTACACTTGCGGCTCTTGGGTTTGCTCCTTCTACTGCCGACCCGTCGCTGTTTCTGCGCACCGACACCTCTTTGCCGCCGTTCTACATCCTCGTGTACGTCGACGACTTGGTCTTTGCCACTGCTGACACTGCTGGACTCGCCCACGTGAAGTCCGAGCTGCAGAAGAGACACACGTGCACAGACCTGGGTGAACTGCGCAGCTACCTTGGCTTGCAGATCACCCGGGACAGAGCACAGCGCACCATTACCCTGACTCAGTCACACATGGTGCAGCAGGTCCTTCAGCGCTTCGACTTCACGTACTCCTCGCCTCAGGCCACTCCTCTGTCTACTCGCCACTCGCTCTCAGCTCTGCCTTCGGATGAGTCCGTAGAGCCGAGTGGCCCGTACCCAGAGCTTGTTGGCTGCCTCATGTACCTGATGACCTGCACTCGACCTGACCTTGCATACCCTCTTAGCATCTTGGCACGCTATGTTGCTCCTGGGAGACACCGACCAGAGCACATGGCTGCAGCGAAGAGGGTGTTGCGCTACTTGTGCAGTACGTCGGGCATGGGGCTAGTGCTTGGAGGGCGGCATTCAGTGGTCCTCACAGGTCACGCAGACGCTTCTTGGGCTGACGACCAGGCTACGCAGCGGTCGTCACAGGGTTACACCTTCAGCCTTGGTTCCGGCTTTGTTTCGTGGCGGTCTACCCGCTCGTCTTCTGTTCTCGGCTCCAGCTGTGAGGCTGAGATCTACGCGGGGGCCATGGCTGCACAGGAGCTACACTGGCTCACCTACCTGCTGACTGACCTAGGAGAGCCGCCTCGTTCTCCTCCGGTATGTACGTAGACAACAAGGCCATGCTGGCCTTGTGTCGGGAGCACAGACTGGAGCACAGAACGAAGCACATTGCTCTTCGCTACTTTCTTGCTCGTGAGCTGCAGCAGCGTGGTCAGCTGCGCCTTGCTTATGTGGCCTCTCAGGCCAACACTGCTGATATCTTTACCAAGACACTTCCGCCTTGTGATCATCAGCGATGTTGTACGATGCTAGGTCTTGTGCCTACTTGGCCTCACTTGCTTACTTCTTGACCTTGCCTGTAACGTGATCTTTCTATACCTGCACTTGCTTGTTTACCTTTATATATGATCTTGCATGTGAACTGGCCTTGTGGCCTTGAACTGGTGCTCGGAATGTGTGGTGACGTTGTGATCCACCCTGAGCTTGCTTTGCTTTGCTTGACTGGTCTTGTGACCCCTTGTTCTCCCCCACTTTGCCTATGGGGGTGTGTCAGACTTGTATGACTTAGCCTGTGTAGGCTATAGTGGGGTAGCACATATGGGGTACAACACATTTCTAGGTTTGTACTTGTACCCAACCTTTCCCTTAGTCAACCACTTCCTCGTTATTCTCACAGTAGCGGGTGTCACTAGTGCGGAGGTGTGTAATGAGGTCAGCGACTGTGGGAAAGGCGGCGAGGTCAGGGAACAGGTACGGCAGCATGAGGCGACTAAGGGCAGCAGTGGCAGGGGAAGAGTAGCGTGCAACTACAGCGTCGTACAAGGTCTTAGCACTCTTGTACTGACTAAAGTGCGCGCGCTCAGAGGACGGAAGGTGACTACGCACAGCAAGACGGGCAGCAGCATCGCGTGTGGCCCACTGTGAGCGAACAGTACTGTCAGCATCGGCAGTAGGGGCAGCAGAGGCGCCTGACGTGAGATCGAATAGTGAGAGACCGTCTTTTCTATCGCACTGCAGAAAAAGCTGCAGATCATCGACCCAGACCTCAAAGTCGACAGCCCGACCCTCAACATCAAAGGTGAGCACATTGGGGGTAGCCATGTCAGCAGCAGCAGCAGGCTAGCAGCAGCAGCAGGCTAGCAGCAGCAGCGGCAGCGCGACTCGGCTAAAGGGGCGCGGCTCGGCAGGGCGCTTACCAGTGGCGAGTGGGTAGGGTGGCTGCGACCGGAGTGGCAGGGCCGAGGTGCGCAGGCAGGGTCGGGGCCGCAACTGGGCAGCAGGGTAGGGCCGCGGCTCGGCTGCAGGTCAGGGCCGGGGCAGCAGGGACCGCAGCAGCGGCGGCGGCGCACGACACCAGCAGGGCCGGCAGCTGCTGTGGCGGCAGGGACGGCGACGGCAGCTGCTGCAGGGACAGCCGCTGCTGCAGGAACAGGGACGACGGGGCGGGAGGGCCGCTACAGCGGCAGCAGGGGTGACGGCAGCTGCTGGTGAGGCGGCGACGACGGGGCGGCAGGGCGGCTACGGCGGGCCGCGAAGGGGGAGGGGGGGGGCCGCGAAAGCGCCGCCAAGGGGCCCGAAGGGGCCGCGAAGGGCCGCAGAGGGGCCGAGAAGGGGCCGCGAAGGGCCGAGAAGGGGCCGCGAAGGGCCGAGAGGGGGCCGCGAAGGGCCGCGAAGGGGCCGCGAAGAGCCGTGAGGGGGCCGCGAAGGGCCGCGAAGGGGCCGCGAAGGGCCTTAAGAGGGGCCGCGAGGGGCCGCGAAGGGGTCGCGACAGGGCCGCGAAGGGGCCGTGAAGGGGCCGCGACGGGGCCGTGAAGGAGGGCCGCGAAGGGGCCGCTAAAGGGGCCGCGAAGGGGCCGCTAAGGGGCCGTGAAGGGGCAGGCCACTAAGGGGCCGCGAAATTTTAGGGCAGGACGCGAAGCGCGCTTCGGGCAGGCTAAAAAAAAATTCGAAGGTGGGCCCTTAGGAAGAAACGGTCCCACTAGGGAACCCGCTCTATACCATGTGAAGAATGAGGAATGAATTGACTAGGAATGTGAAAGGTACAAGTACCGTATGAAACCGTAGAATATCTGTACCCCCTATTGTCTACTCCACTACAGCCTACATAGGCTATATCATATATGTCTGACATTCTATGCGCACGAACCAAGTCCAAAGGGCTCAAATAGTTCTATTTGAACGTGGGCTACTCGAGAATGCAATAACATTGAGGTTGTTGAATGTTTTTTTCTACGCGTATAGGGATTCATGCGATGTCTAAGCATTTTTCGGCAATACCAGCCGAAATCATAGGCACCGAACTTTTCTTTACACAAGAACCAAACCAAAAATTCTCTAAGAGGTGCATTTGAAGATGGGCCACTCGAATATGCAGTAACATTGAGGTTGTTGAATGCTTTTCCCTACGTTTTAGGGATTCATGCGCATTCTAAGCATTTGCCCGCAAAAACAGCGCAAATCATAGTCGCCAAACTTTTCTTTGTGCAAGAACCAAGCCAAAAAGGCTCTGATGGGTGCATTTGTTCATGGGAGACACGAATATGCAAAAACTTTGAGGTTTTTGAATGCTTTGCCCTACGCCTAAAGGGATTCATGTGTTGTCTAAGCATTTATCGACAAAGACAGCCGAAATCATAGGCGCCGAACTTTTTGTTGCGCACGAACCAAAACGAAAGGGCTCTTGTAGGAGTATTTGAACAAGAGCACTCGAACATGGGCTAGAATATGCAAAAACATTCAGGTTGTTGAATTATTTTCCTTACGTCTATAGGGATTCTGTGGTTCGGTACATCTGTAGGGTGAATATTTGTAGAGAAGAGCGATGCACCGTGCACAGAGGCAACAAAAAACACCTTACAGTAGTGTGCTTTGATCTGGACTACAGTGCAAACTTGGTAGAAAAATCGATTATAAACGCAACAGGAATACATGCTCGTGAGAATTCAACAGGTTTGAGCGCATTTCGCCTGGCGGGTTTCTCAATAACACAGTTGAGATACAATTGGTGAGCCTCTATCTCCCCGCGGTCGGGCTTGGGCATGAGCGTCCAGTGCAGGCGGCGGTAGCGCAGCTGCTGCAGCACGGCCACATAGAGCACCATGTCGTCTACTGGTGCATAGAACATCTCAAACCACATGAGGCCGCCTGGGGAAAAGGAAGGGGTGGGGAGAGGTGGGTGGAGTGGGAACATGAGCGTCCAGTGCAGGCGGCGGTAGCGCAGCTGCTGCAGCATGGCCACATAGAGCACCATGTCATCTACTGGTGCATAGAACATCTCAAACCACATGAGGCCACCTGGGGCATGGACAGGGGCACAGGATGGGATGAGGTGGGGTGGCGTTGACGTGTTCGGCAAAGGAGGGGCTTGACGACAAACACAATGAATGGTGCGTTGGATGCGAGTGGGGAGAAAGAAGATGTGGAAGGATGGCTATTTGGTGCAGCAAGGGGGTGATTGACCCGGTCTGAGCATGGATTTGGTGGGAGCTACAAGGGAAGAGGCACTGACCTGGTCTGAGCACGCGGTCCCACTCAAAAATGAGCTCTTCAAACTCCATCACGGGCATGTACTTGACGCTGTTGACGCTGTGAATCACGTCAAGAGTGTTGTCGTAGAATGGTAGCCGCGCCTGGTGGGGGGGGATGGCACAGAGCCACAGCGCACGGGAGCATGGCAGGGGGAATGTCACAGGCATGTACTTGACACTGTTGACGCTGTGGATCACGTCAAGAGTGTGTCGTAGAATGGCAGCCTTGCCTGGTGGGGGGTGTGAAGGAACAGAGACACAGTCGGGGCCCACAAGTATGGGTACGGGCATGGGTACGGGCATGGGTACGGGCATGTACTTGACGCTGTTGACGCTGTGAATCACGTCCAACGTGTTGTCATAGAATGGTAACCGTGCCTGGTAAGGGGGAATGACACAGAGCCACAGCGCACGGGAGCACGGCAGGGGGAATGGCACGGGCATGTACTTGACGTTGTTCACGCTGTGAATCACGTCTAGTGTGTTGTCGTAGAATGGCAGTCCCGCCTGAAAAGGGAGATGGTGGGCAGTGTCACGGGAGGGTAGGGCATGGGAACGGCAGGGGGTGGCAAGAATACGATGGGGAGCCAGGGCAAGAGGGCCAGGGAGCAGAAGCAAGGGGTTTGGCCTTAGCAGGTGCAGGGTTGGTGGCAGCAATCAAAACTCATGGGAGGGTTGTGGTGGGCGAGAGCTGGAGCATGGTGAGGCATCATGTGGGGGAGGCACCTTATGGGGCAGGAAGAGCGGGATGAGGCCGCGCATGGCGATGGCTTCAAAGTAAGGCAGCCCCGCATGCCGCCCCGACACGGTCTCGTAGTTCATGGCTGTCGTCATCACCGTCACCCCGTGCCGTGCCATGTGCGCTGCGAAGCTGCCCGTGCCGCCTCCCACGTCCAGCCCCAACCTGCAGCAGGCATCAAGGCAAGGAATTATTCATAGGTGTGAGACAGTTTAAACATACACAAGGGACGTTGCCTGCTGACACGATCTCGTACTTAATGGCTGTGATCATCACCGTCACCCCGTGCCACACCATTGCATTGCAAAGCTACCAATACTATTACCATTACCATTACCATTACCACAACCATTACCATTACCACAACCATTACCATTACAACAATCATTACCATTACCATTGTCATTACCATTACCATTACCACAACTATTACCATTACAATTACCATTACCACAACCATTACCATTACCATTACTATTACCACAACCATTATCATTACTATTACCATTACCATTACTATTACCATTACCTCAACCATTACCACAACCATTACCATTACCATTACCATTACCATTACCATAACCATTACCATAACCATTACCACAACCATTACCACAACCATTACCATTAACATTACCACAACCATTACCATTGCCATTACCATTACCATTGCCATTACCATTACCACCATTACCATTACCATTACCATTACAACAACCATTACTATTACCATTATCATTACCATTACCATTACCACAACTATTACCACAACCATTACCATTACCATTACCATTACCAGTACCACAACCATTACCATTACCACAACCATTACTATTACCATTACCATTACTAAGGTCAGGTAGCATGTGTGTTGGCAAGTAGTGGGATAATAAGGTTCTGCACATGGAGTAGCATGCAGCGCAAGTAGTCCAGCACACCTGAGGGAGCCGTTTTTTAGTTGCAGCACGTCTTTCGTGGTGGGGTTGCCTTTGGAGACGTCTCAAGAAGCTGCTACGATGGGCAAGTGTGCACTCGGGGTAGCGGATCCAGATTCAACACACCTGAGGGGGTCGTTCTTCAAGAGCAGTGCGTCCGGCATGGTGGGATTGCCTTTGAGACGTCTCAAAACGTGGCTACAAAAAGCGGTGCACACCTGAGGGAGCCGTTTTTGAGTTGCATTACGTCGTGCATGGTGGGGTTGCCTCGAAAGCGGTGCTGCCAGCGGTGGCTCTCAAGAGACAGGTTGAAGCAGTTGCGACAGTCGCCCAGAGCGCGCGTGTTAAGGCAGTGGAACGACCCGCACTGCTGCTGCTCCCACCTCACCCCCCCGTCTGCCAACGCCGCTTGATCGAATAGGGATTGTGGGAACGGCAATGGCTGGGGGAATGGGGAAAGGGGGAGGGAGGGGGGACGGGGGAAGGGGGACGAGGGGGAAGAGGTTGAAGTTGCAGCAGTCACCGAGTGCACATGCGTTGAGGCAGTGGAAAGACCCGCACTGCTGCTGCTCCCACAGCACTCCCCCGCCTGCGAACACGGCTTGATAAAATAGGGATTGTGGAAACGGTAGTGGCTGGGGCAAGGGGGAAGCGAGTGGGAGAAGGGAGTAGGCGGAAGGGGGAAGGCACAAAACAGAGGAGGGAAGGGGGAATGGGGGGGAAGGGACGGGGGGAGGTCGACCGCCTGTGACGATTATCTTGCCTTAGTAGTCTAGCCTGTGTACAGCTCCAGCAAAACCTTTCTTTCAGGCCAGTTCTACCACTGTCATAGTACATCAACTGCAATGCACCTCTCTCATCTCTCCCCTCCCACCTCCCACCTCTCTATTCAACCGCACCCCTCACTTCCACCGCACCCCTCACTTCCACCCCTCACCTCTGTGGGTTGCTGCGGCGTGCGCGCAAGGCAGCGGCGGGGCGGCAGAGAGAAGCAGTTCTTGAGAAACACGAGCTCTTGCACGAAGAACCAGTCATCGGGGCACAGCGCCCTCGCCTCAATATCTGTGTACTTCTGGATTTGCGATGGTGCTGCCTCACATGCGTAGCCCTGCCATACAAGGGGGGGTGCAAAGGGGTGGCTGGCAGGTATAAGAAACACGAGCTCTTGCACGAAGAACCAGTCGTCAGGGCACAGCGCCCTTGCTTCCACATCTGTGTACTTCTGGATCTGAGACGGTGCTGCCTCACACGCGTAGCCCTGTAGTTTTATGGGGGAGTTTGTGAGAATTCCCAGGAGCGACTCCGAGAGAGCAAAGAGATGAGTTTAGAGGCGCCTCACAAGCAGTCTGTGTACATATTTGAAGCAGCGGAGAGGTGGGCTGGTTCACGCAAATTGGGCGTGGCTGCTTGGGGGAGGGTGGAGTTGATTTATGAGGCACCTCAAAAATCGTCTGAAGCAGCAGAGAGATGGGCTGGTTCACGCAGATTGGGCGTGGCTGGTTGCGGGGGGGTGGAGTTGCACTGACCTTCCAGGAGAGAGGCGGGCCCTTGGGGCCGCGCTTGGACTGCCGCTGCAGTGCCCGGCGGTCGAGAGAGAGCACGGCACAGCGGTCTGGGTGAGAGGGCGCTGTGGAGAGCAGGAACTGGTGGGTGGATGAGGGCGGACAAGGAACAGGGGCGTAGGGGGGATGGGAGGAGAGGAGATGGGAAAGGGGGAGGACACCCCGGTTGAGCAGGTTGGAAGGGAGAGGTAGAGGGAGATATGTGGATGGGAGTTAACAGAAACTTGCACAGTTGGAAGTGGACTTGTAGGAAACGATGCAGGACAAGGGGGCCAGCAGATGCACGCGGTGCAAGAAGTGATTGGGCTGGAGAGTGAGGTGAGGTGAGGTGAGGTGAGGTGAGGTGAGGTGGCAACGTGAAGAGAAATTAGAGGGCACAGAAGGCTCAGCGAAGCAGCACACAGAGAGGCGCTTGAGGCGAATGTAGTGCATATCACAGAGTGTGTTCACTGGGAGGTACATGGCAGGTGAGGTTGGCCGTGGCCCAGTGTCCCTCACCCTGCAACACTGGGTGGCTTTTAAGTCGACCCAACAGTCATCCTTTCTCTTCCTCTCTCCCACCCAACAGTGCCGTGAGAGAGAATCATATGAATTGTGGTGCATACATGGCGGGTGAGGTTGGCTGTGGCCCAGTGCCCCTCGCCCTGCAACACCGCCCGCAAGTTACCCGCCTCCTTAGCAACCTGCTCTGTTGCCACCTGGTAGAGAGGGAGCACAGGAGGACAGCAAGGGGGGGCGGAACGGGCGTGAGGAATTTTTGTTGCAGCACTGCGCGCACGTTGCCTGCCTCCCTTGCCACCTGCCTACTCTGTTGCCAGCTGGTGGTTCCAGGGATGCATGCATGTGAGGATAGCAAGGGAAAGAGAGGGAGCGAGAGGGAATAAGGCAGAGCGGGAAGAGAGAGAGAGGGCATGAAGCAGAAAGAGATGGGCGAAGAGAGGGATGCGGGAGAAGAGAGGCCACGGGGCACGAAGAGAGAGACAGACACAAGGCGCATGCCAGCTCACTCACTGCCAGGTCGCTCACTCACTGCCAGGTCGCTCATCTTGGTTTTCATTGTCGCCATTTCCGCCTCCACTGCCGCCACCGCTGCTTGCAAACCCTCCACCGTCCCTCCTGCTTGCACCAACAGCCGCCTGTGCACGCCTGTTGCTTCTGCCTCACCAGGTGATGCACACATGGGGGTGGGAGAGGGTACGAGGTGGAGGCATGTAGTGGGAGGAGAACAAGCATGAGAGCAGCGCAAACACATGGGGAGACGATGCGATATGTGCAGGAGGACAGCAGCAATCGTGGAGAGCAGCACGGATGAATGAGGGGGTGACAGGTGGAGGCACATCATGGCACATCATGGCACATCATGGCACATCATGGCACATCATGGCACATCATGGCACATCATGGCACATCATGGCACATCATGGCACATCATGGCACATCATGGCACATCATGGCACATCATGGCACATCATGGCACATCATGGCACATCATGGCACATCATGGCACATCATGGCACATCATGGCACATCATGGCACATCATGGCACAATCATGGACACATCATGGCACATCATGGCCACATCATGGCACATCATGGCACATCATGGCACATCATGGCACATCATGGCACATCATGGCACATCATGGCACATCATGGCACATCATGGCACAATCATGGCACATCATGGCACATCATGGCACATCATGGCACATCATGGCACATCATGGCACATCATGGCACATCATGGCACATCATGGCACATCATGGCACATCATGGCACATCATGGCACATCATGGCACATCATGGCACATCATGGCACATCATGGCACATCATGGCACATCATGGCACATCATGGCACATCATGGCACATCATGGCACATCATGGCACATCATGGCACATCATGGCACATCATGGCACATCATGGCACATCATGGCACATCATGGCACATCATGGCACATCATGGCACATCATGGCACATCATGGCACATCATGGCACATCATGGCACATCATGGCACATCATGGCACATCATGGCACATCATGGCACATCATGGCACATCATGGCACATCATGGCACATCATGGCACATCATGGCACATCATGGCACATCATGGCACATCATGGCACATCATGGCACATCATGGCACATCATGGCACATCATGGCACATCATGGCACATCATGGCACATCATGGCACATCATGGCACATCATGGCACATCATGGCACATCATGGCACATCATGGCACATCATGGCACATCATGGCACATCATGGCACATCATGGCACATCATGGCACATCATGGCACATCATGGCACATCATGGCACATCATGGCACATCATGGCACATCATGGCACATCATGGCACATCATGGCACATCATGGCACATCATGGCACATCATGGCACATCATGGCACATCATGGCACATCATGGCACATCATGGCACATCATGGCACATCATGGCACATCATGGCACATCATGGCACATCATGGCACATCATGGCACATCATGGCACATCATGGCACATCATGGCACATCATGGCACATCATGGCACATCATGGCACATCATGGCACATCATGGCACATCATGGCACATCATGGCAATCATGGCACATCATGGCACATCATGGCACATCATGGCACATCATGGCACATCATGGCACATCATGGCACATCATGGCACATCATGGCACATCATGGCACATCATGGCACATCATGGCACATCATGGCACATCATGGCACATCATGGCACATCATGGCACATCATGGCACATCATGGCACATCATGGCACATCATGGGCACATCATGGCACATCATGGCACATCATGGCACATCATGGCACATCATGGCACATCATGGCACATCATGGACATCATGGCACATCATGGCACATCATGGCACATCATGGCACATCATGGCACATCATGGCACATCATGGCACATCATGGCACATCATGGCACATCATGGCACATCATGGCACATCATGGCACATCATGGCACATCATGGCACATCATGGCACATCATGGCACATCATGGCACATCATGGCACATCATGGCACATCATGGCACATCATGGCACATCATGGCACATCATGGCACATCATGGCACATCATGGCACATCATGGCACATCATGGCACATCATGGCACATCATGGCACATCATGGCACATCATGGCACATCATGGCACATCATGGCACATCATGGCACATCATGGCACATCATGGCACATCATGGCACATCATGGCACATCATGGCACATCATGGCACATCATGGCACATCATGGCACATCATGGCACATCATGGCACATCATGGCACATCATGGCACATCATGGCACATCATGGCACATCATGGCACATCATGGCACATCATGGCACATCATGGCACATCATGGCACATCATGGCACATCATGGCACATCATGGCACATCATGGCACATCATGGCACATCATGGCACATCATGCCACATCATGGCACATCATGGCACATCATGGCACATCATGGCACATCATGGCACATCATGGCACATCATGGCACATCATGGCACATCATGGCACATCATGGCACATCATGGCACATCATGGCACATCATGGCACATCATGGCACATCATGGCACATCATGGCACATCATGGCACATCATGGCACATCATGGCACATCATGGCACATCATGGCACATCATGGCACATCATGGCACATCATGGCACATCATGGCACATCATGGCACATCATGGCACATCATGGCACATCATGGCACATCATGGCACATCATGGCACATCATGGCACATCATGGCACATCATGGCACATCATGGCACATCATGGCACATCATGGCACATCATGGCACATCATGGCACATCATGGCACATCATGGCACATCATGGCACATCATGGCACATCATGGCACATCATGGCACATCATGGCACATCATGGCACATCATGGCACATCATGGCACATCATGGCACATCATGGCACATCATGGCACACACACCTGACTGATGTGTCACTCACTTTCTCGCAGTGCTCGCAGCCGATTCACCTCCTCCCAGCATTCAGAGCATTGCTCCTCCTCCCCACCCCCTCCGCCACTCCCTCGCCCCACTGTCTCCTCCTTCTTCTCCACCATACCTGCCCCTTCCCCCCCCCTTCCACCTGCCCCTCCACCTGCCCCTCCCTCTGCGCCTCTGGCCCCTGCTGCAAACTCGCTGCTGCTTCTGTTGCTGCTGCTTTTGCTGCTGCTGTGACTGTTGTTGCTGCTGCCGTTGAAGGGCGTGGCGGGTGATGGTCGCCCCCACATGCCACTGCTCCGTGCTCACATGCATGCACACACATACATATACACGGGAGCACACACACATGGCAGCACACACACTCACACATACACGCACATACACACACTCACGCTCAGACATAAGCACACACATGGCAGCACACACACAACAACAGGCGAAACCACAGGGAGCTTGAAATGACCCCAAAGGCACTCAAGTGAGCAACGTGCAATCGTGCACCACACCCTCCTTCCTCTTGCTCTATCCCATCTCTTCCTTCTCGCCCTCATTACTCCACACTCTCTTCTCCATTATCACTCCCCATCCCCCTAGTCCTCCCTTCCTCCACCCTCAACACCACCCCCGACCCCCCCTTCCCCCTACTCCTCCCCCGCCCCCTTCCTACCTTCCCCTGCCCCTCACCTCACTATCCGCGTCAGCGGTCCGCTCACCGCCTCCTCCTCCGCGCCTCCCCCTGCGCGCGCCTCCCCTCGACCACGCGCAGTGGAGGGCAGCAGCGGGGCGATCTGCTCGGACGCCACCAGCGCCACAAACACAACACTCACTAACGCGTACGGCCAGTTCGCCTTCCGCGACGGCCGCAGCCGCGCGCACAGCGCGCCAAACCACGCGCAGCACCCGCATAGCAACTCGCCCCCCTGCTGCGCCCTTCCCCCCGGCATCCGCGCCCGCCGCGCCACCCTCGCGGGGCGTCTGAGCCCGTCGCCGCGCGATCGTTCCGCGGACGGCGCTTGGCGCGCAGTGGGCTCCGGCTTGGGCGCGGAGGTGGCGACGAACGGCGCGCCGTACGACATGGCGGCGTGCGACGAGCCATACGGCAGGCGACCGCCCACGCGACGCTCCGGATCTGGCAGGCGACGGCGGGAGACGGGGGAGGGGGTGAGAAGTTAGATGCAGCAGGGGAAGAGCGAATGAGGTGGGGGGTTGGCAAGTGGGGTTTGCTGCTGGACGAGGAATGCCTTGACACAAGGCAGCAGCGGCCACATCAGAGCTACAGGCACCTGGAGGCATGTTGAGCTGCGCGCGTGGGATGCGACGGTGGTGACGAAGAGGTCGATGACGGCGCACACGACAGCGATGTCCGCGCGCGCGGCCTATCTCACGCACGACAAAGACTCTACTGATCCTCCCTCCATTTCCCTCCCCCCGACGATCACGATCCCGATTGGCGGCAATCAGCGTTTACTTCCCGACTGGAATGGCCAGCCTGTCGCCCGGCAACCTGTTTCCCGGGAGCGAGTGGGAACGCCACGGACTAAGAATCTTGAGTGCTGTCTGGGTATCTTTCAAACGTTACTGTCGAGTGCTCGTGGTCGGCTCGGGTCGGGTGAAATAGCTTTGCTGGGTAGGTGGAGCACGGGCGCGAAATTTGGGATCAGCAGGTCTGCGATGCGGGGTGGGTGAGTGGCGGAGGAACAACGCGTACGTTTCATTAACTGAAATACGGTAAATCTGGCGTTGATAATCATATACATTTAAATCATTTCGATTACAGGTGAACACTACTTCTGGGTGCCAGAATATCCAACTCAACAAAGGTACATACTAAATAATGCAACTGGTTTGCACCACGGATCTAAACAGAGACGGTGCTGAGCTTGGATGCCACCTCAGCAGCGTAGACGCGAGCCCATTGGTCGAAGTGCACGATGTCCTCCAGTGACGGGGCAAGCACGAGGTCGTTGCGATGGCGATCACACGTGCCCTCGATCACCCGGCAGATGTCCAGATAGTGGATCCTGAGGGGAAGAGAGGAGGGAGTAGGGAAGGGAAGAAGGAAGTTGGCTACAGAGCTTGATTTTGACAGCTCAGCAGGGTAAAGGAAACATCACTTGGTAACTTCCTCCTTTTGAGAAACTCACTTGTCATCAAGGAACATCTCCACACAGCCTGCTCATTGGCGAATGGTGAGAGGCACACCATCATCTATTTGTTATTTACAACCATCTACTACAATTACAGGTACAGTATATTCTTCCTGCACTCACTTGTCATCGAGGAACATCTCCACGGCCTGCTCGTTGGCGGCGCTGAGCACGCCAGTCATGGTGCCACCCGCCCGCCCTCCCGCATACAACAGGACTATGGATGGAGGGGTACGTGTCACGGTCCCCCCACGACTCACTTGTGATCATCCAGACACTCACTTGTCATCGAGGAACATCTCCACAGCCTGCTCGTTGGCAGCACTGAGCACACCGGTCATGGTGCCGCCCGCCCTGCCGGCTGCATATGAGAGGTCCATGGACGGGTACTTGTCACGGTTGGGTTCCCTGAAAGTCAAGTCGCCCATCCTGCGGAGATTGGAATTGGAAGAAAACAGGGATGGAGTGAGAACACGAGGGAGGTTGGAATCGATCGGTAAGCGAGCAACAAGAAGCAACTTTGAATAAAAAAGGAGAGACAAGGTGGTTGCAGCGGAGCATGGGCCAAGCAGGCAAAAGAGTCACAGCATGAGAGGGCATGAGCGGATGAGGGCAGGGGCATGAGGGCATGAATACATGGGACCAGCATGAGGGCATGAGTGCATGAGGGCATGAGGGCAAGAGAGCAGCACTTGATGAAGTCGAGGCGGGGCCAGGTGACTTCAGAGGTGGGGACACGGTCGGGCCAGGAGAGCGTGTAGAGGATGGGCAGCCGCATGTCCGGCCACCCCAGCTGCGCCAACACCGACGAATCCTGCAAGGGCCAGAGGGAGTAAAGGGCGAAGAGGGGGTAGAAACACAGTAAATGAGATGCGTGGAGAGGAGGCAGAGGGGCGGAGGAAGAGCAAAAGTGAGACAGCGAGCTCAGGCATGCCCAGTGCCCACCTGAGTCTCAGCCATGGAGTGGGCGACTGCAAAAGTAAGGGAACACACACTTGTCTGTGTCTCAACCATTCGGTGAGGAATGCACACCTGTGTCGTAAGTATGAAGCAAGGTACACCCAGTGCGCACCTGAGTCTCAACCATGGAGTGGATGATGCTCTGAGGGTGGATCACAATGTCAATGTTGTCATAGTCCGCGCCAAACAGGTAGTGCGCCTCTATCACCTCCAGGCCCTGATAGTGCGGCGACAGGGGATGGCAGGGGATTATGGGCAGGGGTTAGAAGATTTTAGGCTTTAAGGTGAGTAAAATTCAGGCCAATTTGCTTTCGTAACCCAAGCTTGGTTCGGCGCATTGTTCATTGTCACACACTGAGTAAAAATCTGATATTGATACCTTGTGCTCTGTTCGGCTATGGATGCCTTCTCACACCCCTTTCCCCACCTTGTGCTCCCTTCCCTTCCCTCCCCCCTACCCTCCTGCAGCCTGCCCCCCTCACAGCGCCCGCACCTTGTTCATGAGCGTGGCGGAATCGACAATAATCTTCGGGCCCATGCTCCAGTGGGGGTGCTTCAACGCATCTTCTGACAGTTAACACCTGGCCCTTTCCCAACCTTGTACACTCCCCTTGCCCACCTGCTGCCTGCCCCCACGCACCTTGTTCATGAGTGTAGCGGAGTCGACAGTGATCTTCCTGCCCATGCTCCAGTTGGGATGCTTCAACGCGTCCGCTGGGGTCACCTCCTTGAGCTTCTCCACCGGCCAGTCCCTGGGGGAGATGAAGGGGAGGGAGGGGATTATAGAGAGGAAGTGTGATCCCATCTGGTATGGACATGGCATGTGGCATAGCTGGTGGAATGTAATGTGGCATGGTATGACATGCGGCATGTGGCATGTGGCACGTCATGTAAAATGTGGCATGGAATGTGGGATGACTGGCTGGAGTGTAACATGGCATGTGAGCGTGGGCATGGTATGACATGTGCCATGGCTGGCTGGAGTGTAACATGGCATGTGAGTGCGCACCTGAAGGCGCCACCAGAGGCAGTGAGGATGATGCGACGCAGACCGCCCTCTGGCAGCCCTTGGATGCACTGCCGCGCATACAAAGGGGGAGAAGGAGGGGTGGGAGGGGGGAGTGGGGGGGTAAGGGTGGGGGGGTGTTGAAGGGGGGGAGGATATTAACCACGCGGTCTCCCAAGCAGGGTCATGAGTCAAGACGAATTCTATGTGGGTTAAGAGGGGTGCAGATGGGTGAAGTGGAAGGGATGAAGAAACCGGAGTGCTTGGTTGGGTGGGTGGGTGGTTGTGTGGGTGGATGAGAGCGCACCTGGAAGATGGCGGAGTGCTCCGAGTCAGCGGGCAGGATGTGACAGCCGTGCTTCTTCTACCTCTCGACTCAAAAGCCATCTGCCACCGCACCCATGGAATGGGTGAGGCACACCTGGGCAGGGCGCACCTGGAAGATGGCGGAGTGCTCCGAGTCAGCGGGCAGGATGTGACAGCCGTGCTTCTTCTACCTCTCGACTCAAAAGCCATCTGCCACCGCACCCATGGAATGGGTGAGGCACACCTGGGCAGGGCGCACCTGGAAGATGGCGGAGTGCTCCGAGTCAGCGGGCAGGATGTGACAGCCGTGCTTCTTCTACCTCTCGACTCAAAAGCCATCTGCCACCGCACCCATGGAATGGGTGAGGCACACCTGGGCAGGGCGCACCTGGAAGATGGCGGAGTGCTCCGAGTCAGCGGGCAGGATGTGGCAGCCGTGCTTCTTCTACCTCTCGACTCAAAAGCCATCTGCCACCGCACCCATGGAATGGGTGAGGCACACCTGGGCAGGGCGCACCTGGAAGATGGCGGAGTGCTCCGAGTCAGCGGGCAGGATGTGACAGCCGTGCTTCTTCTACCTCTCGACTCAAAAGCCATCTGCCACCGCACCCATGGAATGGGTGAGGCACACCTGGGCAGGGCGCACCTGGAAGATGGCGGAGTGCTCCGAGTCAGCGGGCAGGATGTGACAGCCGTGCTTCTTCTACCTCTCGACTCAAAAGCCATCTGCCACCGCACCCATGGAATGGGTGAGGCACACCTGGGCAGGGCGCACCTGGAAGATGGCGGAGTGCTCCGAGTCAGCGGACAGGATGTGGCAGCCGTGCTTCTTCTACCTCTCGACTCAAAAGCCATCTGCCACCGCACCCATGGAATGGGTGAGGCACACCTGGGCAGGGCGCACCTGGAAGATGGCGGAGTGCTCCGAGTCAGCGGGCAGGATGTGACAGCCGTGCTTCTTCTACCTCTCGACTCAAAAGCCATCTGCCACCGCACCCATGGAATGGGTGAGGCACACCTGGGCAGGGCGCACCTGGAAGATGGCGGAGTGCTCCGAGTCAGCGGGCAGGATGTGGCAGCCGTGCTTCTTGGCGAGCGGCAGCACGTACGGCCCGCCTGCGATGAGCGTCTCCTTGTTCGCCAGGGCGATGTCCTTGCCCGCCTCTATGGCCGCCACTGTCGGCTGCATGCATGGAGACATGCACGCACGCATCACCACATAAGATGTCGCATGGCAGTGATGCATGGAGGGAGCTACTTGATGTTCGCTGGACCAGTCCATTGCATGCAAGACAGCATGACTCCACCATTGAAATGCATATCAACCGACTACAGCTCCCCCAATCTGTAACAGTCTACCTACCCCCGTCCCTCACACAGCCTGCCCCCAGCCCAACGCACCTTGAGTCCCGCGCACCCCACAATGCCCGTGACCACTGTCTCCGCATCAGGATGCCGTGCCACCTGCATGATCATCACACGCGCGCGCACATACCCACATACACAAACACATGGTGACACGCCCACGCCCATGGAGACACACGCAGCAGGGACAGGGATGAAATTAGAGCGGTGAATTGATGTAAGGCGACCAAACGACTCCCTCCGCCCTGAACCTCAAAACTGCCTGAAAGCCTTTTGAGGCGCCTCAAAAATCCGACTCATTGCCCTCTCCCTTCCCCCCTCCCATCTTCGTTTTCTCACCCCACCCCTTCCTTCACGCCGCCGCCTCGCCTCCTCCTACCCCCACCTCCGTCCTTCATAACCCCAGCACTTCTCCTCCCTGTCCTCGCCTCACCTCGACGATCCCCGAGTCTCCCGCCACGATCTCCGGCATGCGCTCCATTCCCGCGAGCGCCTCCTTGAGCTCCCCCACCAGCGCGGGGTTCTGCACCGACACCAGCGACGGCTGGAACTGGCGCACCTGCTCCGCGCACAGGGGGGAACGGCGCAGGTGGGGGTAGACACGGGAGAATGGCAGGGAGGGAGTGAGGGGTGAGAGGAAGGCGGGAGGCGGTACGAAATGAGGAGGGAGTGAAAGACATGCTTGCGCCGTGCGCACCTGTTGCGCCATGCACCTGTTGCGCCATGCACCTGCTGCGCCATGCATGCGCACCTGTTAACCCACGCGCACCTGTTGAGCCATGCACCTGTTGCGCCACGCATCTGTTGCGCTACGCACCTGTTGCGCCACGCACCTGTTGTGGCGTACACCTGTTGTGCCATGCACCTGGTGTGCCACGCACCTGTTGTGCCACGCACCTGTTGTGCCATGCACCTGTTGTGCCATGCACCTGTTGTGGCATGCACCTGTTGTGCCACGCACCTGTTGTGCCACGCACCTGTTGTGGCATGCACCTGTTGTGCCATGCACCTGTTGTGCCATGCACCTGTTGTGGCATGCACCTGTTGTGCCACGCACCTGTTGTGCCATGCACCTGTTGTGCCACGCACCTGTTGCGCCACGCACCTGTTGTGCCATGCACCTGCTGCGCCACGCATGCGCACCTGTTAACCCACGCGCACCTGCTACGTCATGCGTGCGCACCTGCTGCGCCATGCGTGCACACCTGCTGCGCCAGGAGCGCGATGTTGGAGCCGGCGGCGAGCGCGACGATCTTGAACCTGTCGGGATGCTCCGCCACTATGTCCAAAGTCTGCCACCCGCACGCACGGGGGAGCGGGGACGGGGCGAGGGGGGAAGCAGGCGAGATAAAGAGAGAGGGGGGTTGAAAACAACAAGGCACGAGAGTGGAGAGAGGGGGAAGAGGGGGTAGGGGAGGGTAGGGGGGAGAAAGAGACATATAATAACTCTGAAAACGGTTCAAGTGGCCATAACCCAGTCTCTGGTCTTCTGGTAGCGATATATTCCCCACGTGAGTGCCTCGCGTCTCACCTGAGTGCCACGTCTCTTACCTGAGTGCCACGTTTTTCACCCGAGTGCCACGTGTCTTACCTGAGTGCCACGTTTCTCACCCGAGTGCCACGTGTCTTACCTGGTGCCACGTGTCTCACCTGAGTGCCACGTGTTTCACCTGAGTGCCGATAGACCCGGTCGACCCAATCAGCGAGATCGCCTTCGGCTCGGCCCAGTCGTGCGGCGACGCGGGCGCCTCGGCGCGTCCCGGCCATGCGGGCGGCACCGCCGACGTTTCGGCTGCGGCGGATGCGCGAGCGGCGGAGGCAGCAGCGACGCGACGACGGCTCGTCTGGGCTGCGCAGGACACGGCGATGGGCAATGGAACGAGGCGCGAAGGGCAAGGGGACGGAAGTGAGCGACGGCACACGGGCATTAGATAAAAACCTTCGTATGCAAGGACGACTTGCCAAGAAAAGAAACCCACCTAAGCTACGCAATAGAGAGCTCGCCGACAGAAGATCTCAGGAACAGACTGCAAGAGTGCCTCAGAATGAGTACCTTGAGACGAGTTTCTTAACACGAGTACCTTCGAACAAGTACCAAAAACCGAGTACCTTCAAACGAGTACCTTAAAACGAGTACCTTGAGGCTTGGATCCCGCGAGGGATGCAGCGGACGAGGCGAGGCGAGTCTGGGACGCGCACAGCCCGCTGACCTGCGCGGGGAAACGGCGGGGGGAATGCGAACGAACGGCGAAGACGGGAGCGCGGGATGAGAACGATCGACATTTGTCAACGATGAGGGAGGGCGGCAGCGTTCGAGAAGGGACATCAGACAACGATGCAATGATGTCCCTAAAGCTCGGCGCGCGGGTACCTTGAGGTTGGCCGCAGCCGGAAGGAGCGTGGCGGAAGCCATGGATTCACGTCGCGTCTGTAGTTGCGGCTCGGAAACGAGCTAGGTACGGGAGAGCACACCGTTGGATGGCCTCCAAACGGAAAAGCGAAAAGTGAAAGTGAAAAGCAGCAGTGAGGAGGGCAAAGCAAGGTATGCAAATTGCGCTGCGAGAAATGAAGCAGAGCCTGGGTTGGGATGGGATGGGCCGTGCTGGTGGGAATCGGCGCTGGGAATCCCGAGGGATGGAGGTCCACACACGCTGCCACATGGAATGGACTGCCACGTCATTTCCCGCAGATAGGCCTACTCGCTAAAAACATTTCAATCTCCTCCTATGAAACCAACGAACTGTGCATCAGGAAAACATGTCAAGTTGCTCTCTACATACCATTTCTGTAAAGAACGTTTTGAAAAAGGTATTGGCAAACATAGTTGCATGATACTACACTTTAAAAAAACCGATATAACTCATATTGATTATGCTAAATATGTTCAACAGTATTTACAATTGATTATATGAGCCAATTTGTCCCGCAAAAACCGTCAATGTGTTACATGAATCCCAATGTTAAAAAAATATGTGCGGATTTAGTTTCTTTGAACCCTCTTTCACCTACTAAAGATATCATGGGAGATACACTCAAACGAAGAACTGTGAGTTTGCAGACAAATGACACAACCACTCAAAACCGTCGACCCTCCGCTAGGAAACCTGCTCCCGCTCACCCTCCGCCTCGCGCATTCCCCTCAAAGAATCTCTGCCTAGTGCAACCACACAGCGCTGTGTTTCCGCACCGCCCGCTTCCCGCTCTGACCGCACACTGCGCACCACCTTCCCTTCCCCACATCCCCCATTTACCTCCCCCCCCCCCCCCCCCCCCCCCGCGGCTCTCCCTTTTTCTTCCCCCCCTCACCTCTCACTCGCCCTCTTTCTCTCCCTCCGCTTCACCTCGAACTGCTAGCCGCAGCCTTCTTAGCAGCCGTTCCGCAAACCCTAATTCTCTTTTCGCCCTTTATTCTCTTCTCCGTCCTCTCCTCTGTCTCCTAACTCGCCGCCATGGGTGAGCAACTTAGCTTCCGCGGCCACCTCAAGGGCCACTCCGATTGGGTCACGTCGATCGCGTGCCCGATCGACAACAGCGATTCTATCATCTCATGCTCGCGCGATAAGGGCATCATGTCGTGGTCGCTCACTCGCGACGCCGCCTCCGCCACGGGCGTGCAGCTCGCCGGTGTGCCCAAGCGCCGCCTCACCGGCCATGGCGGTTTCGTGCAGGTGAAGCTTCGAATCTTCTAGATTCCTATTTCGGTTTTTTCACGGAGGTTTCGTGCAGCTGCGTTTCATTATAGATTCTCGGTCTCCCGGCGTAAACTGCGCAAGTTTCCGGTCTGTTAGTGGATCTAAAAATTGCTGGTGTTGTGGCTGAGCTAGCTGCGCTCATTATGCGACAAAGAGCCCGTGTGTTTGCACACTGGTGTGATTTGCCGAATTAGCTAGTAGCTCGTCGAGGCTCACATTTGTGCCCGCCGCTCGACGTATTCGCGGATTGCTTAGTAACTTATAGATGGTGTGTGGCCGCCATTCGTCGACTGTCGTCCCGCATTTGCCAGCAACATCTTTCCTGTTGGCCGTTTATTCACGTCGCCATTCTATCGTTCCTTCGTCTCCATGCTCTCTGGTCGCACTCACCCAGTATAACGCATACGCTAGGTCTTCCGATGGTCAGATAGGGCTCTCCGGCTTGCGGGACCTGAACACCAGCGCATTCCGATTCACGTCTCCCTTCCCCTTTCCCCACACTCACCCTCTAACGCGTACAACAGGACGTCGTGATCTCATCCGACGGTCAGTTCGCGCTGTCCGGCTCGTGGGACAGCACCCTCCGCCTGTGGGACCTCAACACCGGCGCCACCACGCGCCGCTTCGTCGGCCACACCAAGGACGTGCTCAGCGTCGCCTTCAGCGTCGACAACCGTCAGATCGTGTCCGGGTCGCGCGATCGCAGCATCAAGCTGTGGAACACGCTGGGCGAGTGCAAGTACACGATGAACGACGCGGACGCTCACCAGGGGTGGGTGTCGTGCGTGCGCTTCTCGCCCGTCAACACTCAGCCCATTATCGTCTCCGCCGGCTGGGACAAGGTTCGTTGGACAGCGAGGATCTGATTCGTTGCGCGGCTGAGTTTAGGATCCTTGGGCTGTTGGGATTAGGTTTGTTGGGCGGGAGGGATTAGGTTCATAGGGGGGTTGGGATGAGGTTCTTTTGGCAAGTCCCCGGGCGGCTAGAAAAGGATTCAATAGGCGCCTGGCGTCAGGCCGTGTATAATGAGGTTACGATCGCAGTTGGGTTGGACTACGTACTTTTCCCGCCAAGGTGGAGTAAGGAGATTGCAGCTGCCGTAGTTCTCCCGCCTAACAACTGCGACGCTCGATTGTGCGCTAGCAGTCAGGCCCCTCCCTTCGCCCCTCTCGCACGGGCGGGCTCCTCCCTCTGCCCCTCCGCCCCGCTCGCACCTGTGCACATGCGACACGCCAGAACTGTCCCGTAGAGCCGTTGAGTCGGCTCAACCGTCTCGTTGGATTCTGCATGGGTTCCATGCGCCGCCAGGACCTGCGCCACCTCCAGCTCCGACCACAACAGCTCGCATCAATACCATTATTTTTCCTAATCCCCTTTCCTCTCCCGTCTCCCCTTTCCCCCTCCCCATTTCCCCCTTGATCCTTGCCCATTCCCCTTTCTCCTCTCTCCCCCGTCCCCCCAGGTGGTGATGGTAGGAAACCTGACCAATCGCAAGCTCAGGCCTTGCTCCGCCGCTAGCTCCGCCCGAACCCCCTGTCCCCTTTCCCTTCCCAATCGCGCTTCCTTCTTCTCCGCTCGTCCCCCCCCTTCCCCCCGGGTGGTGAGGTGCGGAACCTGACCAACTGCAAGCTCCGCCAGAAACTGCTCCCATCAACATCAATCCCCACCCGCTTGCCCCTCCTCCTTCCCCCGTCCCCCTCTTTCCCCCCACAGGTGGTGAAGGTGTGGAACCTGACCAACTGCAAGCTCCGCCAGAACCTGCTGGGCCACACCGGCTACGTCAACACGGTGACCGTCTCCCCTGACGGCTCGCTGTGCGCGTCCGGCGGAAAGGACGGCGTGGCGATGCTGTGGGATCTGGCGGAGGGCAAGCGGCTGTACTCGCTCGACGCGGGTGACATCATCCACTCGCTCTGCTTCTCGCCGAACCGCTACTGGCTGTGCGCCGCGACGCAGTCGTCGATTAAGATCTGGGACCTGGAGAGCAAGAGCCTTGTGGATACCCTCGTGCCTGACTTCGAGCTCGTTCGCGCGCGCGCCGGCGCGGAGTTCAAGGGCCAGGTGAGGGGAGGGGCGGGGGGATGGGGCACACTGGAATATGAGGGGGAAGTGACAGGGTGTAGGGGGGAAAGGGAGGGTGGTGGGGTGACCTGGAGAGCTAGAGCCTTGTGGACACCCTCGTGCCGGACTTTGAGCTGGTTCGCGCGCGCGGCGGCACGGAGTTCAAGGGCCAGGTGAGGGGGAGGGTGGGGGGGTGTTGGTGAGGTTTAGAGGCAGGGAGCGGCTCTATTGGGGACATGAGGGGGGAGTGACAAAAGGGGTTAGGGGGAAAAGAGGGATGGTGGGGTGACCTGGAGAGCAAGAGCCTCGTGGACACGCTCGTGCCGGACTACGAGCTGGTCCGCTCGCGCGGCGCCGGCGCGGAGTTCAAGGGCCAGGTGAGGGGAGGGGAGGGGAATGGGGCAAATTGGAATGCGAGGGGGGAGTGGCAGGGTGTAGGGGGTAAGGGAGGTGGTGGGGTGACCTGGAGAACAAGAGCCTCGTGGATACCCTTGTGCCGGACTTCGAGCTCGTTCGCGCCCGCGGCAGCACGGAGGTCAAGGGCCAGGTGAGTAGGGGGGAGGAGCATTAAGAGGAGGGTTGGGGGTAGAAGGTAAATAGGGGGAGTTCAAGGGCCAGGCGAAGGAGGAGGAGGGGGGGTAAAGTAAGCGAGGGGGCTGGAGCGGCACAATTGGGGTACTGGAGGGAAGTGACAGAGGGGCGTAGGGGGAAAAGGGGGTTGGTGGTGGGGTGATCTGGGGAACAAGCGCCTCGTGGACACCCTCGTGCCGGAGGGGTCAGCTCAGACCGATGACAGGCGGGGAAAGACAAAATGCCAGGTGCGTGTGGAAGGGGGAGGGTCGAGGGGGGGTGAGCGGAGGGGAGGAGGAGAGTCAAGGGACGGGTGAATGAAATAGACGGGTGAGGGGAAGGGAGGGCTTTATGGAGTGCGTGAGGGAAAGTGGCAGGCGAGGAGCAGGGCGGTGCCCCCCTGTGGTGTGCTAACAGTGACAAGCAACACAGAGATCTGGGGCATACTGGGAGGGAAGGAAACGAGGGGGGGGAGTTAGGGGAGCCGTGTGAAGTCGTGGTGCCGAATCCGAAACAATGCTGTTGTTTCCTTTCCAGAAACGGTCGTTTAAGAATAAGAGGCGAGGTGCACGCGGGGTTCAGGCGAGGTGAGAGGAGAGGAGCACGGAGTTTAACGGGCATGAGAACAGGCAAGCCTGGTACGCTAGTTTTGCTCCACCGGTGCACGTTTTGGGCTTCGTCGGGGGTTAGGAGGCTGGGGGAGGCTGGGGGAACAAGTTGAGGGGTGATGAGACAGGGTGATTACGACCTCAAATTGCTGCAGATGATAGGGTTTGCAGTTGCATGGAGGACTTTCAGAGAGCTGCTAAGAGTGTCCCATTTCTCACCTTTCTTACTCTCCACCCACCCTTGACCATCCCATTCCTCGCCTTCCCACTTCCTCACACACTAACCTTTCCCCCCCCATTTCCTTGCTCACTTCCTCTCTCTTTGCCCTCTTGACCCCTTACCAGACACCGTACTGTGTGAGCCTCAACTGGAGCGCGGATGGAGCCACCCTCTATGGTGGTTACACTGACGGTTACATCCGCGTCTGGTCCGTTGGCCGGGGCTTCTAAGGAGAATTGGTTTTCAATAGAAGCTGGCCCTTCTCTGGACAATCTACAGCTCTGCCAGGCGTCAGATGAGGCGTTTAGGGATGTTCTTTTGTGCTGTCTGACGTGAAAAGAAAGCGAAGCGCCCTAGAGGATTGTGCCCAAAGGTGTTGGTGGTGGTGTATTTGTGGTGCTTGTTGCAGTAGCATGCTGTAATCTTCTTGTTGGTGCAAGTGAAATGCATTCACTTTCTTTGTTGCCAATGATGGAAGCTGAGGAGAGTCTGATTGGATGTTATTGCTTGGCCAGCACTGAATATTTTCCAGAAATACATGGTGCTTACATAGGAAAAATGAACCTGCATTAGCAAGGATAGAGTCAGTGTATTCATCGTGATACACGAGCATTACCGTATAAATATCTAGTTACTTTTCCCGAGGGAAATCACCAGACTGAGGAAGCTCCAGCTTGACATCAACGAAATCATCCCCATCTGAAAAGTAGACCAGCCTCTCACCCGCCGCGGCTTGCAATCCTTCCGAGTCGAACCCCTCTCCCAGCACTGCTGGCGAGTCCAATGAAGGCGGCATGGTAGCGCCTGCGGGTAGCTGACTGCCATCAAGACTGAGATTCCGGTCCACAAAGTCCTCTCCATCGGAGAAGTACTGCAGCATGCCGTCAGGCGAAGCCTGCGCGTCTGCCAGTACGAACACGGGGTTGATTCCCATTGGTGAGTCGAGGGACGGGAGCTCTGCTGCACCTAAACCCCTTGCTACAGGCGCTTCTTTGATCCCTGCTTTTGAGCCCTCTCCCTCTTCTTTTGGAGCTGCTGAAGTATTGTCTTCTTTGCTCGCGACAAGCACGCCCGCTGTAGCGGCAGCTGCAGCTGTAGCAGCCACTGCGGATGCACGGGTAGCGGTAAACGCGGCAACTTTAGCAGGATTCTCCTGCTGAATCGTGTCCCCATCGACAGCAGAAGCTGCAGCGGAGGCTGCAGATGAAGGAGCGGCGGTGCGGTCATCTTGTTGATTCATGAGGAAGGCTGTGGGCTCTATGGGCCGAATGGCTCTCCGACCAAGCGTCTCCTGATGGATGAACAGACGGTAAAGGCGATACATTACAGTTCAGGTGGATTGAAGTCGAAGAGTGCGCACAACAAGCTTGACTGGAGAGTCGATACGGTTTTTTAGAATGATAAAGAACTGCTTGAAGATTCCACGCACAGCAACCAGGGATGAAGGAGAAGCCTTACCTTGAGAGTTTCGAGAAGAGGGCGGGAGGAGATGAGGTCGGAGGATTGGGAGGAGGAGGAAGCAGAGAGAGCCCTCTGGTCCATGGCGTCCCGCATGAGGCGCCGCACAAACACCACATCGTCTCGCATCACTCCCATGTCCTGTAGAAGCATGGAGCCCAGGCGGAGACCAGTCTGCAGTGAAGGGACGGGGGAGAAGAGGAGCAGGGGTTGGATCAGGGGCAGCGAGAGGGAGAAATGGCACAAACACCAGGTCGTCCTGCATCACCCCCATCTCCTGCAGCAGCATAAAGCCTAGTCTGCATGGGTGCACGGGAGACGAGTGCAATATGTGCTAGATAGTGTGTAGGGCGAGGAGCAGGGTTGAGAACGAGAGAAAAAGAGTAGCTAGTAGCGTTTGGGGAACAGCTGCGAGGTAGTGGTCTGAAGGGCAAGAGGGATGAGAGGTGGAGAAAAGAATCAGAGGCACCTTGATTGCTGTACTTACAAGTCTTCGACGAATAAGACAATCCGACAAAGGAGAAAAACCTAGTGTGTCTTGAACTCACCTCAGCACTCTCCAGCACCACGTCAGTGGCTCCTGCGCGCCTCAGTTCCGAGAGATGCACTGCGTCCACTGCCCGTGCGTACAGAGGCACCTGGGGAGGAGCGAGGGGAGGAGGGAGGAGAAAGAGGTGGTGACTTGTGAGTCAGCTCACGAGTGATTTCAGACATTCAGAACTGACATCACAAACACGCACAACTGACATCACAAGAACTCACACAATATATCACAGACACTCACCCCAGGGAACGCCTCTTTGAGCCGCTCGATTGAAGCCACGGATCGGGTGCGGCTGGAATAGACGACCATGAAGGCCTTCGGGCGGCTAATGCCGGCTGATTCCAACACTGCCGGGCGGCTGCCGTCGCCATACAGGACAGGGAAACCGAGCGATGCGCCAAGCTGTCAGTGGATTGCGAGGGGCAAGGGTGAGGTTTGAAGAGTGTTGGGTACTAAGGAAGCTTGAAACCCGTTACAAGTTGGAACTGGAGGAAATGTTGAAAGGGAGTGTAGTAGGCGGCCTTACCCGCACGCGCTTGGGGTTGAGATCGAAGGAAATGAAGTTCCAACCAGCAGCGTCGCCCCCTGACCCCGCTGCAAGTGGCGTGGAGAGGAAATTGGCCAGCACCTGCCCCATCTGGTTGAACCCTAGAATGACAATCGGCTCCGCACCGGCGAAGTGCGTAGAGTGGGATGCGCCTGCCTGTGATGGTGGTAGGAGAGACGGGGATGGATGGATAGGGAGGGGAGGGTACACTGGTGAGAACCTGGCCCATCTGGTTGAACAGGTCGAAATGACTATCGGCTCTGCGCCAGCGAAGTGAGTAGAGTGGGATGCGCCTGCCTGTGATGGTGACATGAGCAACAGGGGGTTAATCCGGGAATATGGAGGAGAAGGTACACTGGTGAGCACCTGCCCCATCCGGTTGAATCCCAGAATGACTATCGGCCCTGCGCCCCCGGCAGCAACAGCAGAGAGGCATGGACTCACCTGTTGGCCTTCCATGCCGCCATCAGCTTCACTCAACGTCTCATTCCCACCTGCACCCAGTCTACCAACAGACTCCGCCACGCCACCCACACCACTCACGCCCCCGGCAGCAACAGCAGAGAGGCATGGACTCACCTGTTGGCCTTCCATGCCGCCATCAGCTTCACTCATCGTCTCATTCCCACCCGCACCCAGTCTACCAACAGACTCCGCCACGCCACCCACACCACTCACGCCCCCGGCAGCAACAGCAGAGAGACATGGACTCACCTGCTGGCCTTCCATGCTGCCTTCAGCTTCGCTCATCGCTCCATTCCCACCCGGTCCCAGTCTACCCACAGCTGCCCCACCACGCACGCCCGCAGCAGCAACGGTGGCAGCGTCCCTGGATTCGATATTGTCTTCAATGTACTCTGCTGCTCTGCGCCCCAGGGCGTCAAGGAAGGGCGTGAGCGCCATGGATAGCACCACAACGATTATGAGCAGCCGGTTCAGCTCCAGTGGGAGCACGCCCAGCCTGAATGGTGGGAGAGGGATAGGGAGGGAGGGAGGGAGGGAGGGAGGGAGGGAGAGAGTCAAAGATGTTATGTAGGGCTCCGTGAAACATATGGATTGGGATTGACAAGCCAAGTGAGGCAAGAGGGGGGGTTCTGTTGACTCACTGGATGGCGAGGGCGAGGAGAACTTTTGGCAATGGAGAAGACAACTTATGAGGCGCCTCGAAAAACACAAGACGAGCGAGGCAGAAACGTGTGTTATGTTGAACACTTATGACTCACTGGTTGGCGAGGGCGAGGACAACTTTTGGTGAGGGAGAGCGTGGGTTATGCTATGGAAATATGACTCACTGGCTGGCAAGGGCGAAGTCAACAAAGGCGAACTCGCCCCCTTGCGACAGCAGCAGCCCCGTGCGCACAGACTCCGAGAGAGTGACCCCCACACGCGGCCCTAGCGCCATAATGATGGTTGCCTTTGTGCCTATGAGGCGGTCAGGCACACCGGGAGTAGGGTTTAGATATGAAAATATAACTCACTGGTTGGCCAGGGCAAAGACGACGAAGGCGAACTCGCCCCCCTGGGACAGCAGCAGCCCCGTGCGCACGGACTCCGAGAGAGTGAGGCCCACACGTGGGCCGAGGGCTGTGATGATGGCTGCCTTTATGCCTATGAGACCCGTCAGGAGCGCCAGGATGTTGGGCCACTCCGATGCTAGCAGCTGGAAAAGAAAGAGAGAGGGGGAGATGAACACCAAGAGTTGGAGAAAGTGAGTTGAAAGGTGTGACGATGGCTGCCTTGATGCCTATGAGGCCTGCTAGTAGCGCCAGGATGTTGGGCCACTCCGATGCTAGCAGCTGTGGAGGGAGGGAGGAAAGTGCAGAGGGAGTGACGAGGAGAGAAGAGTGCGGCAGTGAATTGTGTGATCAAGCTGAAGTCCAGTCCAAGGAGCCAGGACTTTTGACGCAGGAGGTTGATGGGAGGGATGGTAAGTGCTGCGATGAGAGGTGTTATGGCAATGCCGCCAGTCAATAAGGCAAGTGCCTGAATCAGTGTGTGAGAGTCTACAGAGTTGTACAAGTGCACTGACGTTGAGGTCGATGGAGCTGCCAGTGGTGACGAAGAAGAGACCCAGCAGCAGCAGATTTTATTAGGACGCTCAGACCTACGTGTATTGAGCCGATTCAATGGTTGATTGAAAGAGACTACTCACGTTGAGGTCGATGGAGCTGCCAGTGGTGACGAAGAAGAGACCCAGCAGCAGCCCTCGGAAGGGGCGGATATCCGCCTCCACCTGCGTGCGGTAGTTGGTCTCCGCCAGCAGTGCTCCTGCTAGGAACGCTCCCAACTACACACACATGCACAGGGGAGAGAGAGAGAAGGGAGATTACATCAGCGTCAGTCGTACTCAACGTTAAGGAGGGAGAAAAAAAGTGCATCTGTATTAAGGCTCTTACTTATAAGCATGCGAGTGGAAGAGTTTGAAACGATGGTCTGATGAGGTGATGTCGGGTGGTCCAAGAATAGTCTCACCGAGTCACTGAATCCGAGCTTGCTGGTGATGAGAGCTGTTCCCGTGACTGTGAGTAGGCAGAGAGCAATGAACGCCTCTGAACTGCGCGACTCTGCCACGAACTGCAGAGAGGACGAGGCAGAGAGGCGGGCAGAGGGAGAGGAAGCGCGGGGTGGGAGAGAGATGAAGGACAGGCACAGGGTGCAAGGCTTCTAAACAGCAAGAGTCACGCATGCTGCCATCCTGCCATCACGCCATCATGCAAACATGCCATCATGTCATCATGCCATCATATTATCACGCCCCATCACGCCATCATGCCATTATGCCATTATGCCATCATGCTGCCATGCAGCCTCACCTCAAAGAGCCGGCGCAGGGCAATACGCCCCGTGTAAAGCAGAGCTCCGAGCCCCAGCAGCGACTTGGCTCCTTCCAGGGCGAGCAGAGGGAAGACGGAATCGTCTGTGAAGTCCTGCGTGTTGGGGGGGGAAACAGGGAGTGGCAACCGGGAGGGAATAAGGGTGATTGGTTTGACTTCAGATCACCTCACCTGGGCTCCTTCCAGAGCGAGCAGTGGGAAGACGGAATCGTCTGTGAAGTCCTGGGCGTAGGGAAGGGGCGGGAAGCAGAAAAAGGGAGGGGATAAGAAAGAAGGGTGAATGGCTTTTCTTGAGTCGAATCATCAGTCGCCTCGGCTGCCTCCGGAGCGAGCAGAGGGGAGATGGAATTGTCTGTGAAGTGAAGTCCTGGGCGTGGGGAAGGGGTGGGGCATGGAATGGGGTGGGGGCAGATGACGGGGATGTTGGGGGGGACATGAGAAGAGGAGGAGATATGCACGGAGATGAGGGGATGGGATGTAAAATCGCATGGACGGGTGAGTAGCCAATACCTGGGTGCCGTGGGGAATCAGGTTGTGAACAGGTGCAGAATAGAACCACGTTTAGTGTTGGTGTGATGATGATCACGCACGTGCTGTGTCCCGTGAGCTGAGCGCTCTCCCAGTGAAGGCCTCAAAGGCGTGTGAGGTGCGCTTGTGAGTAACTTACAATAGTTTTTCACAATGACAACAAGTGAGTTGTTCCCTTTTCCATTGAAGGCCTAAATGGAATAAGATGTGACCTTTGTCAGCATATTGCCCCATGCCGTCCCATGATGCAACATTGTGTCCAGTCAATAGGTGCCGTGCTGTTTGTTCTGGAATGGGAGGTATCACAACTTCTCATGTCTCTGTTGATTGGTGGTTGGTTCTTACCCCGTTCTCAAGGATGGGGAGAATGACGAGCAGAGGGACGACTGCAATGTCCTGCAGCAGCAAGATGCCGAGAGTTGCCGATCCGTAGCGAGTGGCGAGCTCACCCTTTTCAGACAAAAGCTGCATGAGGCAATTGAAGGGGGCGCGGAGAGGAGGAAGCGGAAACGGTGGGGAGAACGGGGGAGGAAGGCGAGTGGAGAGAGAAGGGGATTCATGAGTGGGAATGTTTGCTGATTGCGGGTAATGGACCTTATAATGGATGTGTACCTTGTGGGACTGGCACTCGAAAAGATACTGACTGAATAGCGCTTGGACACAAATTGAATGCCGGTGGAATAATGCTGACTGAGCCCTGAAGAGACCGTGAGACCTGTGCAGAGCATGAGCATGAGCCCACCTGAAGCACGAAGGCGGATGAGGAGAGCGCAAGAGCAGCTCCGATGACAATGGCCTCATCTAGCGACCGGATGTTCACCTGCAAAGGAGCATGCAAGCACAAGATACCCAGGCCGGGCAAGCATGGATAGGTAGTGGCATTTAGAGCCGCTTGCCAGAATGCAAGAACCTTTGATTTTTCAGCACGAAAGCTATCTCTCGAGCTTGTATGCTACAGAACAGCTGGCTTTTGCTTGTGTGTTTTGAGGGACGACTAGAGTAGAGTAGGTGAGAACGTACCAGATCAGCTTTGGCCCCAAAGAGAAATTCGAGCGCACGGGTGCCGATGGCATTGTCGATTGGCAGCTCGAACGCTGTGAAGGCAAGCGTCGTGAGGAGAACCTGTAGGGATGAAAGGGGGAGGGAGGGAGGGAGGAAGAAAGAGGAAGGGCGGGCGGGGGAGAGAGTAAGCAAGTAATAGTACCGTGGGTGGGAACTGTATTAGTGAGCTTAGCACTGGAAAGAGGACAACCAGTAAGGTGTGGTGCTGGCTCAAAGACACTGGGAAAGGCGGATGAGGTAGGGACTGGGTGGCAGAGTGGAGGATAGTGATGAGAGATGGACGGAGGAGACAGATGCACAGCCAACAGAGGGTTCTAGGAAATGTGTTGAACCAGATTCGGGGATCTGGCCGCCTTGAGATGTGGGGAGATGAGACAAAAAAAAGGTAATGTCAGGAGGCGGATGGGGGAAGGGCTACGGAGAAGGGAGGAATCTGGGGAAGGGAGCGTCGGGAGCAGGTGGTACCTGGGGAGGGGAGCGTCGGGAGCAGGTGGTACCTGGGGAGTGGGGCGTCAGGAACAGGTGGTACCTGCGGAAGGCCCATGCCGAATGCGAACTTGGCGAGTGCTCTGAGTCGCTCGAGGGAGAGCTCGAGGCCCATTTCGAAGAGCTGTCATGGGGGCGGTAGAGGGAGACGGGGGTTGCACACGTAGACCGATGTGCGGAGATGGGGAGTGATGTGGAGCGAAGTGATGGGGACGGGGCGGAGCGATGGTCATTCACAAGTTCGTGCGCGTGCACCTGGCTAGTGCGTCAATAGAGCTCTTGACTGCGCAAGGAAAATGTGGTACCCTACTTTTCTTAACCTTTCTTCAATTGCATCTGGCCCTTTCTTGTACCTTCGAATTACCGCCGTTTTGTTACAAAAAGCAGAGCAATGGCAGAACTATACTCACTCACCAGGAACAAAATCCCAAGCTCGCTAAGTGCCTTCACGTCGGTGATGTTCCGAATGAGCCCCAACTCGTTAAGAGCAACACCCGATAGAAGAAATCCGAGAATCTGCAAAGCATTAGAGCCCAAAACAGCGGAGGTAAGAAATTACGAGGCCAACGTTGTGAGGGAAAGGAACGCGAACGGAATCGCAAGCTTCATAACGGCCCGTCGTTCGCTTTCCTGTCTAGTGAAGGTATGCAGTGGGTAAGATACGCTGTCCCGCCTTACCGGGCTTATTTTGAGGCTTTTGAAAGCCGGGATAACAATAACGGTGGCCACCAGGAACGTGAGTGTATCGAGCCCCAGCGACCCAATCACATCGTACGCCGCATTTGAACCTATTTCGGGGCCCACAGCTCGCACCACCACTCTTCTTCGCACACCAACTTCCCCCGCCCCTCTACTTCCCCCGAATTCGTCCCCTCCTGTTCTCCGAAGCCCCGGTCCCACCCCCATGCCTTTAAGAAATGGCCTGTTTGGAACCCCAGCGCCTCCCCGCGAACAGATCCCATTCTGCGTTCCCTGGTTGCTCCGCGCATATGCGGAGTTCCACCTCGTATCGACATTCTTCCCCGCGGATATAAATCCCCCACGAGCGGGTGAGGAATGCGCGGAAGACGACACGCAAAAAATGGCGGAGCGGCGATAGCGGCTGCTGTTACCGCAACAGGCGCTGGTTTCAGCTCCTACGGTGCCGCGGGAAAATCGGGCCTTCTCATAGGAAGTCGGGAAGGCTGGGCTTACGGTGCTCCGTGAGATTAGGGAAGCGCGGGAAGGAAGGATTGAAGGGATCCGAGGGGGTGTTGAGACGGCGGAGGGTCTACAGCACCGTTGACGGGGCAAGGTGCTGTTGGGGGAGTGCATAAGTGGGGATAGCGGGGTTGCTGTTGGCGCGTACAACGAGGAGCGGGCATGTACAGGCGACATCAGTTTGACGAAGTGTACGGTTGGCGACGAAGAATGCGAAGATTCCCCGCAGCGACGTTCAAAAAAAGGAGCTTTAGACCGTCTGGACGGCGACTATTAAGAGGAGTTCGGGGAAAGCCGGACACGCTGACGAACTTGTGACACGTGATGTGTTTCAGTCGGTACATACAGCGTCGACTTCGTGCGGGGTCTAAACTCAATCCTGGTAGGCAGCTTAGGGAGAATTCTCAAGTTTGCCCGCCATCAGAAGTTTGCCCACGCGACTCGATTTGTTGACGTGGCATTATTTTACATTGGAAAGTTTCCCCACGCGATTCGAGGTTGGCCACCATGAGTCCAACCGGCCATGGTCGCAATTCCTGGCCTGTTCGTCAGTGTACGACAATGGAGATCGTGCCACGTTTGCTGGGTGTTGGGACTAGTGTTAGACATGCCAGTTTCATGCACACAGCCGTCACATATATTTCTTTCCTGCCCACGCAACCCATTTCTGCGTTGCTTACTTGATTTTGCCAAGTAAACCCACGTTCACTTGATATGACCATTGTGCCCAAAATTTACGTAGGCGCAATCGTCAGGCACGGCCGTTTAGGTTTTGCCTGACGAAGTTCCTCCAACACTTGGTATGCGAGCTGGCGCGTCAATTTCATTGGATATCGGACATGCGACGCTGGCGACATCTGTCGCCCGCCTAAATGAGGTTCGGTGGGTAGAGTGGGAGCGTTCCCACCTAAGGCACCATCATCTTCGGAAAAACGGGCTGGTGGGCAAACTTCGATGGTGGGCCAAGTTGAGAATGCGCTATTAGTAAATGTGGTGAGTGGGCTGCACAACTGGCTCGAATGGCCTGCAATCCTAGGCGAAATGTGGTCAGGAAAGGGGCTGTGCTGCTAGGGAAGGGAATGGATGCGAAGACACTGGGGGGAAGAGCCCCAGCCGTCAATTTGGGGTGCTTCAGAATTTGGAGGTTGGAACTTCCAAGGACTGTTTGCCTGCACCAAGACAGCGGCTTTGCTCCAAATTTCTTTTGCTCCATCTCCTTTTTTGCGTAAGGCAATGGACAAGAATACCCACTTTGTACAGTAGACTTTTCTTGCAGGTAACGAGGATTTGAAGTTAGTGTCGGGGCCTGAAATACAAAATCAGCAGGTTATGTAAGCTGACCGGAAACCGAAATGTAGGAGAAACACTGACCTTTAAAAAAGGTGCTTACTTTCTCAGATCCCATGTGGCAGTCTACCAGCCAATCACCTACGAACAAGCCATGTGGCGATATTCTATTGACAGATCGAACTGGTTCCACGTTATCGTGGAAGAGGTGTTTGCTGGTCGTCAAAATTCATGGACACCACATCAGTTCGAGCTGTCCGCTTCGCCCCTTCTTTGAAATCTGTTCTTCGTTCACTTCGTTTACGTGATATTTCGCGGGTCTTGAAAAATGCTCCGATGTTAGCACGCTCGCTTGCAAAGTGCTGAATGATATTTGGAAATGTGCACTCTATTGGCGAGGTAAATGGGAATAGAGAAGTCTTGAATCTTCCTGCACACATTTTCCACTAATAGCGAGGAAAATGACAAGCCATCATCTTATTACTAAATGCATCTGATGTGTTTTAATTGCCCGCATCGGCAACAGCAACTGCCACCATATGCTCAATCAGGTCAATCACGCGATTGCTGCAAGTGGAGACAGCAAACAGATGGGTATCGTTAGGTGGTTCTTAAACACAGCGTACTAAAAGGCGGCAGCAAAGAAAACGTAACATCAATTACCTGTAGCCCCACTCGTTGTCATACCAAGACACCAGCTTGACAAAGTTAGGGGTGAGGGCAATTCCTGCCTTGGCGTCGAAAATGCTCGACCTGCAATGCTTAGAGACATTCATCAGATGCAAAGCTTTATGAAGAGACCCAGCACATAAAACTTTGCGGAAGACTGTATGCTTACCTGGGATCACCCAAAAAGTCAGTGGAGACCACATCATCCTCTGTGTATCCAAGGTAGCCCTTCAGAGGACCCTCAGATGCAGCCCTGCATATAGAGCCAGCAGATTCACATGTTAGAACTCATTGAAAGGAACCGAAGAATCAGGAGCTAGGCTCAGCGTACTTGATGGCTGCCTTGATGTCATCGTAGCTGGCTCCCTTTTCCAGGCGAACAGTCAGGTCAACCACCGACACGTCAGGAGTGGGCACACGGAAGGCCATGCCAGTCAGCTTGCCGTTCAGGGCGGGAAGGACCTTGCCTACAGCCTGCATTCACACGATATCACCAAAGAAATGTTGAGGTGCTATTCCTGACCACGCATTCACATCCTCAGTAACATCTGTGTACAAACATAATTCTTTCAGTAGGTGGAAAAAAAAAAATAGACCCAGTTACCTTGGCTGCACCAGTGGAGCTGGGAATGATGTTTTGCGCCGCTCCACGGCCGCCACGCCAGTCCTTGGCCGATGGCGCATCAACAGGCTTCTGCGTGGCTGCAACACAAAAGGACATAATGACAAGCGTAAGACACAGGAACTGTCTAAGTACGAAACCAAGGCATCGCTTTCTGGCAGACTGACCTGTGACAGCGTGAACAGTGGTCATAAGGCCCTCGAGAATGCCAAACTCTTCGTGAACCACCTGTTACGCAGGGATGTTAAACAAACACCGCATTAAGCGACAGTGCATTCCTGGTACAGCATCAATGTTTAAGGTAATTTTGGATCTTTTGTTTCATATTGTCTCCTTACCTTGGCGAGCGGAGCCAGGCAGTTGGTGGTGCAGCTGGCGTTGGAGACAACGTTCATGGAAGGAAGGTACTTCTCGTCGTTGACTCCCATCACGAACATGGGAGCGTCTGCTGAAGGAGCCGAAATCACTACCTTCTTCGCGCCAGCCTTAATATGGGCCTCGGCCTTGCCGATAGTAGTAAACACACCTGCATGCACAATGACAAAGGTGCATTGCTCAACAAGCCGTCTTGTGCAACGTTACTACGAGAAAGCACTTTCTTTATCCTGTACCTGTTGACTCAACCACAAAGTCGACACCGGATTCACCCCAGGGAATTTCAGCTGGGTCCCTGCACATGAAAACGACCGGTGAGCGTAAATCATTTTGCTGATTGTCACATGGAATCCGGGATGAAAAACTACCGGAGACTAGATACTGACCTCTTTCCAAAGACCGCGATGCTTTGTCCGTCAATGTTGATGGCGTTCGCACTCTCAGCGTGAACTTCGCCGGGGTATGTGCCGTGGGAGCTATCGTAGCGGAACATGTAAGCCTGAACAGCGGCGATCGTTACACGAAAGAATCAGTACGATCCAACGCTGAATGACAATGTGGAAAACGGAGAGATATACGTGACGAAAGACGATGACAGGTAATAGACTAATCATGTGGAAATACCATGTAATCAGTGTCGATGAACGGATCGTTGATACCAACGACCTCCACATCAGGCGTGTCCAGAGCAACGCGAAGAACAAGACGACCGATGCGACCGAAACCTGGAAAAGCGGCAGTGGATGTTAGCAATCATGTTGCGTTCACAAATAACAAACGCCGACACACGGGATAACTGACTGCAGTCCAACACTAGGACGCACCATTGATTCCAATGCGAATCTTGCTCTTGCTCTTGGACGCTGTCACAAAGAAACACATGAATTTGTCAGCGAACGGTCACTTGGATAATCATACAATTTTCCTCGACCTAGGGTCTATTGAAATGACTCACCTGAATCAGTGGGAGGCTTCTCTGTCGCTATAGCAGCCTTAGTTGCGACGCATCTCGATGCCTTCGTTGCCTTCAGGGGCTTGCATGGGCCCACGAGACTGTTGTTCACGCGGAACGACCGAGCGAAGCCCTGGTAAGGCGGGAACAAGACACATTAGAATCCCAGGTGAAAACGGCAACAGAGGCGAAGAACGGGCGCGATAAAACGTGGGTTTAGCGGCATACAGAGGTGTAACGCATGAATGAGCTCTTTCTCAATCGAACTTACCAGCTCAGTAGCATTGCTGGCTTCGGAAACAGTCCTCTTCTCGGCCTTAAGCACGGTAGGCACGCGTGCAGAGAGCGAGATCGCGGTGGCCATTGTTACGATCGACTGGTTCTCTGTTCGCGAAAAAGGTGGAGAAAGGTGGAGGTCAACAGAAGTCTCGAATGCGTAAACTGAAAATAAGAACTGCAGGTCTGTGAGATATACCTGCTCTCTAGAATGTCATGGGACTCCGCCAAGCGATTCTGAAATACTCCCAGTTGCTTGCATCCGAGCGAGAATTCCAACAATTGATTAGAGGTGCATTCTGTGCATCGTACGGCTCAGATGCAGTGTTACCCTCTTGTAACTACAAGAAGGAAGCATTGTTCAGTGCAATCAGGCGACCCGATCACATAGGGAATTGCGCGTAAAATGAGCACTATTGGTGCAGGTGATCGAGTTACATTTTGCGCACGTGTACTACCGCTTTTCGTGGTCCGATGCCCCTTTTGCTGGAAGTGGACACATGCCGCTTTTTGAATGCACGGGTGCGGCGGCAAGCTGGGACGTTCGAGAGCTGTGATTCGATATTTTTCTGCGGAATCCGAAGGACGTGGAAGCTGACTTGGTCATCACTGATTGAGCAACAACAATTATCTTGGGTGAAAGTGATTTCTACTTTTGTCTGCGTAACATTTTCATTTTGTGGAAGCCGTGATTGTAAAATACTAAAGGGCGAGTATCTGGGTGCCAATGTCGAGGACAACGGATTGACTTGATTGCAGACTAAGGCAATCCCAAGGTCGGACACAGTCCAGCTCTCGTAGTAATGGCTTCAGAATACACGACTAGTTACCTTCGCTGAATGTACCCAGGTCTCATTTTCAGACGTCACGTTCCCGCCATGAGTACAGCTCTCACGACATGGCTTGAGGTGAATCATCCACATTGCGTTGGTGACCAATCGCTTCGGCATTGAGTCCGAACGTTATCCGACGCGACAGACGCGTATTCAATTGCTTCCCCTGGTGCTAATCCCGTTCATTTCCTCTTCAGGAACACGGCGCTCGCATTTCCGGCTGCAAAATTCGTGAATGCTTTTCGAAAGCCTTGCCATCCGTCGCGTCATTCGCCTCCGTGTCGTCTGAATCCAAACTTGCTACGTCAAATCCACGCGTATCAGACGATGACACGAGCAGTGCTCGAACAGCGTCCGCGAACTTATCGCATGCTCGTGAAAGCGACGCAGCGGCTGGGAACGTAGCAACCAGGGAGGATGATGCTGAGGCTGCAGAAGCAGAGCTTCTTACGGGTGATCATGCTTCAGCCAGTGCGGGATTCGGCGTTTTTCTGTCCAGATCGGATACGGATGAGAGAATGTATACTGCCGATGGAGGTCCGTCTTTGTGACTTCCTTTCGAGCAAATTTGAATTATTTCTCCACTGCTTTGTGAATCTGCACTTCGGTGACCTTCACAATCCTGGTGCTAATCCGCCAACGATTTTCCTGCTTCTGCCATACCGTTCTCCCTCCGTTTCACCCCTCCCCATATCCAGGCTTTCGCCAACTCCCATTCCTCCCACTCCTTGTCATTCCTTCACAATCCTCACAATCCTCTTGCGTTACTTTTGGGAATTCTCAAAAGTGACTCCCAAACTTGCGTGATCCTCCACACCTCAGCACACCTGCACATGCGGTGGCCTCGAGCAAACCGCATGGTCGTGAAGACGACGGAGTGATCATCTCCAATGCCATCAATTGACGGTCGAGGCGACTCACCAGGTCACCCTAATTCGATCTTCCTCCCATCCTCTTAAGCCATCCCCGCTCGTCACTCCCTCCCACACCCACAGACACAGTGCTCATCTCTGTGCCAACCTCAAAACGATTGTTGAGCTAAATTGAAATAACCCTGAATCCCATTTCCCCCGTTTTCCCATTCCCCACAACCCCTTATGGCATACGTCGCCACCCTATCCCCTCATCACGCCTGCAGACAGAGTGCTCATCTCCGTGCCGCTGTCTCTCCTTCTCTCCGCGCCCACCGCCCTGAAAGACCCCCTCTATGGCGCCTTTCTGCGCCGCCTGCACTCCCAGGGCCTGCTGGAGCACCGCATGCTCACCCTTACTCCCATTCCCCCATTTCTCCCATCTTCCCTTCCCCGATCCCCTTACGCATTCTCCCCTACATCATCCCCGCACCTGGAGATGCAGTTCTTATCTCCGTGCCGCTGTCTCTCCTTCTCTCCGCGCCCACCGCCCTGAAAGACCCCCTCTATGGCGCCTTTCTGCGCCGCCTGCACTCCCAGGGCCTGCTGGACCACCGCATACTCACCCTTACTCCCATTCCCCCATTTCTCCCATCTTCCCTTCCCCGATCCCCTTACGCATTCTCCCCTACATCATCCCCACACCTGCAGATGCAGTTCTCATCTCCGTGCCGCTCTCTCTCCTCCTCTCCGCACCCACGGCCCTGCAAGACCCCCTCTACGGCACCTCTCTGCGCCGCCTGCACTCCCAGGGCCTGCTGGACCACCGCATGCTCACCCTCACTCCCATCCCCTATATTTCCCCATTTTTCCCAACCCCCCTACGTCACCACCCCCTACTCTTCCCCCTCGCTCAGACACAGTGCTCATCTCCGTGCCGCTCTCTCTCCTCCTCTCCGCGCCCACTGCCCTGCAAGACCCCATCTATGGCGCCTCTTTGCGCCGCCTGCACTCCCAGGGCCTGCTGGACCACCGCATGCTTGTGCTGCTCCTGCTGCTGCTACATCGATGCCACCAGAAAGAACACTCCTTCTGGGCTCCGTAAGTTCTTCAGTTCGAGTATTCGGAAATATCCTCTCTCTCCAGCCTGCTCTCCCAGGGCCTGCTGGACCACCGCATGCTCGTGCTCCTCCTGCTGCTGCTGCACTGCACCGCTGCCACCAGAAAGAACGCTCCTTCTGGGCTCCGTAAGTCCTTCGGTACAGCTCTCCAGTTCCTGTTTCCTTGTTTTGAGTCGAATCAAAACACAACCGGGGCCTGCTGGATGGACTTGTCAGAGTTCTCAAAACTCTTTCTGCAGCCGGCACCGATGGCACCAGGGAGGGGAAATAGCTCCCTTCGGGATATTTGACCTGTTTGAGTCACCCATCAACCCGCACTTGCCCTTTCCTCTGCCCCACGGCCCGTCCCACACACCTGCCTGCAGCTACCTCTCCTGCCTGCCACAGTGCTTTGACTCGCCTCTGTGGTTCGACCAGGCCACGTTGGAGGAGCTGCGAGGCACTCCTCTGTACAACGCTGCATGTGCGCAGGTAGGCGTTTGCAACGTGAGGCGTTTTTGCAACGTGAGGAGTTTTTGCAATGTCAGGCGTGCTTGAAAGTCGAATCCCATGTACCAGGAGCAGGTGGACTTGATCTTTACTGCTTTGCCACGCTAACTGCCACATCACATCTCATGGTGTTTTCTCTGCTACGTACGGCTCCATATTGAATCCTCTTGCACCTTCATAGGGCCAACTTGAGGCGTGTGTAAGAGGAGCAGGTGGGGCCAATCTTCGCTGCTGCAGTGGGCTGACAGCTGCTGCATCACATTTGATTGGGCTATCTAAGTAGACAGTGTGCGTGTTTTGGAATCTCCCTGTTCGTTCAGAGGGCCAACTGGAGGCGAGTGTACGAGGAGCAGGTGGAATTGAGGGCCAACTGGAGCCGATCCTTGCTGCTGTGGTGGGCTGATTGATTTTCCTCTACTCTTCATGTCTCCATATTCAATCCCCTGTTCGTTCAGAGGGCCAACTTGAGGCGTGTGTACGAGGAGCAGGTGGAGCCAATCTTTGCTGCTGTGGTGGGCCAATCTTTTCTCCTTCGGTCTTCTCTCCCTTCATTTTCTGCCCTGTCCGTCAGCCCTTCTGCCCTGTGCTCGGTGGGAGGTTCTCACAGCCAACCAGCTTACCCACTCTTCTGGAAACAATGGCAGTTGGGGAGACGACCATGGGAAGGGAAAAGAGGAAGGAAGAGGAGATGGAGCAGTAGCAGGTTCAGCATCAGGCTCACATCCAGTTCAACATATGGCCAAATCTGACGCTGTGTGCCTGCTGCAAGGTGATGCTGCTGGAAGTTGGTGCTGTGTGGATCTTGTCTTGTTGCGGCCGCCTCGAAAACCACCCGCCTGTTTTCCTATCTCGAGTTTACTTTCGGTTCTTTCTTGTGGCGCCGCAAAGCCACCCATCTTTCAATCCTTCCTAGCACGCCTCTGCACCCTTTTCCACCCTCCCCAACCCACACCGGCCTGCAGTGGTGCCTCCTGTAAGGGGCAACGAGGTTACCATCAGCTATGGGGAGAAGGGCAACGAGGTTAGTAAGTGCATGTGTGGTGTGGGGTAATCCGTTTTCAATCCCCTTCCACCTTCTCCACCCCACACCGCCCTGCAGTAGTGCCTCCTGTGCAAGGCAACGAGGTTACCATCAGCTATGGGGAGAAGGGCAACGAGGTGAGAGCGATTTGGTACTCTTATGTATGGGGTAATCGGGTGATTTTAGGTAGCGCTATCTTTCGCAAACTAAATGAGACACGTTCAAACTGTTCAGTATTGGTAAGACAATGTGCAGTTGCTTGATGACACTTCCTGAAACTCTCTTCCTCTCTCCCTACCTCTCTCCCTACCTCTCTCCCTACCTCTCTCCCTACCTCTCTCCCTACCTCTCTCCCTTCCTCTCTCCCTTCCTCTCGCCACCTCCCCTCCCCACCACTCTCTCACACCAGGAGCTTCTGTTTCTTTATGGCTTCGCCATTCCCAACAACCCCCACGAGCGCCTCATGGTATGCTGCCCAACCACTCATCCCAATCCCCCGCAAATTCATGCATGATGCATACCTCTCCTCTGCCTTCAATGCACATACCTCTGCCTTCTCACACATGCCCCTGCCCCCACGTCTCTCCTCTCCTCTTTTTTCTTCCACTTCCATTGCCCTCCCATGCCCACCAGCTCAACTACCCCCCGGCACAGCTTCAGGAAGACCCAAACGCTTACATGGGTTCGTAGAGTGTTTTTTTCTCTCCGCACCCTCCCCTTCCCCTTTTTTCCCACGCTCCATTTCCCTCCCCTTCCCCCTTTTTCCCCACTCTCCATCCCCCTCCCTCCTCCCAGTCGCCCGACACGAACTACCTCTTTATGGGGGACTACGTAGACCGAGGCTACTACTCCGTTGAAACCGTGTCGGTGCGTCGCTGTGGTGGCACGGGGTGCGGGGGAGGAGGGATGGTGGGGTCATGATTAGGCGTATGGGGGCTGCTGATGGGGGGAGCGATTACGGGGAGCATGTGGAGGGAGAGCATGGGGGGAACGCATGGGGAAGCGGATGGGGGATGGATTGATTGAGGGAACGCAAGGCTGACGTGGATATGACACGTGGCATCTGCTTCATCTGCTGCCTGCCCTGTTAGAATCTCGAATGGTTTCTTGCTGTTGCCACGAAACGACCCTCGTCCCCGTTCGTTGGTCCCCGTGCGTTGACAACTGCTCGTCGTGACCTTTTTAAGGTAAGCAGCTGTGTGTTTGTGTCTCGCTCGCGACGTGGTGATATGGTTGTTTGACCAACTTCCATGCGGTTGGAGCAAGTCAGAACGGCAAGGGCAGCTCCATCCACTGCAGGAACTCAGCTCGAAATTACAGGTCTCCCATCCCATCCCATCTCACTCTCCCCAGTGCAAACCTGGCTCATGGGATCCAACCCACAGAGCAGAAAGGGGCGCGAATTGCACGAAGAGGGGCTTCCAATTCCCGCTGTGCGGTGGCAACATTTGAGCGAAAATTTGACGAGTATCGAATCGCGCGTGGTCCTGCCAAGTCGCGAAATTCGCCTAATCGAGGCGCATGTTGGCAAATGGGTGGAAAATCGTCATCTGCCAAGACGCATTTTCTGGCAGCTCCTGCGTCAGAGATAGGTTCGGAGGGAAAAGCTCGATATTTGGAAAACAATTCCCTGACTACACGTGGTATGTGTATCATATTTCACATTCGGTTAAATCTTCAAAATCACAAACCCCCTCATTTAGCTCAATGTGCACCTACGTCTACACTGATAAAACTGACAGCATTGTCTGTAAATCAGACTCAGAAACATCTTCTGCCACGATGCGCCTCCCAGAAGATCAGAGGCAGATCTAGAGGTTAGTCTAATTCTAGTTCTATGTTCACATATGACCCACGAGCCAGAGCTGGAAGATGATAGCTTAGGATTAAGACAAAATGGCATTTCTTGTGCAAGCACTAGATTCAAACATGCAGAGTAATCACTTTCATCAAGTATATAGATGAACTGGAAAGTGAAGATTGGGATGGATGCCTGAACTCGTGGCAGACACACAGCTGCTAAGTACCAGTACCACACTTCCAAACCACACAAGAAGAAAGGCAAACAGCACAAGGAAAGCTGGAGGTGGAACCTTCACCCCTTGGTACGCACTTAATAAGATATAATTGTTATTAGGGAATCCGGTATTGTGTGAGCAAGAGGATTGGATGCATTATCAATCATGAACTAGCTCATTGGATACGTAACAAGGTGAGAGCCAGATTGACGTTTCATTTTAAGCCCACGCAAGACTGCAATGCAAGGTAGGAGCTACACTCTGGCTACCGCATCCTACCATGGCACGAAAAAGTCAGGCCATTTATTTACTTGGCGGCAGCAGCAGGGTAGTGGAAGTAGACGGTGCGGCCGTTAAGCGGCTGGGGCATGCGGTTGTCGGTGCGATCCTGGTTGGAAACCGCCATAATGTTCATGAACTGAATCGTCTGCGCCACGGAGAGCGGCTGCGCCTTGCGCAGCACGTGCCACGAAACAATCTCGTCGCACTCGGGCGTGGTGAGCGAGCCGGGATACGCCCAGAAGCCGGACGACGCGTCGATCATCTCGCTCCAGAAGTTGGGCGTGATGGAGATGGTGGCATTCGCGTTGTTCTCGAGGGGCGCCTGCGGCAGCCACTGGTTGACCCACGCGGAGTCGTCGTCGTGGCGGTGCACGCGCAGCATGACGCCCACGACGGCGAGCTTCTTGGGGTCGACCGTGTTGACGTGCACGAAGTGCGCCTCCATGGGCGCGAAGAGCCCGTTGATCGCGTGCTCTGAGTACGTGTGCACGTGCATCTGCAGCAGCTTGTAGTCGCCCGATGCGAGGTGCAGCAGGTGGGTCTCCTCCGGTGCGGGAATCACCTCTGGAAGAAAGCAGCGCGGAGGAAAAGAGAATGAAAAGATGGTGGGGGATTGAGACATGGTAAGTGAGTGTCGGAAGGCACTTAGGGTGATCGGGAAGCGGGAAAGAATCATAAAAGAAAGTCGACTTTCATATTCAACCTCTCGAATGTTTGGTCGAAGGAAGCGAGTTCGGAATTTCGATTAATTTGACGAAGTCGTGCTTTTCGCGCTACGCTAAGCTATCCGCGGCAATTTGAGTTTGGGACTCACGGATGGTGGAGCCCTTGTTGACGACGGACGCCTGCTTGCTGGTGCTGCCGTACTCGAGCGAGAAGAGCTCCGGCTTCTTGCTCTGCACTGTCTTGTCCATCACGATGTTCACCGGCGATTGGCGCTCGCCCGTCGCGCACGCGCCCTGCAGCATCATCGCATCCAAACGAACATCGAACGGGCGAATGAGTGTGGAGGTTAGCGAGCGACATGGCGGAAATGCGTACACAGTGAGATCGTTGCGATGATACAGAGAGCGAAAGGATAGCGGTTTATCTCGGTGCTACGATTGCTGAGTGTTCGACAATTGGAGAATTGAGGAGAATTGAGACTGGGGGGGGGGGGGGCAATGCGGATATTGGTCCCTACCGGCCAGTCAATGCCGCTCTTCTCGTAGGTGAAAGCCCCAGTTGCGGCATTGGCGACAGCGGCGAAAGCTGCGAGCAGCACAAGGGCGACCGCGATTGAGCGAGCCATGGCTTGCTGCTGTTAGCTTCTGATTGTCAAGAGAACGGATGCACTGGGATTGAAGAGCCAATGTAATCGATGATGAAAATACGAGCTGAGGATCGAGTTTTTGTATGGCAAGAAAGTTGTGGTGTATCACGAATCGCGTCGCGTCCCCATCACAGCACATCCTCGTGCTTTGTGGGTTGGGTTGGGCTGCTTGTGAGGGGTTTCGCGAAAGCTTCACGAAGAGGAATGCTGAGGCGAGCGAACGGACGGCGAAATTCGGCCACGTCTGGACTCTCCCCTAGCGAAGTCCCATCACTGTCGCCAAGCAATAAATTCCTCTTCGGGCACACAGGCGACTCGTCTGGGACGTAATCAGCAGGCTGTCCCGGTGAAGGCTGAATTTTCCCCAGAAATGCGAATTGCTCGAGATGTTAGCCCAGGTCCATCCTGGTTATCGTGCGTAATGAGTGGCTCTCACGATGATATTCCCGCGCCGCCCATCCATTCCACCCCAGCATGACGCGATTGCAACGCGGCGCCAATTTCCAGGTTGAGTTCAGATGTGAAGTGAACGAGCGAAAATTGGCTTCGAAAGCACCGTGACTCGATGCCCGCTTGCACGTGGAATCGTGGATGTTTGTGGTTGTGGGATGCCAAGCGAGGGGCGGATGAACCTTGCCTACTACTGACGCGTACAAGCAGAACCTATCCCAGAATGCGTGTCCAATCCTGGGAGCAAGGTTCCGTGCTTCGTTATGGGTAATAAAACTCATTGATAGATGGTCCTTTAGAGTATGTTCTACTGGTCAATATGCTAGTCAATTTTCTCAATTTTACACTACTGGAGAGGAACATGCGAGAACGCTAATATACTAATCAATTTTTGTGTTTGAGATCGGGCGCTACTCGATTAGTCTCTTGAAAAGAGTATGCCTAAGTTGGCCTCTTAGTTATGCATTGTCGTTGGCCAATTTTTTACTAGTAAGCGTTTCGCAATACTCGTAGTTGTAACCCACATTATGTGGAAGCGAAGCACCTAACGCGAGTCAGAATTCGATGATCCATCATCTGTAGACACTATTCATCCTTCAAAACCCTGAAGACCGAATTCGTTGCAGACCCTCTGTCACCTCCGTAATCCCGAATTCGTAGCTAAGCGTCTTAGTTCCGCTCCTGCGCTTGTACATCCGCATCGTGATTCCTAACTCAGGGCAAAGCCTGTATCACCGCATCCCGCGTCGGCGAGACTGCATACTTGATTCGTAGCCGCTATGCCGAAGAAAAAGGGAGGCTCCGAGAGCCTGGGCTCGTCTTTAATCCGCCATAGATTCAACCGCGGTTCGGAGTTTCAGCACGCCGACGAGGGCCGACGCCACGTCATCGCCGCGGCGGAAGCGGCGGCGAAGCCGGCGCTGGTGTCGGTGGTGGATCAGAACGACCTGGAGGAGCTGCTGACGACTGCTGAGCTGGCAGGGCGGGAGTTCGCCGCCCAAAGAGGCAACGCTGAGATAATCTACCTAGATGGGTGAGAAGCGGAAAGATCAGAAAGAATATATGGGTGTAGGGTTTGGTTTCGCCCCCCTAGATTGTGGGATCTCTAGCTGTACTTTCTGGTCGTGTGTTGTTTCTTCCGCGGGTTGTGCGCTGCTGCTCTTGCCAGTAATCTCTCGGGCGCCAGCACAGATGGCGGCAAAGCTGCTACGTGTAGATGCGTCCATTTAGGGTTTCCCATGTAAACCTCGAACCCTGAACCCGAATCTATGACTGAGGGGTCATATTACAGGCACATGCGAAGGTTTAAGTATCGTCGTCGTAAACCCCGCAATTTGTATTCCTGGCGCGCTTTAACCCTGAGCCGCCTCTCGCCCTCCTCCCTCCGCATTCCGCCCTCCGCCCTCCGCTCTCCGCCGTCCGCCGTCCGCCGTCCACATTTCTCCACCCACTTCTCTCTGCTCGCAACTCTCGCCTGCGAGAGTGTCTTTAGGCTGGGCGGCGGAAGGCTGATTGGCGCGCCCGTCTACCCCCCAAACCACCCTCATCCCCTCCCCCCACACCGACTCTTCACGGGACGAGGGGGCGCAAGGTGGGAGAGTCTGTTTCTAGGCGTTTAAGACACCCCCATCCACCTCCCAACCCTCACAACGAGTCTCTTCCCCCGCAACTCGCTCCACACAGCTCTCGCTGGTAGCCTTAATCGCCATTCGGAATTCTAAAAAGCTATTCAAAGCTCTTAAAAGCTATTCAGAATTCTGAAAAACGCAACCCAATTCTCGCTGGAGGACTTTCGCCTTACACACTCACACCCAAATCGTCACGGAAATAAATAGTTCTCCTTCTACCCTCCCTTGATTGATTCTTTGAATGGGGATGTATGAGCTCAGGGCTAAAAAGCCCGCCTTCTCCCCTGAAACTTTCACAAAAAATCGTTTTTCTCCCTTCCCTTTTCACCCCTCCCATTTCCCCCTTCCCCTCCCCTCCCCGCCCCCTTCCCTTTCCTCCCCCCCCCTCTTTCTCCGAATCACGGCAGTCATGACGTGGGAGCTGCAGGCGGGAAAGGCGGAAGCAGCAGCGAGCGCAGGGAGCAGGAGGAACTTCACAGGAAGCTTCTTACCATCCCAAGACGGTGAGCGGAGATGAGAGGGAATGAGAGAGGGTAAGGGAAGTGGGGAGGGAGAAGAACAGAGAAGGGGATGAGATGAAGGGAGGGAAACTTACTTGCACGTCTGTTGAGTGATTCGTGAAGAGAAGTTGGCACGAGCTGAGTTGAATGATCATCTGTGGTTGAAATTTCAAAATTATGCTGTGGAATTGAAAGACATGATGAGGTGAAAAGAATGCATACTTCCCCTTCTCACCCTTCTTCCCTTCCCCTTCCCCTCCTTCCTCTTCCACCCTCCCTCTGCTCCCGTTTCTCCTCGTCTCCCTCCCATCCGCCGCTCTCACTTCTTCGGCCCCAGGCCCAAGTGGAGCGCAAGCATGACGTCAGCAGAATTGGACGCTAGTGAGAAGGCGGCTTTCCTGGAATGGAGGCGATCGCTCTCCGCGTGAGTGGCGCAAGGAAGGAATTGGAAGAGTGGGGGAGGGGTGGGGGCCGAGTGGGGAGGGGGAGGGATGGCAAGAGTGAGTTAGGGATCGAAGGTGTAGTTGCTGATGATGTTGCATGATGGGGAGGGTGAGGGGGAAGGGGGAATGTATGATTCCCAGTGGCGCGTGCTGATGGTGCATGCTCATGTGCGTTGCGTCCTGCGTGTCACGATGTGATTGTAACGAATGTGGTGTGGTGTGACAATGTGGCAGGGTGGAGGAGAACAACCACCTGGTGGTAACCCCATTCGAGAAGAACCTTGACATCTGGCGACAGCTGTGGCGAGTGCTGGAGAGAAGCCACCTGGTGAGTGGTTACCCGGTTACCAGTTGCTGGGTGATTGCGAGTGCATAGTTACCTGGTTACCAGTTGGTTACCATTGAATAAGGTGGTTACTTGGTTACCAGTGGCATGTGGTTACGTGGTCATTAGGCCAGTTTTGGTGGTTGTCATGCATGCTACTGCCTTCACCTGCTGCAAGAAAACTAATTTTCCATTCACGACCATGACATTCTTTGTAACCCCGTATCCAGGTGGTAACCGTGGTGGACAGCCGAGATCCGCTCTTCTACCGCTGCTCTGACCTCGAAGCGTACGTGCACGAGCTGGGAGCAGGGCCTAATCACAGCAACGAGAGCAGCAGCAACAACCTGCGCACCAGCAACTCGAAAGACGAGAGCAATAAGGATTTGGCAGACGGGAGCAGCAGCAGCAGCAGGGAGGGAGGGGAGGGTTCGCTGAGCCGGACTCTGCTGCTGCTGAACAAGGCGGATCTTCTGCCTTCTGGTGTGCAGCGGCTGTGGGCTGAGTGGCTGAAAGGACAGGGCGTTGAGTTCGCCTTCTGGTCTGCTAAGGCTGCTGCTGAAGGGGTGGATGGGGAGGAGGAGGGACAGGAGGAGGAGGAGGGGGAGGAGGGAGAGGAGGAGGAGGAGGAGGAGGAGGATGAGAGTGAGGGTGAGTGGGAGGAGGCGGACGGGGAGGAGGATGAGGAAGAGGGCGAGGAGGAGGAGGAAAGTGGGGAAGCAGGTGAAGTTAGTGAGAAGGAGCAAGAGGGAAGTGAGAATGTTGAGGGGAAGGGGAGTGTGAGAGTGAGGGTGACTAAAGAGGATGTGAGGATACACGGCAAGGACAGCCTATTACGGCTGCTCGAGGCGAAAGCTTCTGCCATCGCTGCTGCTACCGCCGCCGCCGCCGCTACTGCTGCTGCTCGTGCTCCTGCCGTTGCTTCAGCAGGAGCATCTGGGGGGAGAAGGGATAAGCAGGACGGGCAGAAGGACGGGCAGGAGAGAGTGGTTGTGGGATTTGTGGGTTACCCCAACGTGGGTAAGAGCTCTACTATCAACGCCCTTGTTGGGTCCAAAAAAACCGGCGTCACGTCCACTCCGGGCAAGACAAAACATTTTCAGACGCTGCCCGTGTCGGACTCGCTGATGCTCTGCGACTGCCCGGGGCTGGTTTTCCCGTCGTTTGCGTCGTCCCGGTCAGAAATGGTGGCAGCTGGAGTGCTGCCCGTTGACCGAATCACGGATCAAAGAGGGCCCGTTGAAGTGGTTGCTCGAAAAGTTCCTCGGGCAGCCCTTGAAAGTATTTACGGCCTGACTTTTCCGCCTCCACCTGCCCATGAAAGACCTGACAGACCCCCGAAGGCAGTGGAGATTCTTAAAGCCTATGCCCGGTCACGAGGGCACGTGGTTTCTTCCGGGCTGCCCGATGAAACCCGGGCAGCCCGAATCATTTTGAAGGACTATTTGAGTGGGAAGCTGCCACATTTCGAGCTGCCCCCAGGCTGCCCAGAAGAGAGTTTTAGTGACAAAAATTGGTTCGGCACAGGAGCAGGAGGAGAAAGAGAGGGCGAGGGAGAGGGAGAGGGAGAGGAAGGGGAACTTCTGGTTCTAGACGCAGTTGACTTGGAGCATTTCGGAGGTATGGCTCTGGAAGAGGCCCAGCAGGCCGCCGCTGCTGCTGCTGCTGCGGGTGGTTCTCTTGGTGATGCTGACTATAACGAGGGTGGGGAAAGCAGGGGAAGCGGCAGCACCACTGCTGGTGGTGCTGCTAGTGCAGGCCAGGCAGGTGGAGGGGGGAGGAGGCAGCAGCAGCCGGCAAAGGCAGAGCATAAGAAGCAGAAGAAGCAGGCGAGGAGCAAGAAGAGGGAGTGGAGGGTGGGCCGGGGGGGAGGGGATGGGGAGGAGGGGGCAGTGATTACGGTGAGAGGGGTGGTCAAGCCGTTGAGCCATGGGGCTGTCAAGCCTGGGATGGTGCTGCCGGGTGTCAAACACTTGGTGCAGTGATGGGAGTGATGGCAGTGATGGGTGTTCTATGATGGATGGTGATGGTGGTGGTGGTGGAGGTTACGGCAATGGTGGTGGTGGCAGCGCCTCAAGGTTTGCTGGTCTGAGGTGAAGCAAGCACTGTGATCACCTGGAATATCTCAAATTTCAAGAGAGGGAGTGGAGTGGGCTTTGTCGGGAACCTTATGCAGTGATGGCGACGGGGCGGTTACATGTTAGCAAGGGCAAGGCTTGCAATGAGAGATGTCTCCTATGTGGCTCTGATGTGGCTTTGAATGGCGGCTCTGATATGGCGTTCGACTGGTGTGCTTGATGGTGTGGTGATGTTGTGATGGCGTTTCGGGGAGGGCAGAGTGATTGGAAACATACTGATTTATAGGTTGGTAGAAGCTGATAATTGGAACCAAGGCTGGGAGTGGTATTTAGGGCACACAACACACTATCTGCTGACAAACTATTCGTCTGCAAACTCCACAACACCCAAAAGAAAAGAAAAGCCAAGAGCATTTTCCATTGCTACAAACCAAGCTACTCTATTCTGTTGTGTGCCCCCTTGCTGCTCTTCTACCCGTCAACACCAGAGGCTTGAGGGTTTAAGCATCTCAACTCGAGTCTACTCATGCCACCCCATGTCAACTCGTGCCATATCATTCTAACTCGTGTCAACTACCGTAAAAGAGCATACCTCGAGTGCATTGACACACTCTCCTCTTTTGCACCCACCGAGCCAGCACCGCACAACAGCACCGCACTCTCGTGCATCACACACAACAGCATCGCACTGCTTCTCTCCCTCCTCCCATTACTCTTCACTATACCCCACCCTCTCCCCATCACGTTGCCCCCCCTACTGCTCCTCCCACTCCCCCTCCCTCCCCCCCTCCCACTCCCCCTCCCTCCCCCCCTCCTACACCCCCTCCTTCTGCTCCTCCCGCTCCGCCCTCCGCTCCCCCCTCCCCTCCCGCTCCGCCCTCCGCTCCCCCCTCCCCTCCCGCTCCGCCCTCCGCTCCCCCCTCCCCTCCCGCGCCCTGCTGATCCCCCATCTGCCCCTGTTTACGTCGATTGCGGTTTCTCCTCTTGCCGCTCTTAGCGGAACGCGCCCCGCCTCCTGCCCCCGCTCCTCCCGTCCCCGTTTTAAGCTGCTCGATAGCGGGTTTCGCGGCGTTCAGCAGCCACTCGAGCGTGTCGCCGTACGTCGCCTTGTCCGTTCCGAGCCGCAGCGCGTGCAGCTCGAAGAACGCGCGCTGCATCTCCGGGGAAAACGACACGCACGAGCACTGCGCGCCGCCACCCGCGCCGCCACGACTTCCCGCCACGCCTCCCCCCATAACTCCGCACCCTCCCCCGCCTCCGCCTCCTCCGTCTCCGCCGCTGACCTCCGCATTTCCGCCGAGATGGTTGGTCACATCACCGCTCCCGCTCTCTCCTCCATCCCCTCCGCTCTCCGCGCCCGCCCCTCCCCTTCCGCGCCCTCGACCACTCCGCTGTCGCCCTCGCCCACCCCGCTGTCCCCTTCCGCCAGGCGCCGACGTTGCGGGGGCGCCGCCTTCCGCGCCGCTCGTACCGCTGGCGGCGCCCGCATGTTCTTCCGCGATAGCATGGCTGGCGGATTCCGCCGCTGGCGCGGGCGCAGTGAGTGACGGTTTGCCCTCCGCGGGGCCCGCTGGAACAGGCCGGATGGAATCTAGACCCTGCATTGCGGGACACAAGACAAAAGCTTTTTTCGGGCGCGTAATAGCGGAAATTGGAACTGCGTCAGGAGCTTCTGGACTCCACTAAGCCAGAATTCGGATTTTCCGCTACTGCGTCTAAGAAGCTGGGAATCTGTGGCGTAAGGGGACTGGCAGAAGGTGCGAAATTTGGAGGAAGGAGAGAAAATTGTAGTAACACACAAACCACCGATAGCGATTTATGTTCGCGCTCAAAACAGCTCTGGAATGGATTGCTTGCAGCAGTACACATGAGGCGGCTCGGGAATACGAGACAGCGTGGAGGTGCCACGTACGGATGAGCGCATTCTGACGAATGAAGTGGGTCAGATTGCCACGTGGAGGATTATGGGAGGAGGATAGAGGGTGCGTGCGTGGGCACTAGGCAATGGATTGCCAATGAAAGCAGGACACCAATTGGATCAAACGCAGAACACTCACGGATGGATGGAGAACATACTACACTACTTTACTACTGAACATATTTTGCAAAGAGATTTTTGACATTGTAGCCAGGTATATTGGTTGTCCTAACAAAATGATTTGATTGCAGGGAGCCAAAGAACTTTCTGGATTTTGCCTCCCTAAGACGACGGGCCCTATGTCTTTCGCATGCGATTTGGGCTTGAGTGGAAGGGTGCAACATTTCGTATTAGGTATTGCAACAGATGTTTCAAGACTTGCAACAGACATGAAATTCCCAGGGTGATGCTTAAGCTGCAGCTGAGAAGATTGCAACAGGGGAGCCTGAACATCACAGACAAGCATAGTGCAGCAGAACATCCGGAAATAGGAGACATGAATCTTAACTCCTCAACTCCAACTTCCAACTTGCTCGCAAGACACCTCACACCTGTGCCAACACACCTGCGGGAACTCCCTCCCTCTCCCTCCCTGGATAATAGCAAGTGGAACACACCTGGCACAGCAGCAGAGATGCGGGCGGCGTCCTTGGAGTTGACTGCAGCAACGGCATCAGCATCTGATGTGAGGAACACCCTCCCCTCCCCCCCCCACCCCCTTCCCCCCACCCCCCCTCCTCCTGAATCAATCTCAAGTGCAACACACCTGGAACAGCAGCAGAGATGCGGGCGGCGTCCTTGGAGTTGACGGCAGCAACGGCATCAGCATCTGAAGTGAGCAACACCCTCCCCTCCCCCCCCCCCCCCCTCCTCCCCCCACCCCCCACCCCCCCTCCTCCTGAATCAATCTCAAGTGCAACACACCTGGCACAGCAGCAGAGATGCGGGCAGCGTCCTTGGAGTTGACGGCAGCAACGGCATCAGCATCTGATGTGAGCAACACCCTCCCCTCCCCCCCCCCCCTCCTCCCCCCACCCCCCACCCCCCCTCCTCCTGAATCAATCTCAAGTGCAACACACCTGGAACAGCAGCAGAGATGCGGGCGGCGTCCTTGGAGTTGACGGCAGCAACGGCATCAGCATCTGATGTGAGCAACACCCTCCCCTCCCCCCCCCCCCTCCTCCCCCCACCCCCCACCCCCCCTCCTCCTGAATCAATCTCAAGTGCAACACACCTGGCACAGCAGCAGAGATGCGGGCAGCGTCCTTGGAGTTGACTGCAGCAATGGCATCAGCATCTGATGTGAGGAACACCGAGAACTGATCCAGCTGCAGCTGGCGCTGTTGGGTGGCAGGGTGCAGGGAGGATGTGGAGAGATGCAGAGGGACACAGAGGAGTGCAGAGAGGTAGAGAGGGATTAGGAACACAAGTGGCAGCAAGACTTTAAAGTCCGACGTGAGAAACACCGAGAACTGATCCAGCTGCAGTTGGCGCTGTTGCTCACAAGACACATGTATACACAGGAATGCAAAGGAAGGCAGGAGAGGGATTAGGCACATGAATGGCAGCAACGGCATCGGCATCTGATGTGAGGAACACCGAGAACTGATCCAGCTGCAGCTGGCGCTGTTGTGCACAAGCCACGAGATTGCAGTGAGGAACAGTTGCACTTGGGTTGGGCACATGCAGAAACTGTGCTGTGCTGTGCTGTGCTGTGCTGTGCGGAACACCGAAAATCGCTCACATGACACCAGCCCGATGCGGAGACGCACTCAGACGTACAATGATGCGCATACTCTGGTAAGTGCTGATCAGCAGAATGGCATGCTCCAATCAGGGCGCTGGTGCCACGTCACCATACTCATGACATCAGCATGGGGTCAGCGTCTCACCTTGATGAGGTCAGCATTCTCCCGCAGCACGTTGGCCTCGTCAAACTGCAGCTTCACGTCCAGAGCCTGATGGGGTGAGCGGTGGAATGGGGTGAAGTTTGGTGGAACGAGGTGATGTGCGGTGGAACGAGGTGATGTGCGGTGGAACGAGGTATTATGCGGTGGATGAGGTGATATGTGGAGGACCAAGCTTGAAGTTCAGAGCAACAAGGGCAGCAGGTCATAGCCTTGAGGGATGCACGGCAGAGGACACAGCAGGGTGGCAGACAGCAGATCAATCTGAGCGGTTGGCGACTGACCTGTGCGCCGTGCAGCAGAGAAGCATCCTTCTTGAATCGGATGAACCCCATGCACTGCCCCATCAGCTTCTTAAAGTCCGGGCGCTGGCGGTGGTGAGGGGGGAGGGGAGCGTGAGGGGAGGAGAGGGGGGGAAGGGGGAATGACTCAGTGTGGAATGAACCCCATGCAATGCCCCATCAGCTTCTTCAAGTCCGGGCGCTGGCGGGTGGTGGCAGGGATGGGAGAATGGGAGAAGGGGAAGGGGAGCGTGAGGGGAGGAGAAAGGGGATAGGGGATGTGAGTCAGTGTGGGATGAACCCCATGCAATGCCCCATCAGCTTCTTGAAATCCAGGCGCTGAAAAGTGGTAGCGATAGGAAAACCAGAAGAAGTGTGAGAGGAGGAGAGACAGGAACGTCTAGGGTTATGAAGTGGTGGTGGCAGGAAATTATGACAGCAATAGCAAGAGGAGGAAAGAGAGTCTGCAGAATTAGCCCCAAATTCCAGACTCTATTCCCGTCCCCTTCCTTAGTTGACTTTTGAGTCGACTCAAGAGTCTGCAGCATCAGCCCCAAATTCTGGACTCTATTCCCGTCCCCTTCCTTAGTTGACTTTTGAGTCGACTCAAGAGTCTGCAGCATCAGCCCCAAATTCCGGACTCTATTCCCGTCCCCTTCCTTAGTTGACTTTTGAGTCGACTCAAGAGTCTGCAGCATCAGCCCCAAATTCCGGACTCTATTCCCGTCCCCTTCCTTAGTTGACTTTTGAGTCGACTCAAGAATCTGCAGCATCAGCCCCAAATTCCGGACTCTATTCCCGTCCCCTTCCTTAGTTGACTTTTGAGTCGACTCAAGAGTCTGCAGCATCAGCCCCAAATTCCGGACTCTATTCCCGTCCCCTTCCTTAGTTGACTTTTGAGTCGACTCAAGAGTCTGCAGCATCAGCCCCAAATTCCGGACTCTATTCCCGTCCCCTTCCTTAGTTGGCTTTTGAGTCGACTCAAGAGTCTGCAGCATCAGCCCCAAATTCCGGACTCTATTCCCGTCCCCTTCCTTAGTTGACTTTTGAGTCGACTCAAGAGTCTGCAGCATCAGCCCCAAATTCTGGACTCTATTCCCGTCCCCTTCCTTAGTTGACTTTTGAGTCGACTCAAGAGTCTGCAGCATGAGCCCCAAATTCCGGACTCTATTCCCGTCCCCTTCCTTAGTTGACTTTTGAGTCGACTCAAGAATCTGCAGCATCAGCCCCAAATTCCGGACTCTATTCCCGTCCCCTTCCTTAGTTGACTTTTGAGTCGACTCAAGAGTCTGCAGCATCAGCCCCAAATTCCGGACTCTATTCCCGTCCCCTTCCTTAGTTGGCTTTTGAGTCGACTCAAGAGTCTGCAGCATCAGCCCCAAATTCCGGACTCTATTCCCGTCCCCTTCCTTAGTTGACTTTTGAGTCGACTCAAGAGTCTGCAGCATCAGCCCCAAATTCCGGACTCTATTCCCGTCCCCTTCCTTAGTTGACTTTTGAGTCGACTCAAGAGTCTGCAGCATCAGCCCCAAATTCCAGACTCTAATCCCGTCCCCTTCCTTAGTTGACTTTTGAGTCGACTCAAGAGTCTGCAGCATCAGCCCCAAATTCCAGACTCTATTCCCGTCCCCTTCCTTAGTTGACTTTTGAGTCGACTCAAGAGTCTGCAGCATCAGCCCCAAATTCCGGACTCTATTCCCGTCCCCTTCCTTAGTTGACTTTTGAGTCGACTCAAGAGTCTGCAGCATCAGCCCCAAATTCCAGACTCTATTCCCGTCCCCTTCCTTAGTTGACTTTTGAGTCGACTCAAGAGTCTGCAGCATCAGCCCCAAATTCCGGACTCTATTCCCGTCGCCTTCCTTCCTTCACTCCACTGGGTTCTCCCTCTTCTCTCCCCTCTCGTCTTACCTGCCCCACAGGGCTGGCTTTAAGAGCGTCCAACAGACCAGCATCATCCTTAAACACCTGCTTTTCCGCATAGAAATAGCGCTGCAGCAGCTCCAGACACACCCCCTGCCCTACCCTTTCCCCTTGTCTTACCTGGCCAAAAGGGCTGGCTTTAAGTGCGTCCAGCAGCCCAGCATCATCATTGAATACCCGCTTCTCCGCATCAAAGTGCTTCTGCAGCAGCCCAAGGCACTCCGCCTGCCACCCACCGTACTGCTGCAGGAGAACCCTTTCCCCCTCTTCCCTTATCCCTCTTCACCACTTCCCACTCTCCCCCCACCTTCCCCACCCTCTCCCACCCTTCCCCCCCTTCTCCCACCCTCCCCTTTCCCCTTACCCCCCACTGCCTTACCTGCCCCACAGGGCTGGCTTTAAGAGCGTCAAGCAGCCCAGCATCATCATTAAACACCCGCTTCTCCGCGTCGAAATGCTTCTGCAGCAGCCCAAGGCACTCCGCCTGCCACCCGCCGTACTGCTCGGCCACAAACACCACCCCCACCGCTATCTTTGGCGCCTCCTTTGGTACTGCCGCTGCCTTCCCCCCCTTGGCTTTTCCTCCTCCCGCTGATGCCTGCTTGGTGATGAGCTTGCGGAAATCAACTATGCAGTCCTGTGATATACAAGGAAGGGGGGAAGAGGGGAGAGAATGAAGAGGTGGGAAGAGCGAGCAGGGAGGTGTGCCCTTCCAGTGCACATATGCACACATGTACAGGTGCATACCTCCCCACTTGCAGATACATGTTTGGCGGCCTTGACGGTCATGTCAGCCGGTGCTGCGTCCGGTACAACTCTAGGTAACACACGCATGCACACATGCACATATGCAAGTATACACATACACACTTGCAGATACATGTTGGCGGCCTTGAGGGTCATGTCAGCCGGTGCTGCTTCTGATGCGATGCAAGGCAAAGTAAACGTGTAAGCATGCATGCTCACACACCCCGCACACCCATGACCTATTCCTGCAGGTACGTGTTGGCTGCCTTGAGGGTCATGTCGGCCGGCGCTGCTTCCGGCCAACCGGCTGTGATGCCTGCCCCGGGCAGCTTCAAAATGTTTCTCCACACGTGCTCTCCGTAATGCGGGCAGATCTGGAAAAATGACGCACAATGAAAGCGCGGAGGGGATGTGTATTTGCATGGGCATGGGCATGGGCACACAACAGGGTGGTGGTGAAAGATGAGCTACCATCAGCATCACAGCTTTCTTTGTGCATGGGCATGAGCAAGTGCACGCACATGTGTATTTGCATGGGCATGAATACCAACAGCATCTTATTTCACCAACCCAGCACCCCGATCATCCCACCACCCCAAAGCACCGGCATGAGCAGCAGCAGCACCGGCACTTAGCAAAAGCGCAAAGGAAGGTCCTAGTGCATGCTCGTGTGCATGAGTTTCAGACCCACCCCGTTCGCCCCAGTCCCATCACATCACATCACATCACCCCCATCACCCCCATCACATCACCCCCATCACCGCCATCACTCCCATCACCCCCATCACCCCCATAACCCCCATCACATCACCCCCATCACCCCCATCACCCCCATCACATCACATCACCCCCATCACCCCCATCACCCCATCACCCCCATCACCCCCCCATCACCCCCATCACCACCATCACCCCCCATCACCCCCATCACCCCCATCACCCCCATCACATCACATCACCCCCATCACCCCCATCACCCCCATCACATCACTTCACCCCCATCACATCACTTCACCCCCATCACATCACATCATCCCCATAACATCACCCCCAATCACCCCCATCATTCCCATCACCCCCATCACCCCCATCACCCCCATCACATCACATCACCCCCATCACATCACCCCCATCACCCCCATCGCACCGGCATGAGCAGCAGCGTCTGCACTTTGCAGAAGCGCATCAGCAGGTCCTTGTGCATGCCCGCTGCTCCGCACGACAGCCGGTACTCGTCACGCGCAAGCTGGGAAGATGGAGAGGAGGGAGAACAAAGCAAGGATAAAGGGATAAATAAGAGGCGGAATAGACCCAAGGCAACAGAAGGTCCTTGTGCATGCCCGCTGCCCCGCATGACAGCCTGTACTCGTCTTGTGCAAGCTGGGAGGGTAGAGGCGGAAGGATAGTGAGGGGAGACAAAGAGGCAGATGAGAGGCGGAATACACCACTGAAGACATCAGCAGGTACTTGTGCGTGCCCGCTGCGCCGCATGACAGGCGGTACTCGTCGCATGCAAGCTGGGAGGGTTGAGAGGGGAGGGAAGGACAAAGGGATGGGAGGTGCATTGTAGGAGATAGAGCTGGCCCACTGCCCCCCACATGACAGCCGGTACTCGCCTTGAGCGAGCTGGGAGGGTAGGTAAGTGAAGATAGAGGTTAGGAGAGGATAAACAGAAACACAGGATGGTCTGTGAATGACCAACCCTGAGTGACTGCAAGCACCTGCGAGTGAATGCACGCACCTATAGGGGCGAATGCTTCACCTGCAGGTCGAAGAAGCCTGTTTTGAGGGCCTCGCGGAACAGCATGTTGTCGAAAGCCGCTTTGGAAAGAGCCACAGCGAGGTTGATCTCGTTCTCAAACACCCGATCGGCAAACGATCGCTCGTCTCCGGTGCGCAGACCTCCCTCTGTGGCTGCTGATGCTAGGACCTCCTCCATCCACGTCATCTCCCTGCGGAGTGAAGGGGGGGTGGGAGGGAAGGAGGGAGGCATGAGATGAGCAATTGTTTGCCTCTGGTCCTCAGACACCCCTCTGTGGCTGCTGTGCTGACGCCAGCACCTCCTCCATTCACGTCATCTCCCTGTGAGTTGACAAAAGGGGCAGGGAAGGAAGAAAGCATAAGAGGCGGCGCTTGAACCGTCTCGAAAGTTAAACACTGAGGGGTGAAGGGTGGGGCAGGGAGGGAGGCGTGAAAGAAGAGCCACAGCGAGGTTGATCTCGTTCTCAAACACGCGGTCTGCGAACGACCGCTCGTCTCCGGTGCGCAGACCTCCCTCTGTGGCTGCTGATGCTAGGACCTCCTCCATCCACGTCATCTCCCTGTGGGAAGAGGGGTGTGGGGAAGGGAAGGAAGAAAGCAGAGGCGGCGCTTGAATTAGCTCGAAACGCAAACCCTGAGGGGTGAAGTAAAGAGCGGGGCAGGGAAGGGAGGGTGGTGTGAGGGAAGAGCCACAGCTTGATCTTGTTCTCAAACACGCAGTCAGCTTGGTCCTTAGGCCCCCCTCTGTGGCTGCGGATGCCAGCCCACCTCCTCCATCCACGTCATCTCCCTGTGAGTTGATAAGATTGGTGGACAGCACCACCAAGCAGAGGGTGATTTGAATACGGAGCAGGTTGAAGACAGAACTAACTGAAAGATGGTGAGGACTGCGTATGAGCCTGAGAATAGCAATTGGCAGTCTCCTGCACAAATTCGGCATCATCCACCGTGTCACCCGCACGAGCACTTAACAACCCAAGCTCCGGCCCAAGTCCCACTCTACTCTCTGCCCCACTCTCAGTGCAGCTCAAACAGCCTCTCACAATCTGAACTCCTCTTACTCTGTGAGCATCACGATCATCCACTGTTGCCTCACAAGTGTTGGCAGTCTCCTCGAAGTTTGTGTCGTCCACCGTGTCGCTCGCATCTGCATTCCACAAGCCAGCCCACATGGAGCTGAAAAGCAAACTGCCCGTACCTCACCATGCAACCCCACAGCCCAAGCAGGCTGACTCACTTTGTGAGCCTCAGAATGGCGGCGTTGGCAGTCTCCTCCACAAAATTAGCATCATCCACCGTGTCTCCTGCATCCGCCAGGGCGAAGCGGGTGGCGTCCGAAGAGAACTCCTCTGAAGGAGGAGGGGGGAAGAGGGAGGGGGAGGTGGCAACGGCAGGGGGAGTGTGCAACCGGACAGGGGTTAGCGGACAAGTGCAAGGAACAGAGTGTCACCCGCATCAGCCAAGGCAAAGCAAGTCGCGTCCGATGAGAACTCCTCTGCAAGAGGGGGTGAAGAGCAGGATATGGCCAATGGGAGGGCGGTTGAAAGATAAGTGAACAGGGCCCTGGGATGGGAACGCTGTGTCACGTCAAGTCAAAGTCCCATCCGCGAGGGTGAAGCCAAGTCAAGTTCAAAGAAAACTCCTTCCAGGGAGACGTGTGGCAACATAAATAAAAGCAGGTAAAGGTCAAGGGCGAAGCACGTGCCAATGGCCTGGCGAATGGTCTTGAAGTTGCCAGTGGATTTGGACATCTTCTCCGAGTTGAGCAGCAGAGGGCTCCTTTGGGGCAACACAGGGACACACACCGTACCTAACCTTGTAACCTACATACAATCTACCACACGGGGAAAGAGCTGGTAAACTCAAAAATGGCCTGGCGGATGGTCTTGAAGTTGCCAGTCGACTTGGACATCTTCTCCGAGTTGAGCAGCAGATGAAATGGCCTTCAAGTCAACATGGGCGCGCACAGACACACACCCTGGTAACCTACATGCAGCCCATCAGGTGGGAAAGGGGTGTAATGTGAGGACATACCGATGGCCTGGCGGATGGACTTGAAGTTGCCGTGGATTGGGACATCTTCTCCAAGCTGAGCAGCAGATGGCCTCCCAGTCAAAAAGAGAGACATACCCTATCCAACCTAGTAGCACGCATAAAGGGGCATGCGTGACAGCACATCTCACCGATGGCCTGGCGGATGGTCTTGAAGTTGCCGGTCGACTTTGACATCTTTTCGGAGTTGAGCAGCAGATGCCCGTTGGTGCGGAATCCCCTTGGCCATTGCTCCTGTTGTGTGGTGTGGTGTGGTGTGGCGTGGTGTAGGGTGTGGGGTGGTGTGGGGTGTGGGGTGGTGTAGCGTGCGGTGTGGTGTAGGGTGTGGTGTGGTGTAGGGTGTGGTGTGGTGACAGGAGCGTGAAAGTGTGACCATGATGAGAGGCATACGAATCAGGACAAGGCACAACCCGTCCCATCCCATCCAAAGGCAAACGCATTGTACCACCTATTGCCGCAAGCTCAGCTTACATGAATAGAATTGGAGACATAACGCGCAAAATTAATAAAGCTGCATACTTATAACGAACCTTGGGGAACACGGCGGTGTGATTGCAATGTGATTGTATAGAGGTGGCAGTGCTTATAACGAAACGAACCTTGGGGAACATGGCGGTGTGATTGTAGATGGCGAAGGTGAGATGGTTGTTGATCAGATCCTTCCCCGACACTCGCAGGTCAAACGGGTACCAGTACTCAAACTCCGCACGTGCACGCTGCCACGGGTTCCGGGGTTTTGGGGGGTTTGGGGGGAGGAAAGGAAGAGGGCGAAGGTGAGGTGGTTGTTGATCACGCGCAGGTCAAACGGGTACCAGTACTCAAACTCCGCCCGTGCACGCTGCCATGTCAAGAGGGTTTGGGGATTCGGGAACAGAAGGAAGACAAAATGTGAAACGGGTCAAACGGGTACCAGTACTCAAACTCCGCCCGCGCACGCTGTCAAGGGGGTTCAGGGGTTTGGAGGGGTTTGGAGGGGTTTGGGGGGGTTTGGGGGGGTTTGGGGGGGAGGTTTGAGGAGAAGGAAGAGCCAGAGGGTGAGGTGGGTGTTAGGTCCTTCCCCGACACGCGCAGGTCAAACGGGTACCAGTACTCAAACTCCGCCCACGCACGCTGCCATGTCAAGAGGGTTTGGGGATTCGGGAACAGAAGGAAGACAAAATGTGAAACGGGTCAAACGGGTGCCAGTACTCAAACTCCGCCCGCGCACGCTGTCAAGGGGGTTCAGGGGTTTGGAGGGGTTTGGGGGGGTTTGGGGGGGTTTGGGGGGGAGGTTTGAGGAGAAGGAAGAGCCAGAGGGTGAGGTGGGTGTTAGGTCCTTCCCCGACACGCACAGGTCAAACGGGTACCAGTACTCAAACTCCGCCCGCGCGGGCTGTCAAGGGTTCAGGGGTTTAAGGGGGGTTTAGTTTAGGAGACAAGAAGATAGAAACAGTGTGGAACAATGACCAACACCCACTAAATTCCGGTCTGGCTGCTCAAATCAAACAGCGTCACTACCACATCCGCTCCTGTCATTCACTCGCCAATTGCCCTCACACCCCTCACCTGCAGCACATCATCAGGGACAGGGCAGTCGTCGGGCTTGGGCACGCCCAGCAGCAGATGGTCCCAGAGGGGAGCAGGGTGCACAGCCGACCTCATAAAGGAGAAGCGACCATTCACCTGCACACACTTACTGCCTCACCTACACCCACCCATCTCCCTCACCTGCTCTTCCTCCTCTGCCTCACGCACACCACCCCAGTGGCCCCATCTCCCTCACACCCCTCACCTGCAGCACGTCATCAGGCACAGGGCAATCGGCAGGCTTGGGAGCGCCCTGCAGCAGATGGTCCCAGGCTTGACACACGCCACCCTATGTGCCTCATCTCCCTCACCTGCTCCTCCTCCTCGCCTCACACACACACACACCACCGTATCTCTACCTTCATCTGCTTCACTGCCCTCACCTGCAGCACGTCATCAGGCACAGGGCAATCGGCGGGCTTGGGAGTGCCCTGCAGCAGATGGTCCCAGAGGGCGTGGGAGAGGTGCTCCGGCTTGATGCTCTGCTTGCCTGACGTGCCAAAGATGTCGCCCTCCTGATTAAGTGTAAATAGGGGGTGATTGGCGAGAGCAGGGGAATGCATGGGATGGGAGAGGCAGTCAGGCCGAGTGCATTTCATGGGAGAGGTGCTCCGGCTTGATGCTCTGCTTGAATGACGTGCCAAAGATGTCTCCCTCCTGATTAAGAGGCAAGTACGGGGGGGATTGACGAGTGGAAGTGGAAGGCGTGGGAGTTGCAGTCAGGTTGAGCGCTCTGCGTGGGAGAGGTGCTCCGGTTTGATGCTCTGCTTGCCTGACGTGCCAAAGATGTCTCCCTCCTGCATGGGGGGGGACAGTGGGCGGTGATTGAGGAGCGGAGGGGAAGGCATGAGAGTCAGGTTGAGTGCTCTTCACGGAAGAGGACTCACCTGAAACCTCACATCACATGGAGGATGTGATGTGATGTGAGACAGCATGTGGCCGTATAGGTGGTGCTGTGCTGTGTGACAGCATATCAAAGTCACTTCTGAGAATTCCCAAAAGTCAATCAGCAGGTGCACCTGAAGGATCGCACTCAAACCCATCTTACTCACCTGCAGGATGTGAGAGAGCGTGTAGTAGGCCATGTAGATGGTGCTGTCAGACAGCGACTCATAAGACACCTCACTCATCTGGGTGCCTGAATCACCGCACTCAACCCACCCATCTCACCTGGAGAATATGCGAGAGCGTGTAGTAGGCCATGTAGATGGTGCTGTCGGAGAGCGACTCAATGAGGAACTGTGGGTCCCACGGGATGCGCGTGCCCAGGCCGAAGGAACGTGAGCACGCCCACTGGGAGATGGGAGGGAGGAGGGAAAGAGGGGAAAATGGGAGGAAGAGTTGCGGCAGGAATATCAGAGAGCGACTCAATGAGGAACTGCGGGTCCCACGGGATGCGCGTGCCCAGGCCGAAGGAGCGCGAGCACGCCCACTGGGACAGGACAGGGAAGGGACGAAAAAGGAGGCAGAGGAAGGAAGATCGAGGATTAGACCACAGAAACACCCACGGGGGCCATGGAAGGATAAATAGCGAGACACCCCCTCCATTTCCTTCCTATCCGTCCACCCCTATTCTCCTCCCCCCCCATCTCTCACCCTATCACCCTCACTATCTCACCCTATCCAGCCATCCCAGAGTGTGCTGGAACCCGTGCCGCGTCTCCTTGTTGTACAGCTGCATGCCCGCCAGACACTCCTCTGCCTGCACAGCACACCCTACTGCCCTGCTCCCTCCCCTATTCCCCAACCGCCCACTCACCCTATCAAGCCATCCCAGCGTGCGCTGGAACCCATGCCTCGTCTTCTCGTTGTAAAGCTGCATGCCCGCCAGACACTCCTCTGTCAGCGCCCTTTCCCTGCACTGCACGCCCCCTCCATTCCCTTTCTTTCGCCCAGCCCACCCCTATCCTTCACACAATCTCTCACTCACCCTGTCATGCCACCCCAGCGTGTGCTGGAACCCGTGCCGCGTCTCCTTGTTGTAAAGCTGCATGCCCGCCAGACACTCCTCTGCCAGCGCCCTTTCTCCCGTGCCCCCTCCCTTCCCTCTCATTCCGCCCATCCCCATTCCTTCCACAATATCTCACCCTATCAAGCCACCCCAGCGTGTGCTGGAACCCGTGCCGGGTCTCCTCGTTGTAAAGCTGCATGCCCGCAAGGCACTCCTCTGCCAGGGCGCGCCACTGCTCCTCGCCGTACGTGAGGTACCACTGGTCTGTGAGAGCCACCACACACTCATCTCCTGACCGCGATGTCACCCTCTTCTCTGGTTCACTGTAGGGTACTGCTTCACCTCGTTCAACCAGAAGCTGTAGGGGGGAGGAGAAGTGGGGGAGAGGCAAGACCAGTACGTGAGGTACCACTGATCCGTCAGCGCCACCACGCACTCGTCTCCCGACCGCGATGTGACTCACTATTTTGGCTCGCTGTAGGGCACTGTCTCACCTCTTCCGATCAACAACTGGAGGGAGGGAGAAGGAAGGGAGAGGGAAGCCGTATGTGAGGTACCACTGGTCAGCCAGCGCCACCACACACTCGTCCCATGACCGTCAAACAACCCGCTTCTCTGGCTCGCTGTATGGCATGGCACTTCTCTCACCGCGCTTAATCAACAGTTCGCGGGAGGAGGGAAGTGGAGAGGGAACAAGAGCAGGGGAAGGGTGCGGAGAGGAATAGTCAGGTACCACTCCGATGTGCGTATGCGCAAGAACACACTCAATCCAGACCTTGACACAGACTTGTTCGTTCTGAGACAACACCATTCTGTGGCGCATGCACCTTCTTGATTTGTGGCTTGCCGTCCTGTTTCTTTTAAGGCGCCTCAACAAAAGAAATCAGCTGACATCACCACAGGGTGCACATACCTTCTTGATCTGCGGCTTGGCGTCCTGCACCTTGGTCCCCTTGAGCTCGCCCACCAGCATCACTCCGTCCGTGAAACCCTGCACGCACGGGATGAAGGAAAGACATGGAAGAGGAATGATTGTGTTTGGGCTGAGCAACACTGGACAAGTGGGAGAAGGGAAACTCAGAACAGAAGCAACAGTGCAGTTTTGATAGACACCGTGCCACCTGTGATCAGTAGGTCTTTGTGACTCAAACCTCAGTGCACCAAGGATGCATTGCTCTTCTGCACTCACCTTGAGATAAGTCTTAGCCATTCACCCACCTTAAGATAAGTCTTAGCCATTCACTCACCTTGAGATACATCTTAGCCAGTCACCCACCTTGAGGTAAGTGAGTCTCTTAGCCTCGGCCAGCTTCTCCTTGTCGTTCTGGCTCTGGATCTTGAGGTCCTGGCACACTTTGACTGCCGCTGCATCGCCAAACTCGGGGATGTTTATAATGGGGATGACCTCGAATGGCAGCACCCACTCATCCTTCACGTTGAACTTGGCTCGCAGGGCTGGGGTGCGGTGGGGTGGGGTGGGGTGGGTTGGGTTGGGGTTGGGAACAGTAAACCAGGAGCAGCAACGGTACAGAGGGGTGGAGGAGTGGAGAAAGGGCAGGGACGGAGCACGTGCAAGAGCAGATCACCTCGAAGGGCAGCACCCACTCGTCCTTCACGTTGAACTTTGCTCGCAGGGCTGGGGCGGGGTGAGGTGGGGTGGGGTGGGGTGGGGTGGGGTGGGGTGAGGTTGGGGACAGTACGCCAGGAGCTGGAACGGTGCAAAGGAGTGGAGGAGTGGACAAGGGAAATGAGCCAGTGCAATAAGAGATGACGTCAAAGGCCAACACCCACTCTTCCTTCACGTTGACCCTCGCAGGGCTGGGGGTCGCTCGGACGGAGTATGGATGGATGGGCATGATATGGGGATGGGGATGAGGATGGGGACGGCTATGGGAATGGATAGAAATGGATGGAGTAAGAGTGGGCAGGGATATGCACCATCAGAACCTGATGCTGAACCTGATGCTGAACCTGATGGGGAAACTGATAGGGAAACTGATGGGGAAACTGATGGGGGAAAGCCTATGCAGGTATTTATGTGCATGCATGTGCATGTGCATGTACGTACAGTTGTACGAATGAATCTACGTATGCATGTACCACACGACTCACCGAGCTTGCTCTTGAGGCCCTGCAGAGCCATGTACTCATCTGGTGCATCGCTGGGCACACTCGTTGGTGTGGTGCCGCCATTCCACACCTTATGCACACATGCATGCTTGTACGTATGTATGTATGCATACCCGGCTTGCTCTTGAGGTCCTGCAGTGCCATGTAGTCATCTGGTGCATCACTGGGCACACTCGTCACCACTCCCGTGCCTGCAGGTGGGGGGGGGGGGGGGGGGGGGGGGGGAGAGTATACAGGGGCAGAAGAGTGAGTGAGAGGGGAGGAGAGCCGGAGAGGACAAGAGCCATGTAGTCGTCTGGTGAATCGCTGGGCACACTCGTCGCCATCCTCGTGCCTGCATGCATGTGCCATGCATGTACGTCATGTCAGGTGCATGTGATGTGGCAGTGGTAGGGGACAAGTGCAAGAGACACACAGAGAGGAGAGAGGATCCAAGTGAGAAAGTGGCAAATGTAGATGATGAGGAAGGGGATTGCAAATAAACTCTCAACTCTCCAGCTCCATTTCACAAGGGGCATTGTTTCCGAAAGGACTCTTGGGCACGAGATACCTTTGATGAGCATGGGGTGAGCAACGCACCTTTGTCCGTGAGGATGGTGAGCAACGCACCTTTGTCCGTGAGGATGGTGAGCAACGCACCTTTGTCCGTGAGGATGGTGAGCAACGCACCTTTGTCCGTGAGGATGGTGAGCAACGCACCTTTGTCCGTGAGGATGGTGAGCAACGCACCTTTGTCCGTGAGGATGGTGAGCAACGCACCTTTGTCCGTGAGGATGGTGAGCAACGCACCTTTGTCCGTGAGGATGGTGAGCAGCGCACCTTTGTCCGTGAGGATGGTGAGCAGCGCACCTTTGTCCGTGAGGATGGTGAGCAACGCACCTTTGTCCGTGAGGATGGTGAGCAACGCACCTTTGTCCGTGAGGATGGTGAGCAACGCACCTTTGTCCGTGAGGATGGTGAGCAACGCACCTTTGTCCGTGAGGATGGTGAGCAACGCACCTTTGTCCGTGAGGATGGTGAGCAACGCACCTTTGTCCGTGAGGATGGTGAGCAACGCACCTTTGTCCGTGAGGATGGTGAGCAACGCACCTTTGTCCGTGAGGATGGTGAGCAACGCACCTTTGTCCGTGAGGATGGTGAGCAACGCACCTTTGTCCGTGAGGATGGTGAGCAACGCACCTTTGTCCGTGAGGATGGTGAGCAACGCACCTTTGTCCGTGAGGATGGTGAGCAACGCACCTTTGTCCGTGAGGATGGTGAGCAACGCACCTTTGTCCGTGAGGATGGTGAGCAACGCACCTTTGTCCGTGAGGATGGTGAGCAACGCACCTTTGTCCGTGAGGATGGTGAGCAACGCACCTTTGTCCGTGAGGATGGTGAGCAACGCACCTTTGTCCGTGAGGATGGTGAGCAACGCACCTTTGTCCGTGAGGATGGTGAGCAACGCACCTTTGTCCGTGAGGATGGTGAGCAACGCACCTTTGTCCGTGAGGATGGTGAGCAACGCACCTTTGTCCGTGAGGATGGTGAGCAACGCACCTTTGTCCGTGAGGATGGTGAGCAACGCACCTTTGTCCGTGAGGATGGTGAGCAACGCACCTTTGTCCGTGAGGATGGTGAGCAACGCACCTTTGTCCGTGAGGATGGTGAGCAACGCACCTTTGTCCGTGAGGATGGTGAGCAACGCACCTTTGTCCGTGAGGATGGTGAGCAACGCACCTTTGTCCGTGAGGATGGTGAGCAACGCACCTTTGTCCGTGAGGATGGTGAGCAACGCACCTTTGTCCGTGAGGATGGTGAGCAACGCACCTTTGTCCGTGAGGATGGTGAGCAACGCACCTTTGTCCGTGAGGATGGTGAGCAACGCACCTTTGTCCGTGAGGATGGTGAGCAACGCACCTTTGTCCGTGAGGATGGTGAGCAACGCACCTTTGTCCGTGAGGATGGTGAGCAACGCACCTTTGTCCGTGAGGATGGTGAGCAACGCACCTTTGTCCGTGAGGATGGTGAGCAACGCACCTTTGTCCGTGAGGATGGTGAGCAACGCACCTTTGTCCGTGAGGATGGTGAGCAACGCACCTTTGTCCGTGAGGATGGTGAGCAACGCACCTTTGTCCGTGAGGATGGTGAGCAACGCACCTTTGTCCGTGAGGATGGTGAGCAACGCACCTTTGTCCGTGAGGATGGTGAGCAACGCACCTTTGTCCGTGAGGATGGTGAGCAACGCACCTTTGTCCGTGAGGATGGTGAGCAACGCACCTTTGTCCGTGAGGATGGTGAGCAACGCACCTTTGTCCGTGAGGATGGTGAGCAACGCACCTTTGTCCGTGAGGATGGTGTGGTGAGCAACGCACCTTTGTCCGTGAGGATGGTGAGCAACGCACCTTTGTCCGTGAGGATGGTGAGCAACGCACCTTTGTCCGTGAGGATGGTGAGCAACGCACCTTTGTCCGTGAGGATGGTGAGCAACGCACCTTTGTCCGTGAGGATGGTGAGCAACGCACCTTTGTCCGTGAGGATGGTGAGCAACGCACCTTTGTCCGTGAGGATGGTGAGCAACGCACCTTTGTCCGTGAGGATGGTGAGCAACGCACCTTTGTCCGTGAGGATGGTGAGCAACGCACCTTTGTCCGTGAGGATGGTGAGCAACGCACCTTTGTCCGTGAGGATGGTGAGCAACGCACCTTTGTCCGTGAGGATGGTGAGCAACGCACCTTTGTCCGTGAGGATGGTGAGCAACGCACCTTTGTCCGTGAGGATGGTGAGCAACGCACCTTTGTCCGTGAGGATGGTGAGCAACGCACCTTTGTCCGTGAGGATGGTGAGCAACGCACCTTTGTCCGTGAGGATGGTGAGCAACGCACCTTTGTCCGTGAGGATGGTGAGCAACGCACCTTTGTCCGTGAGGATGGTGAGCAACGCACCTTTGTCCGTGAGGATGGTGAGCAACGCACCTTTGTCCGTGAGGATGGTGAGCAACGCACCTTTGTCCGTGAGGATGGTGAGCAACGCACCTTTGTCCGTGAGGATGGTGAGCAACGCACCTTTGTCCGTGAGGATGGTGAGCAACGCACCTTTGTCCGTGAGGATGGTGAGCAACGCACCTTTGTCCGTGAGGATGGTGAGCAACGCACCTTTGTCCGTGAGGATGGTGAGCAACGCACCTTTGTCCGTGAGGATGGTGAGCAACGCACCTTTGTCCGTGAGGATGGTGAGCAACGCACCTTTGTCCGTGAGGATGGTGAGCAACGCACCTTTGTCCGTGAGGATGGTGAGCAACGCACCTTTGTCCGTGAGGATGGTGAGCAACGCACCTTTGTCCGTGAGGATGGTGAGCAACGCACCTTTGTCCGTGAGGATGGTGAGCAACGCACCTTTGTCCGTGAGGATGGTGAGCAACGCACCTTTGTCCGTGAGGATGGTGAGCAACGCACCTTTGTCCGTGAGGATGGTGAGCAACGCACCTTTGTCCGTGAGGATGGTGAGCAACGCACCTTTGTCCGTGAGGATGGTGAGCAACGCACCTTTGTCCGTGAGGATGGTGAGCAACGCACCTTTGTCCGTGAGGATGGTGAGCAACGCACCTTTGTCCGTGAGGATGGTGAGCAACGCACCTTTGTCCGTGAGGATGGTGAGCAACGCACCTTTGTCCGTGAGGATGGTGAGCAACGCACCTTTGTCCGTGAGGATGGTGAGCAACGCACCTTTGTCCGTGAGGATGGTGAGCAACGCACCTTTGTCCGTGAGGATGGTGAGCAACGCACCTTTGTCCGTGAGGATGGTGAGCAACGCACCTTTGTCCGTGAGGATGGTGAGCAACGCACCTTTGTCCGTGAGGATGGTGAGCAACGCACCTTTGTCCGTGAGGATGGTGAGCAACGCACCTTTGTCCGTGAGGATGGTGAGCAACGCACCTTTGTCCGTGAGGATGGTGAGCAACGCACCTTTGTCCGTGAGGATGGTGAGCAACGCACCTTTGTCCGTGAGGATGGTGAGCAACGCACCTTTGTCCGTGAGGATGGTGAGCAACGCACCTTTGTCCGTGAGGATGGTGAGCAACGCACCTTTGTCCGTGAGGATGGTGAGCAACGCACCTTTGTCCGTGAGGATGGTGAGCAACGCACCTTTGTCCGTGAGGATGGTGAGCAACGCACCTTTGTCCGTGAGGATGGTGAGCAACGCACCTTTGTCCGTGAGGATGGTGAGCAACGCACCTTTGTCCGTGAGGATGGTGAGCAACGCACCTTTGTCCGTGAGGATGGTGAGCAACGCACCTTTGTCCGTGAGGATGGTGAGCAACGCACCTTTGTCCGTGAGGATGGTGAGCAACGCACCTTTGTCCGTGAGGATGGTGAGCAACGCACCTTTGTCCGTGAGGATGGTGAGCAACGCACCTTTGTCCGTGAGGATGGTGAGCAACGCACCTTTGTCCGTGAGGATGGTGAGCAACGCACCTTTGTCCGTGAGGATGGTGAGCAACGCACCTTTGTCCGTGAGGATGGTGAGCAACGCACCTTTGTCCGTGAGGATGGTGAGCAACGCACCTTTGTCCGTGAGGATGGTGAGCAACGCACCTTTGTCCGTGAGGATGGTGAGCAACGCACCTTTGTCCGTGAGGATGGTGAGCAACGCACCTTTGTCCGTGAGGATGGTGAGCAACGCACCTTTGTCCGTGAGGATGGTGAGCAACGCACCTTTGTCCGTGAGGATGGTGAGCAACGCACCTTTGTCCGTGAGGATGGTGAGCAACGCACCTTTGTCCGTGAGGATGGTGAGCAACGCACCTTTGTCCGTGAGGATGGTGAGCAACGCACCTTTGTCCGTGAGGATGGTGAGCAACGCACCTTTGTCCGTGAGGATGGTGAGCAACGCACCTTTGTCCGTGAGGATGGTGAGCAACGCACCTTTGTCCGTGAGGATGGTGAGCAACGCACCTTTGTCCGTGAGGATGGTGAGCAACGCACCTTTGTCCGTGAGGATGGTGAGCAACGCACCTTTGTCCGTGAGGATGGTGAGCAACGCACCTTTGTCCGTGAGGATGGTGAGCAACGCACCTTTGTCCGTGAGGATGGTGAGCAACGCACCTTTGTCCGTGAGGATGGTGAGCAACGCACCTTTGTCCGTGAGGATGGTGAGCAACGCACCTTTGTCCGTGAGGATGGTGAGCAACGCACCTTTGTCCGTGAGGATGGTGAGCAACGCACCTTTGTCCGTGAGGATGGTGAGCAACGCACCTTTGTCCGTGAGGATGGTGAGCAACGCACCTTTGTCCGTGAGGATGGTGAGCAACGCACCTTTGTCCGTGAGGATGGTGAGCAACGCACCTTTGTCCGTGAGGATGGTGAGCAACGCACCTTTGTCCGTGAGGATGGTGAGCAACGCACCTTTGTCCGTGAGGATGGTGAGCAACGCACCTTTGTCCGTGAGGATGGTGAGCAACGCACCTTTGTCCGTGAGGATGGTGAGCAACGCACCTTTGTCCGTGAGGATGGTGAGCAACGCACCTTTGTCCGTGAGGATGGTGAGCAACGCACCTTTGTCCGTGAGGATGGTGAGCAACGCACCTTTGTCCGTGAGGATGGTGAGCAACGCACCTTTGTCCGTGAGGATGGTGAGCAACGCACCTTTGTCCGTGAGGATGGTGAGCAACGCACCTTTGTCCGTGAGGATGGTGAGCAACGCACCTTTGTCCGTGAGGATGGTGAGCAACGCACCTTTGTCCGTGAGGATGGTGAGCAACGCACCTTTGTCCGTGAGGATGGTGAGCAACGCACCTTTGTCCGTGAGGATGGTGAGCAACGCACCTTTGTCCGTGAGGATGGTGAGCAACGCACCTTTGTCCGTGAGGATGGTGAGCAACGCACCTTTGTCCGTGAGGATGGTGAGCAACGCACCTTTGTCCGTGAGGATGGTGAGCAACGCACCTTTGTCCGTGAGGATGGTGAGCAACGCACCTTTGTCCGTGAGGATGGTGAGCAACGCACCTTTGTCCGTGAGGATGGTGAGCAACGCACCTTTGTCCGTGAGGATGGTGAGCAACGCACCTTTGTCCGTGAGGATGGTGAGCAACGCACCTTTGTCCGTGAGGATGGTGAGCAACGCACCTTTGTCCGTGAGGATGGTGAGCAACGCACCTTTGTCCGTGAGGATGGTGAGCAACGCACCTTTGTCCGTGAGGATGGTGAGCAACGCACCTTTGTCCGTGAGGATGGTGAGCAACGCACCTTTGTCCGTGAGGATGGTGAGCAACGCACCTTTGTCCGTGAGGATGGTGAGCAACGCACCTTTGTCCGTGAGGATGGTGAGCAACGCACCTTTGTCCGTGAGGATGGTGAGCAACGCACCTTTGTCCGTGAGGATGGTGAGCAACGCACCTTTGTCCGTGAGGATGGTGAGCAACGCACCTTTGTCCGTGAGGATGGTGAGCAACGCACCTTTGTCCGTGAGGATGGTGAGCAACGCACCTTTGTCCGTGAGGATGGTGAGCAACGCACCTTTGTCCGTGAGGATGGTGAGCAACGCACCTTTGTCCGTGAGGATGGTGAGCAACGCACCTTTGTCCGTGAGGATGGTGAGCAACGCACCTTTGTCCGTGAGGATGGTGAGCAACGCACCTTTGTCCGTGAGGATGGTGAGCAACGCACCTTTGTCCGTGAGGATGGTGAGCAACGCACCTTTGTCCGTGAGGATGGTGAGCAACGCACCTTTGTCCGTGAGGATGGTGAGCAACGCACCTTTGTCCGTGAGGATGGTGAGCAACGCACCTTTGTCCGTGAGGATGGTGAGCAACGCACCTTTGTCCGTGAGGATGGTGAGCAACGCACCTTTGTCCGTGAGGATGGTGAGCAACGCACCTTTGTCCGTGAGGATGGTGAGCAACGCACCTTTGTCCGTGAGGATGGTGAGCAACGCACCTTTGTCCGTGAGGATGGTGAGCAACGCACCTTTGTCCGTGAGGATGGTGAGCAACGCACCTTTGTCCGTGAGGATGGTGAGCAACGCACCTTTGTCCGTGAGGATGGTGAGCAACGCACCTTTGTCCGTGAGGATGGTGAGCAACGCACCTTTGTCCGTGAGGATGGTGAGCAACGCACCTTTGTCCGTGAGGATGGTGAGCAACGCACCTTTGTCCGTGAGGATGGTGAGCAACGCACCTTTGTCCGTGAGGATGGTGAGCAACGCACCTTTGTCCGTGAGGATGGTGAGCAACGCACCTTTGTCCGTGAGGATGGTGAGCAACGCACCTTTGTCCGTGAGGATGGTGAGCAACGCACCTTTGTCCGTGAGGATGGTGAGCAACGCACCTTTGTCCGTGAGGATGGTGAGCAACGCACCTTTGTCCGTGAGGATGGTGAGCAACGCACCTTTGTCCGTGAGGATGGTGAGCAACGCACCTTTGTCCGTGAGGATGGTGAGCAACGCACCTTTGTCCGTGAGGATGGTGAGCAACGCACCTTTGTCCGTGAGGATGGTGAGCAACGCACCTTTGTCCGTGAGGATGGTGAGCAACGCACCTTTGTCCGTGAGGATGGTGAGCAACGCACCTTTGTCCGTGAGGATGGTGAGCAACGCACCTTTGTCCATGAGGATGGTGAGCAACGCACCTTTGTCCGTGAGGATGGTGAGCAACGCACCTTTGTCCGTGAGGATGGTGAGCAACGCACCTTTGTCCGTGAGGATGGTGAGCAACGCACCTTTGTCCGTGAGGATGGTGAGCAACGCACCTTTGTCCGTGAGGATGGTGAGCAACGCACCTTTGTCCGTGAGGATGGTGAGCAACGTACCTTTGTCCGTGAGGATGGTGAGCAACGCACCTTTGTCCGTGAGGATGGTGAGCAACGCACCTTTGTCCGTGAGGATGGTGAGCAACGCACCTTTGTCCGTGAGGATGGTGAGCAACGCACCTTTGTCCGTGAGGATGGTGAGCAACGCACCTTTGTCCGTGAGGATGGTGAGCAACGCACCTTTGTCCGTGAGGATGGTGAGCAACGCACCTTTGTCCGTGAGGATGGTGAGCAACGCACCTTTGTCCGTGAGGATGGTGAGCAACGCACCTTTGTCCGTGAGGATGGTGAGCAACGCACCTTTGTCCGTGAGGATGGTGAGCAACGCACCTTTGTCCGTGAGGATGGTGAGCAACGCACCTTTGTCCGTGAGGATGGTGAGCAACGCACCTTTGTCCGTGAGGATGGTGAGCAACGCACCTTTGTCCGTGAGGATGGTGAGCAACGCACCTTTGTCCGTGAGGATGGTGAGCAACGCACCTTTGTCCGTGAGGATGGTGAGCAACGCACCTTTGTCCGTGAGGATGGTGAGCAACGCACCTTTGTCCGTGAGGATGGTGAGCAACGCACCTTTGTCCGTGAGGATGGTGAGCAACGCACCTTTGTCCGTGAGGATGGTGAGCAACGCACCTTTGTCCGTGAGGATGGTGAGCAACGCACCTTTGTCCGTGAGGATGGTGAGCAACGCACCTTTGTCCGTGAGGATGGTGAGCAACGCACCTTTGTCCGTGAGGATGGTGAGCAACGCACCTTTGTCCGTGAGGATGGTGAGCAACGCACCTTTGTCCGTGAGGATGGTGAGCAACGCACCTTTGTCCGTGAGGATGGTGAGCAACGCACCTTTGTCCGTGAGGATGGTGAGCAACGCACCTTTGTCCGTGAGGATGGTGAGCAACGCACCTTTGTCCGTGAGGATGGTGAGCAACGCACCTTTGTCCGTGAGGATGGTGAGCAACGCACCTTTGTCCGTGAGGATGGTGAGCAACGCACCTTTGTCCGTGAGGATGGTGAGCAACGCACCTTTGTCCGTGAGGATGGTGAGCAACGCACCTTTGTCCGTGAGGATGGTGAGCAACGCACCTTTGTCCGTGAGGATGGTGAGCAACGCACCTTTGTCCGTGAGGATGGTGAGCAACGCACCTTTGTCCGTGAGGATGGTGAGCAACGCACCTTTGTCCGTGAGGATGGTGAGCAACGCACCTTTGTCCGTGAGGATGGTGAGCAACGCACCTTTGTCCGTGAGGATGGTGAGCAACGCACCTTTGTCCGTGAGGATGGTGAGCAACGCACCTTTGTCCGTGAGGATGGTGAGCAACGCACCTTTGTCCGTGAGGATGGTGAGCAACGCACCTTTGTCCGTGAGGATGGTGAGCAACGCACCTTTGTCCGTGAGGATGGTGAGCAACGCACCTTTGTCCGTGAGGATGGTGAGCGGGTTGGGCGTCAGAGGCGCCTTGAGAGGCAGCCCAATCAGGTCGTGCCCCGTCAGCTCCAGCAGGCAGTGCGGCTTGCCGAACTCCTGCAGGGAGGAAGACCACGTTGGAGAGAGGAGGCCAGCACAGGTGAAGGGGTTGAGTTGGGTAATGAGTGGTTCTGGGTGGGTGGTGAAGAGTTTAATCAGGTCATGTCCTGACAGTTCCAGCAGCCACTGCGGCTTGCCAAACTCTTGGGGGGACAGAGAATGATAGTATACGGCTGAGGGATGGAAGGCACGGGTGATACATTAGTGACAAAATAGCCACTACCAAGACCGGGGTTGCTCGGAACACAGTGGGTGCTTGCTTCACCTTGGAGTGAAACTGGTAGGAGAGGTTCAGAGCCGATCGCTTGGTTACCACAAACACGTCGCCCGCTTCGTTCACTTCAAACGCGCCATACTGCCCGTCAGGCAGCACCCAAGCGTTTGTCTGCCCGTACATGGTCTCCGGGCGCAGCGTGGCAGCGGCGAGGAAAACATTTCTGCCTGCAAGAGCCTCGAGCTTGCCTGGCATTGGTTGGGGGTCGCGTGGGAGGAAAACAGGAAATCTGCTATTTTTGGGGTTTTGGGATTTTGAAGGATGGGAGGGAGGCTGGGAGAATTGGGGGGAAGGGAGGGGGGGGGAGGAGGAGGGGGGGAAACGTGAGTACTGAGGGAAAGAATACGTGAGTGAGTAGCACATATAGCTTGTGCTAGAAAAGCTAGTTAAAAAAACACACCTGTGAGCGGCGGCACGACTTGCATCTTAATGAGCGTGTACTCCTGGGGCAGAACTCCCTCCCCTCACACCCCTGCCCGTGGTTACCTGTGAGCGGCGGCACGACTTGCATCTTGATGAGCATGTACTCCTGAGGCAGCACGCCCTCCCCTGACAGCCCTCCCCTCCCTTGAGGCTCTGTGATGGTGCGCTAGAGCACAAGGCCTAGAAGGGTTTATGACACACCACACCACACCACACCACTTACCTGTGAGCGGCGGCACGACTTGCATCTTGATGAGCGTGTACTCCTGAGGCAGTACGCCCTCCCCTGACGCCCTGTCATGGTCCGCACAGGGCTGCCCGTCCAGAGGCGAGAAGATGGTGTAGCGCCGATCCTTCACCACCTGGTGGGGGGGAGCGGGGAGGGAGAGCAAGAGGGAGGGAGAGCAAGAGGGAGGAAATAGGGGTAGAGATGGAGCGAGGGGAAGGCACGCCCGGTCATGGTCCGCACAGGGCTGCCCGTCCAGCTGCGAGAAGATGGTGTAGCGCCGGTCCTTCACCACCTGGTGATCAGCGGAAGAGCAAGGGGAAGAGCAGCGGAGATTCAAGGGGGTGGAGTGGAGTGGGGGGAGGGAGGAGTGAGTGAGAGCGAGGCACGCCCTGTCATGGTACGCGCACAGATGCCCATCCTTTTTTTTTTTAGAATTCTCAAAAAAAACATATTCACCCTGTTATGGTACGCACACAGATGCCCATCCAGAGGCGAGAGGGTGAGACGTGCAGGAAGGAACACCCATCAACAAGCTCCTATTTACATGCCACGCCTCACACGCACCTTGCCCTTGTTGTAAAGAGACTGCAGGTGCCAGCGAGCAAAGGAGTCATAGTGGGGGTTCATGTCCGTGGTGATGAGGGAGGGGGACACCCACCTATGTGCACCCATCAGCCTGCACCCACCTTGCCCATGCCACCTACCTTGCCCTTGTTGTACAGCGACTGCAGGTGCCAGCGAGCAAAGGAGTCATAGTGGGGGTTCATGTCCGTGGTGATGGAAGGAACGGTCCCACCTACCTATGTGCATCAATCAACATGCACCCATCAACGTGCCACCTACCTTGCCCTTGTTGTAGAGTGTCTGCAGGTGCCAGCGTGCAAAGGAGTCATAGTAGGGGTTCATGTCCGTGGTGATGAAAGAACGGCGCCAGTCCACTCCCAGCCCAAACGCCTTGAGATCGTCCTGAGAGCATGCGCAATGGGGGAATATGGAAAGACAGATGGTAAGGGGACCGAAAGGGTTCAAGGAGAAATGTAAAGGTGCCACAGAATGAAAACGGGGAAAGCTGGTGAGCCAGTGAGCAGCAAGGACTAATTCCGAGACGATTCAGAGCAAAGCATAGCAGAGAGCAGTAGCAGCAGCGGCGGCAGCAGCAGCAGCATATACATGGTACATACCACAGCGATAGGGGGGAAGTAGGTGAGCCAGTGCGCAGGGTCTTTGAAGGGCTTGATCTCCTCGTCTGACATGCCCATGGACCGCATGATCTCCCACTGGCGGTGAGATGAGAAGGGGTGAGAAGGGGTGGAAAAGAGGTGAGATAGGGTGGAACCTGGTGTGAAGGGTTGGAAAGGGGGAAGAGCGGGTGAGAAGGTGCGAGAAAGGATGAGTACAGGTGAGGAAAAGGGGGTGCAACGGGGTGAGGATAATTGTAGAGGGGTGAGAATCATAAGGATGAAATGGGTGAGAAAGGTTGAAGCGGGGTCAGAGAGGGTGAGAGAAGAGAACGAGGCATGCACACTGAGAGGTTTAGACGCATATGTGATCGTCAGTCATGCCCGGATGGCCTGTGGACCACGGTTATGCATGACCAACATGACGTCACCTCATGTCACATGATGCCACATACCCCTACCAACTGTGCCACATCCCCCAACCGGCTCCGCCACCCCTACTGCCACCTCTCTTACCTGGTACTTGGCCGTTCCTGTCTTGGCAGCAGCTTTGGACTGGCAGCGTGAAACGCCACAGCCACAGTCGAGCGTGGAGAAGCAGGAGGAGACGCGAGACAGAAGCACCACAGCCACAGCCGTGTATGTGTGAAGGGGTGTGAAGAGGTAGACGAAGGAGGCAGGGGGGAATGGAGTGGGCAGGAAATTAGGGGGAACGGCAGGGAGGGGCGAGGAAGAGATGAGAGGGAGGGAGAAAGGGGTGCAAAATTAGGGGCAGGGATGCTGATGAGATGTTGACAAAGTTGTGAGCTTCGGTCCCAGACCTACACACTGACACCATTACCACCGCCATCCCCTCATCTAACCCCTTAGATGAAATTTTAAAATCATCACTTCCACCCCACCTATCCACGCCGGGCAGAAAACCTCACCTTCTTCCCCTTGAACTGCCCAGGAGCCTTCTGCTCCTCCCCCTTAGCCCCGTCCGCGGCCGCCCCATCCCCCCCCTCTGCAGCAGCACTGCCCTCCGCAATGGAGAGCGCTTCCAGAGCTGCCGTCTCCTCCTCGCTGGGAAACTGGGGCGGGTAGCCGTATGTGTCCATCTCACGTGCTAGCTTGTCCGCACACGCCTGGTGTGGAGGGAAGGGGTGGCGGTTTACAGGAGATGCCAATGCACTGGAAACCGAAGGGGAGGGGAACAGCACGATGCGTGCAATGATTCGATTACAGAACAACGAAGTCTTATCTATCATGCAGCACGCACGCACCTTAATGGGCATGCCAGTGCAGTGGAAGCCGAAGGGGAACAACACATTAGCTCCCCTCAGCCGGTGGTACGACGCTGCAAACTCCACCTGCAGGAGGCGCGACAGGACGGAGAAATAGGTGCAACGGGTGCGGGATGGGAGAAGGGGGTTTGTTTGGTTGGAAAGAAGAGTGTGTGACTTGGGCGATTGTAAGCTGCTGCTACTGCTGCTGCGGCTTCTGGAAAACGCATAGTTTAAATGCAGTGCACAATACGGAACGGCACAGCACAGCACAGCATGTCAAACAATTCTCACCTAGGAGAGAATGAACGCATGGCCCAAATGCAGCAGCCCGTTCATTCAGGAATAGGGGGGAAGAGGCGTATACAAGTCGACCACACACGAACCATGTACTGTGCAGAGCAGTTTTTCTCACCTTGGAACGAGTGAAGGCATGGCCCAGGTGCAGCAGGCCGTTCATGTAGGGGTAGGGGAAGTTGCCAAAGAAGCGGTCATCCCTCGGGCCAGACCCCGCAGCTGTGTAACACAGGCCACGGTGACTCAGTCTCACCTTGGAGAGGGTGAACGCGTGACCCAGATGCAGCAGCCCATTCATGTAGGGGTAGGGGAAGTTGCCAAAGAAGCGATCATCACGCGGGCCAGACCCCGCAGCTGCTCCCTCCTTGGCCGTGGCCTCGAACACCTTCTCCTCCTCCCACTGCTTCTGCACGGCTGCCTGAATCTGCAGCAGCAGGTCCCTCCGCACGTGGCTCTTCGCTCCCTCCTGCGGCTGAGCCTGTGAAGGGGGAGAGGTGAGACGAGATGCAGAAGGGGAAGTGGGGGATGGTGGGGAGACGCGTTTGCGGCGAATGAACGAATTCGTGCTGCCTGAAAGATGCTTCTCAGAAATAATGGGGTTGAAGTATCAAACGGGAAAGGCCCCATCGGATTAGAATGGGAGATGGCAAGACGCATCAACAAGGAAAGAATGTTGTAAGCGTATCTAAGGCTGAGCAAGTGATCGTGTGATCAGCGCTGGCTCCTTGACCGAATCTGGTGAGCATATCTAAGAGCAATCAGGTGAATCGGGTTAACGAGTGATCGTGTGAAAGGCGTTGGCTGCTTGACTCACGAAACGACTCTAAGCCGTCGCCGCGAACATCGAATACTCGCTGTCTAAAGAATTTCGAATTCCTTTTCTAGGCTAGAAGCGACACTCGTCGAACCGCGCGAGTCAGTGGGTTCAAGAAACCCTGCTGGATTTCCCCACGTACGAGACTACGATATCGTCCCTAGGAAGACGTCACTTTAAAGACGAGTCGAAACTTTTTGTAACGACTCGAAAACCATGCTAGTAGCTTTTGTAACTATTAGAGCCGGGATGCCGTTCCTAAGATGAGGTTACAAAGAACCTATTCCATCGCAATATGCCGACATTCGCGCGATCTGGGAGAGGACATTGATTGCACAAGGATTAGGCATGGCGAGGAGGAGTCATTGCAACTACGCCGGAATCTGGTCGGACGGGATCATAAGTTAGTATCTAGTCGGTCGGAACGGTAACGATAATCACACACCTCACTGGAAGCTTTCGCGGTGGCTGGTGGAGCCATTGGAGCTAACGTCGAAGAGGGAAGCAGTGCAGGTTATTCACTTCAAGAATAAGTAGGAGGACTCGATCGCGGTGCCACCCTCGCAGGTGTCAGGAAAAGAAGGACCAGAATGTCAGAAAATCGCGATATCAGAGAACCGTGACGTGATCACCACAGCGTGTGCCCTGAGATTGCCGATCAGGCGAAGCAGAGTAAAACCCAAACCCAACGTAACTCACTCGCATACTACAGTGCACGGAAAAGTAAACCCGCACAAACAAAGTACCTTACGAGCTACAAAATGAAGGTAGGAAGTAAATGGGGAAAATTAGAACCCTCAATACTACAAACACTACACATCTCGCATACCATCACTTCTGCACTGCACAAGTCACCTCATGTTCCATCCTGGCACACACTGATGTACAATTTTAGGGAAACTCTTAGGAAATCAACCTAGCCTAACACCAAACCGGAATCAAGAATCAAATCAAAGCAATCATGCAGCCAAACAAGTCAACCCATAAACTAGGTAGGTCCAACCTTAAGCTGAGCTGCCCAGAAAACAAAACAACACGTGCTGGGGTTTTGCAGCTTTCTCATGCTACTGCCTGCCTCTCATTCCCCACAATTCCAATGCATCCATGCCTCTCCCCTCCCCACAGTACCCACCCATCAGCCCTGCTCCTGTTCCCCCCCATTACTCCCTTACCACCACACCCATACGCTCCCCTGTGCATTACCTTCGCTACCCAGAGTAGCCATGCTGGTGTGGGATCAAACCCCCCTGTCCATTCAGACTTGGCTGATTGACAGATATCACACTACCCTGCTGGTTACCAACCAGACCATCTCCTCCCGAACCTCCGCCGGAGGCTCGGGTGAGCCTCGGCGGCTGGCGAGGCCGCCTCTTGTTCCCACCCGGGCCAGCAGGCCTGCCTTGGTAGTAGCCCATGCCTTGGTCCGAGCCTCCTCCGAACCTATTTCCATACTGCTGTGAGGCTGCCATTCCTCCTGCCATTCCTCCCGCCAGACCTCCTGCCATTCCTACAGGTACAGGCCCAAGCTGTGAAAGGTAGACGTTGGGAAGAGGAACAGGCAAACCACCCGCTCCTACCATCCCCAATCCTGCTGACTGTGATGCTGCTGACTGTGCCATTGACTGTGGTGCTGTCTGTGCTCCTGCCTGTGCCAGTGCTGCTGCCCCTGCCATGCTCCCTTGCACCACCACTCCAGACTGCTGCAGCCCTGGCACCCCAAGCACAGGCCCACGGTAAGCACCAGGCTGCAGGGGAGGCAGGGCATGCTGGGCGTGCGAGTGCAGCAGAGGCCGAGAGGAGAGGTTGTGAGCAGTTGGCTGCGGTGCAGAGGAGCTGAGTGCGGTGGCTGGAGTCAAGGCAGTCAAGGAAGTCAACGTGGTGTCCCCATCTCCCAGCGTCTCTGGGAACCGGTGATCGTCAATCGCGCTGGTGGCGGCGGCATTGTGAGAAGATTCAGAAGGAGGAGCAGTAATGGTAGCAGAAGCAGCAGTGCTGTCACCTGCCGTTGCTGCAACAGCAGCATCTGTTTTGTCAACACCGTCGCCAACACCAGCAGCAGCAGCAGCTTCCCCGCTTTCCTTCACCGAGCTTCCCTCCCCTATCTTCTCGCTCTCCCCCCTGCTACCTTTCCCTAAGCCTAGCTCCGAACCTGGAGCGCTGGTATCGGAAAGCAGGGGCGGCGCTGGTGAGAGAGTTTGTTGAGTTGGCTGGGGTTGGGGGTGTTGAGAGGAGAGCAGAGCGGGCGGAGGGAACGGGAGCAGGGAGTGACCCATGGGGGGAAGGGGGGGTGCAGGGCCTACTGGGGGAGGTGGAAACTGGGGAAGGTGTGGCCAGAGGTAAGGCATGGACTGCTGCTGTAAGGGCTGCTGTTGTGAGATCTGCAGGGAATTGGGAGCGTGGAGAGGAATGATGAATGAACGGCGGCGGTAAGAGGCAAACCAGGTGAAGCAGGGAACACTACATTTTCTAGTATTTGCATAAGAAGTGGTAAAGGCAGGTGAAGCGGGAATGCTACCAAAAAAAAAAAATCCAAACACAAGAGGCAAAGGCAGGTGAAGCAGGGAACACTACCTGTGACTGAGGTGGCTGCTGACCGGGCACCGTCACTGAAGAACCATCATTCACGCTCTGCTGCTGCTGCTGCTGCTGTTGCTGCATGTAGCATTGCTGCTGCTGCCACTGCTGTTGCGTATGCCCCTGCGCCTGCTGCTGCCGCTGCTGCTGACTCTGCTGCTGCTGAAACCGCGGTGGGGGAACAACACCACCACGAGCACGACCCATGCTGCCAGGCACTTCAAATCGCGAGCGCGACGCGTCAGTCTGCGACTGAGACTGATTAACTGACTGGTTTCCCCTTTCGCCCACCCCTCCCTGCTGCTGCTTGTGCCGCTGCCTCTGCCTCTGCCTGCCTTTCTGGCTGTTTCCCTCCTCTTTCTTCTGCGTTGGTTGCTGCTGCTGCTGCTGCTGCTGCTGCTGCTGATGCTCCATGTACGTTTGGGTGCTCGCACTCACATTATACACCCCTTGGCCATACTGTGACATAGGAAAACCCATACCTGCCTGCCCCACTCCTACCTGCCCCATACGTACCTGCCCCAATCCTTCCTGCCCCGCTCCTCCAACCGGCCCAAAATTTGACTGGGGAATGCCTGCTTGCATGGGCTGACCCACCTGCCCGAACTGCCCGTTGGGAAAAGGAGGCCCAGGAAAGAGCATCATGGGAGGACCCGAGTGGATGGCATGGTTTGGCGTGGCATGAGTAGGGTGCATGGCATGGTTTGGCATGGCATGGCCAGGCATACCATGGGCCACATGTGGAATTGCATGCAGCTGGGGCATGGGGAAATGGGACACGGGCTGATGGGGCACCATCCCTTGATGTGCCATCATGCCCTGATAGTTGACCATACCTTGATTGTTCACCATACCCTGCGGGTTCACCATGGCCTGATGGGGTAGCATGCCTGGGAACACATGCACGGGGTGGAAGCTAGGGGCGCCAGCAGCGGGCAGAGCTCCTGGTGCTACAGGAAAGGGGGGCATGGCATTAGCAGGAGTGAACCCATCACCTGGGGCTGATCCCAACTGCTGCCCCTCCTGCTGCTGCTGCTGCTGCCCCTCCTCCTGCTGCTGCTTCTGCGGCTGCTCCTGCTGCTGTCCCTGCTCCTGCTCCTGCTGTTGCCCCTGGTCATGCTGCTGTTGCAGCAGCGGCTGATGATGCTGCTGATGCTGGTTCAGCTGTTGCGGCACCGCACCTACTTCAACCCTTGCCTTGTGCTGCTCCTCGTCTTTCTTGTGCTGCTGCTCTTGTTGCTCCTGCTCCTCTTGCTGCTGCTCCTGCACCTGCTTCTGTTGTTCCTGTTGCTGCAGCGGCTGCTGCGGCTGCTGCTGCTGCTGCTGCTGCTGTTGCTGCTGTCCTGTCTGTGGCTGCTGTTCCTCCAACCCCTGTCCTTCACGTTCCTGCTGCAGCAGCTCCTCTGGTTGCTCCTGCACCTGCTGCTGAGATGGCTGCTGCTGTGCCGGCTGCTGTTGATCTGGCTGCTGCTGAGCTGGCTGCTGCTGAGCTGGCAGCTGATCACAACCCACAGCAGCAACTCCAGCCACACGCCATTCCTGACGCTGCTTCCCTGCCCTGTCGCCCCTACCTCCCCTGCTGCCCCTCTGCCGGCTCTGCTTCTGCTGCCCCTTCCTCTGCGCCTGCTCTCCTTGCTCCCCCCTTCCCTGCTCTCCCTGCTCCTGTTGCTGCGGCTGCTGCAGCTGCTGCTGCTGTTTCTGCTGCTCTTCGCTATTCTGTTGCTGCTGCTGGTGCGTCTGCTGGGGTTGCACTGGAACAGTCACCGGAGCAACCGCCGAAGCAACCACCACTGAAGCAGCCACCGGAGCAGCCATGGGAGGAGTGACAAGTATCATGGGAGGGGGTGCCACAGCTGGCACAGCATGCGTGACAGGGATAGCTCTTGATGCAGTTGCAGAAAGCAGTGCAGGAGTGGCTTTCACAGGCTCAGGGGCGGGAAGATGAGGAGGAATCTGCACAAGAAAAAAAAAAAGAAAAAAAAGAGAGGACAAAATAGCATGTTCAGGACAACGGGAGAGGACGGAAACACATGTTCCGGTCAAGGAGGCAGGACAATTTATGTGGTCTTGCAAACATGCAGGCTTGAAAAAGGAAGGCTGATAAGCTTACCTGCTCATCACCAGCAGCAGCAGCAATAGAAACCATGACTGCAGTTTCAACCGAAGCTGTAGCAGCCGTTGTAGCAGGGAGGGTCACACCAACCCCAGTGGTGTTTGCATTGACTGGGTGTTTGCGCTTCTGCTGCTGCTGCTGCTGCTGCTGCTGCTGCTGTTCCTTCATCTGCAGTAAAACACATTCAGAATTCAAGAAAACGGAAACAGGAGCATAGCATTACATACCAGGAAAAGAAGGGGGAGAGAGGGGAGGGAGGAGAGCAGAAAAGGAAGAGAAGCAAAGCGATACTGGCAGAGCTAGGATAAGTACCCTATATGAGGCTGCAAGTGCAGCACATGCTATTGCACTTACACGTTGCTCCCGCCTTCGAGCCTTTGCCTCCCGCTCTCTCTCCCTCTCCTTCTCCCTCTCCTTCTCCCTCTCCCTTTCCCTCTCCTTCTCCTTCTCCCTCGCCCTCTCCCTCTCCTCTCGCTCCCTCTCCCTCTGCTCCCTCTCCCGCTGCTCCCTCCGCCCCCGTTTCGACTGCACAGTAACAAACCCCCCATCATCCTCCCCCTCCCCATGCTCGACCCCAACCTGTTCAAAAACCTTCACTATCCCTCCTCCCAGCGGCACCTCCGAATCCCCTAGATTCTCCAGCCTTGAGACCAGCCAGTCAAGCTTCGTATGCCCATGACCCGTTTCTCTTCTCTCCTCCTTGCTTCCACCGCTCTTGCTGCCGCCAGCACCAGATCCAGCTTCAGGAGCCTCTGTCCTCACGCCTGCCCGCTGCTTGCTGCCCTGCTGCCCAGTCCTCCCCCCTCCCGCCCCTTCCTTCCCCCCACCCGAATTCTTCCCCTTCCTCTCTCTGCCCCTAGACCCTGCGCGTGGCTCCACTTGGGAGCCTCCTGCTGAAACAGCTGGAGAAGAACCACCCGCAGCAGCCTTCCCAGATGCAGATTCCACTGCGCCTTCTGCTGCTACTGCTGTTGCTGCTGTTGCTGCTGCTGCTTTAGTTGCTGTAGGCGACACACCCACACTCAGACCAGCAGCACCAGCAGGTGCAGCACCAGAATCATCATCTGTTGCTGTGGCTGCCTGTGACTTATCCCCCACCGACGGCCCTGCTCTTCCTCCTGGTCCTTCTGATCCTTCTGGGGCTTGCACTGATGCATTACCTGGTCCCTGGGATACAGCTTTCGATGGGGCCTCTGCTGACGTTTTCCCTGCGGGAGGAGAGGTGGAGGAAGGGGAGGAGGCGGAGGAGGAGGCGCCAGAGAGGAACCCCAAGGAGGAGAGGAAGGCGGTTGGGAACATGGAGAAGGGCCGACGAATGCTCACTGCTCGCTTCGACTGCTGCTGCTTCTGCTTGTCTCCGTCACCTGAAGCGGGCTGTGATTGCTGAATCCCATCCCCGTTTGCACTGACTACTGAATTTCCCCCCTTCGAGTTGAGCTGTGAGTCCGAGCTTCCTGTCACCTCCCCCTCCCTTTGCCCATTCGCCGCCCCCTTTTCTTCTTTGCCTTCCTGTTTCAGCTCCTTCTCTTGCTGCTCCCTCTCTTCTGTTCTCCCAACCTCATGCTCCCCTCTCTCCTCCCCCCCTTCAGACCCCTCCGCACTCTCATAAGCCCCTTCCACCTCTGACACTCCACTGTCTGAACCACCTGAAAAAACACCTGAAGAAGCACCTGAAGCCATTTCACTCTCGGAACCTGCCAGATGCTCTGTTCCTTTAGCAGGCCCAGCAGTCACCCCTGGTGAGGACCCTGGCTGCACCAACCCACTTGCACCGTCAGCAGCAGCATCTGCAGCTTCAGCAACGGTTTCAGCTACACTTTCAGCCTTAGTTCCAGCTGAGGTTTCAGCCACAGTTGCACTTTCAGCAACAATTTTGGCCACAATTTCAGCTACAGCTGCCTGCTTCACCTGAGCGTCATTACGGTCCCTGCTCACTCCCTTACTATCACCCTGCACTACACTCACACCCTGTACTCTCACACCCACTTCCTCTCTCTTCCCCCCACTCTCTCCTCCCTTCCCTCCTCTCTCCCCCACCTGCCTCCCCACCACATCTCCCCTTCCCCCCCTTCCGCCACCCCTCCTCCTATCCCCGCCTCCTCCCCTTCCTCCAATCCTCGTCCTCACCACCACACCATCACTCCCTCGAATCTCAGAATACCCTGCTCCTTGCACCTCAAGATACTGTCCTACCCTCGCCTCCTGAACCCTCACGCCCTGAGCAACAAACCAAGCAGGAGTCGTGCCTGCTGCCGAACCAGGCCCCGGAGCTGCCGCCGAACCTGTCACCGGACCAGCTGCCGCACCTGTCACCGAGCCAGCTACCGGACCATTTACCGCACCAGCAGCCGAGGCTGCAAGTCCGGATCGAGCAGTCACTCCAGGCACAGAAGGGGCAGTAGTAACCACACCCCTGCCTTTGCCACGGCCTTGGGCTGAGATTGCTTGTACTTGCCCTTGTGCCTGCCCTTGTGCCTGCCCTTGTGCCTGCCCTTGCACCTGCCCAACCTGCCCCCCTGCATGACCACCACTCGCTCCCCTTCCTCCCCTTGCCCCCTTACCACTGCTCACCCCTACAACCGGCCCCACTATTGCTGCTGCCGCAGCTGCAGCTGCAGCTGCTGCTGGTTGTGTTGCTGCTGCCGATGCAGCTATCGCCAAAACGTCTCCTTCAGCCTCTACCGCAATCCTACCTCCCTCGAATCCTCCCTGCCTCAGCTGCTCCTTCCCCTTCCTCTGAACCCCCCCTCCCCGCCCCACTGCTTGCCTGCGATCAGCCACCATCACACCTGCACCAGCACCATCCTTCTGCTCCCCGCCTACCGTCCCTCCCACCACCACTGCTCCTGGTGCTGCTGCTCCTGCTGCCCCACCTGCTCCTGCTCCTGCTCCTTCTCCTACTCCTGCTCCTACTCGTGCTGCCGCTGTCGATCCTGCTGCTGCTGGCAGTGCAGCTGCTGCTGCCCCGCCACTGCCAGGAACAGCCGCTGAAACTGGAAGGGGCAGCAACGGCTCTAGTGCCACCACTCTTTGCACAGGTACCTCCTTCCTCGAAGCTACCTGATCAGCTGCTCCCTCACTCTTCTGCTGCTGCTGTTGCTGCTGGTTTGGTGGTGGCAGCTGCTGCTGCTTTGGTGGTTGCTGCTGCTGGTTCAGTGGCGGCTGCTGTGGCATGTCTCTTTGCGTGCTTATCCCTGAAACATCAGACCCAGTGGGTCGACCACCGGCATGCAGAGGAGGTGACACTGATGCCAGCACCCCAATCTGCCCGAACTGAAACATCGGCACAGGGCACGCTCCAGAAGTTTCACTCTGCCCGGACAGCTGGGCAGGACCGCCAACAGTGAGAGGTACAGAACCAATTTGAATGACAAAAGGGGCTCCAGAAGAAAGCATCAGGGACGGGAGGATTGGCTTGGAAGCAGCACTAGCAGCAGATGCAGCAGCAGGTGCAGCCAGTGTAGCAGATGCAGCAGCAGGGGCAGTCCCGCTCCCACTTTCTTCAACCCCACTTGCCCTCTCTCCATCTCTCACTGAAAGCTGCTTCCCCTCCGCTTCCACCCCTCCCTTACCACCCACAATTCCCTGATCACCCACCGCTCCCTCATTTTGAACAGAATCAGGTCCTTCGTTTCCCCCCACCTTCTCCTTCTCTTCTCCACCTATCACCTCCCGCTCATGATCACCCAGGAGTCCCTCCTCTCTATCAGACATACCCTCGTCTCGATCTGACAGCAGCGCCCCCAATTCATTCACCACATCAGCAGGAAGACTCTCAGATTCACTCATTTCCGAGTCATGCTCCACACCCATCCCCCCCATCCCTCCCCTCTCCCTCCCCTCTGCCCTCCCCTCTCCCTCAACCTTCCCCACCTGCAACCCTAAATTGCATATCTGCTGCCCCATCTCTCCCCTCCTCTCATGCCCATCCCTCCCTCCTACTCCATTCAGTTGATTTGCCCAATTTCGCCCTTCTGCCCGTCCTGATCCTCCAGAAATTTCCTCCTGCCCGAAACCAGCCCGCCCCTGCCACTGCTCTGCTCCAGGCTGCCGAGCCTGCCCAAGAAAAATACCGGGAGCAGGTTCAGGGCCTATCCTTCTCCATTCCATATACTGCCCGGACCCAGACTCTCCCCATCGACTGTCCCTCACCACCACCCCACCACCATTCCCAATCTCTGCGAACTGCTTCTGTCCCTGACTGCCCATCTCTTTTCCACTGCCCGCCTCTCTCCCACCACCAATTTCTCTCCCTCCAAACTCGTCCTTCCTTTGGTGCCCCGCCCTACCCGCTGCCACACCATCACTTTCCCTTCCTCCTCCTGCTGCTCCTCTTCCTCCTGCTCCATCCCCTGCTGCTCCTCCAGCTGAAACTGAATTCACAGTACCCACTGAATTTACTGGCCCCGCTTGCCCCACTGCTCCCACTGCTGGGGTATTGTCAGAAAATGAGGCAAAGCCGCGGCCAGAATTCCCATGGGCGAGAAACCCAGGAGCAAGCCCAGGCGGCCGGTGCAGCAACGGTGGCTGCTGCTGCTGCTGCTGCTGCTGCTGCTGCTGGTGCTGGTGCTGCTGGTGCTGGTGCTGCTGTTGCTGGTGCTGCTGGTGCTGTTGCTGCTGGTGCTGTTGCTGCTGCTGCTGTTGCTGCTGCTGCTGCTGCTGTTGCTGTTGTTGCTGCTGCTGCCCCGGGAATGGCTGGTGGAAGGGGTGGGGGTGCATATGCTGCTGCTGCATCGCAGGGAAGTGGGGGTATGGTGGGGCGAACTGATGGGAGCGCAAGAGAGGGCCTGGGCCAGGAAACCCATACGCAGGAAACGAAAGTCCCTGCACCTGCTGCTGCTGCTGCTGCTGCTGCTGCTGCTGCTGCTGCTGCTGCTGCTGCTGCTGCTGCTGCTGCTGCTGCTGCTGCTGCTGCTGCTGCTGCTGCTGCTGCTGCTGCTGCTGCTGCTGCTGCTGCTGCTGCTGCTGCTGGTACTGCTGCAGCTGATGCTGATTCCACGGCGAAAACCCAAACCCGGCCCGGTCTGAGCCTTCGCCTTTCATATGAGTCTCACCACCCGCATACTTCCCAGCCGAAGGCCCTTCCGTGCGAACACTAGGGTCAAAGAGCCGCTGAGTACTTGTGTGGTTGCCTTGCTGACTCGCGTCTTGCTGTCCCTCGCCCATGCCTTTCTGCCTCGCATCCGCACTCACGTGATAGAGTGATGGGACAGGGGCGGACCCAGCCAAAGGCCCCACCTGCTGCTTCTGCTGCTCCTCTTGCTTCTGCTGCTGCTGCTGCTGCTGCTGCTGCTGCTGCTGCTGCTGCTGCTGCTGCTGCAGCTCCTGGTGCTCCTTCTGCTGCACCTGCTGCTGTGCTTTGTGCAGGTTCAGCTGGGAGTCGCCTCCTTCCCCTGCCTCAACCCCTCTTCCTCCCTCTCCCCCGACCTGATTCATCTCCTCTTGAAACCTCTCCCCACCCACCCCTCCCACTTCGCCCCCTATCGCTTTCTCCTCACCACAAACCCCCTCGCGATCCGCCCACGTGTCACCTTTTGCCACGTCAGCAACAATTCCATTCTTCTCGTCCTTATCTGCAATCTCTTGACCGCTCTCAGCCTCACCACCAGCCTCTTGAGTTGACTCAGAAGTTTCCTGGATGCTGCCGCCATCACGATCAGCAGGCTTAGCCCCAAATGCAGCTCCTTCCTCTTGAGAACATTCTGGTGCGACTTTTCCTTGTTGCTCAATCTGCCCATTCTGCCCAAGCCCCTGCTCCTGCCCCTGCTCCTGCCCCTGCATCTCCACCGCATGTTCTCGCCCCTCCCCAAGCACCGCACTCTTTTCCTCAAGACCCAACTCCGCCGCACTCACCGAGGCCCCACCCTGCTGCTCCAGCCCAGCACCAATCAGCGCCCCACACTGCTCCTCTGCTCCCTTTCCCTCCTCCCCCCCTTTCCCCTCCTCCTCCTTCCCCTCCTCCCTTCTCTTCCTCTCCTCCTCCTCAGCCTTCCTCCTTGCAATGCGCTCCTCCAACTCAGCCAACTTCCTCCTCGCATTCTCCTTCCTCCTCTCCTCCTCCTCCTGAATCTTCCGCTTCTCCTCCTGCACTCTCCTCCTCTCCTCCTCCACCCGTCTCACCGCCTCCTCCTCCTCCACCGCAACCCTCCTCGCCGCCTCTCTCTCCCCTTCCTCCACCCTACGCCTCTTCTCCTCCTCCTCCCTTCCCCTCCTCACCGCCTCCTCCTGCTGCTGCCTCGCCACCTCCGCCGTCCGCTGCTCCTCCTCCTCCTTCCTCACCTTCTCCTTATCTTTCTGCGACTGCAGCATCTCTAGCTCCGCTTCAAACCGCTCTCTTTCCACATCTCGAAACTCCGACCGCCCACCCTCGCCCTCCAATTTCTTTCGCCTCAGCTGCCCCAGCATACCAAGCCCAAGGCTAGGCGGAGGTTCAACCCCTACACGTGGCAGGGACTGCAATTCCAGCCTCGGCCCATGGGCAAAAACTTCCGGGCCCATGCCCCTCCCTCCTCCTTCCCTATTCGGCCTGAAACCCTGACCCGGCGGAAAACCCTGACCAGGACCAAACCCCTGACCGGGTCCAAAACCCTGACCGGGGCCAAAACCCTGGCCTGGCCCGAAACCCCTGGCAAATTCCCCCCTCGGACCGTACCCACCGCCACTACCCCCTCTGCCTCTCCCCCCATCCCCCATTGGGCCGTACCGCTCATACTCACCCGGGAAAGGCGGCCCTGGCGGGGCCCCTGCTGCTCCTGACCCCGGCGCCCCTAGCAGTCCCGGCGGCCCCGGCGGACCTAACGGCCCTGGCCGCCCCGCTTGTCCCAGGGGGCCTCGGGGATCTGGGGGACCCGGGGGACCTGGGAGGCCTGGGTGGGGCGGGGGGCCTGGCGGACCCGGCGGACCCGGGGGGCCTGGGGGTCCTGGGGGCCCTGGTCCCGGCCCTCTTCCGCCTCTCCCCGCGGAAGGCAGTTCCGCCCATCCGTGCGCGTCCTCCCTGCGCCACATGGCCGCCTCGCCGTGCCGCGGATCCCCGTACCACTCCCTGGCGCCATTTCTCGGCCCAAAATCGCGGAAGCCCTCTCTAGAATCCCATCCGTTAGCATGAAACCCCCCCGGATCTCCATCCATGGGGGGACCATAACCGTCGAAGTGACCCCTCGGACCGTCAAATCTGTGCGGGAAAGGCATTCTCCCCCCTGGCGGCGGATAGGGTTGGGGTGGCGCAAGGTCCCGCTCATCGTCCGCCCATGCTCTGCGCGGGGGGGAAGGTCGGCGGAAGCCTCCCCCGGGTGGCGGACCGAACCGATTCGGCGGAAGCATGCCATCGCCATGCCTGGTCGGTCTCTCGTTCTCCTTATAACGGGGATGTCTATCCATCCTATCTCCACCAAAAGTAGCGGAATCGCCAGAAGCCTCGCCTCCTTGGTCTCTGGCAATATAATCCGGCGCCTTGTTAGGCTGTGATCCGGACAGAGGATCTCGTTCGTTCTGCTCGTGATCCGATTCTTCGTCACCCCATCGCCCACTGGTAACCCGTTTCGTCGCCGCATCGTTACCCTGGGACCGTCCCGTCGCCCGACCTGCCTCGTCCCCTCCCCCGCGCTCCTGCGCCGATCGCGCCAGCTCATCCCCGTTATTAGCCTCTAATGCCTTCGTCTTCTTCTTGCCCTGTTGCTCCTTACCGCGTCCGACGCTCGCCGTAACACCGCTTGCTGGCTTCTTTGTCGCATCATCCAATGAGGGGAAATCCTCCCCACGTAAAACAACCCCGGTGCTGCCAACTGCCGAAACAGCTGACGTGGAGGCTGACGTGGCACTGCTACCGCCACGTGAGCCTGGTGGTTGGTACACCCCAGGTCGGTGCGCCGAGGAGGCGCCATTCGGCTCGGCTCCAGAGACCGCTGCTGCTGCTGCTGTTCCTGCTGCTGAAATCGGCGGGAAGTCGAAACCTTGAGGAGGAGGAGAGAGCGAGACGCACCGTCGCGCCTCGTGTGTCGCACCTGACGAACGAACTGCAGCTGATACTCCTGCTGTTGATGCTGCTGCTGCTGCCGCTGCTGCTGTTGCTGCTGATGAAGATCCTGATAGTGAATTAGTAGCTGCAGACGTCCCTTCTCCTTGCGGCTTCCCTCCTAGCGGTCTCTGCCATCCTGAGACTGTGCTGCTCGCGGGAACAAGCGAGACGGACGGATCGTTGCCCGCGTGCTCCCGTCGCAGCGACGGAAGGTTAACCGGCTTCGGCACGACCAGCTTCCCGCTCTTGCTGGCCCCTAACGCGCTGGGAGTTGCGACCTTCCCCAGCACCATCATGCTCCCGAACGATCCTGTCCGACCGAATCTGGATCCGACGGCTGTGGTTTGCCCGGCACCGGATTGCGACTGAGATGAGCTCTGCCTCCCGAAGGAGCTGTTGAGATTGACGCTCGTGAATTTGCTGCGACCCGACATGGCGAAATGTTACTGGAAGGTACGATACTGAGAAGTGAGATCTGATCTGCTGAGTACGATTGAATGAAGAAGATTTGGTATGACCTTAGAACAGTAAGTGTTTTTTTCGGATTCTTAACGAATGTCTGACTTTGCACTTGAGCTTCGCAAGGATTGCAGGGGTAGAGACCACGAAAACAAACAGGTCGCTTCTTTCTTGGAAACGGACGCGGCCAAAAACGGCAAGTTTGCCCTCTTATGAATTCAAATAATCACTGCTGATCGGCAAGAACCGATGGGATCGGACATGGATCTCGAACCAACGTGTAACTCTCTTGCTAACCTCGTCCACTGAAACTGAATATCAGCGTTTCTCAGACATCTCTTGGGTTTTACTGATCATCTGTTGCAGAAAGTTGTCAGAAAGAATCTGGATCAGCCTGCTTTCGCCTGCTTGTGTTTCTGCAACAACCACTATGGCATGGCACAGTGCGATGACCGCACAGATTTCTCTTCCTCTTCTCCATCCCTGCCCAGCCATTTTCCCGCCAGAGAATAGGGCCAGGAGAATCTCGAGGTTGACGAGAAGAAGCGGAACTAACCTGCCCAAACAAACTCTGAGGTGCTATTGCTTGTGAAAATTTCCGTGTGGCTGCCCGAACAACCTTCGATCGTTTGCGGTTGGCCTGCTGTTTTCCCGCCAGCGACACCGACCTGACAGACGTGCTTCGGGGCAGGTGGACAGGTCAGGTCTGCCACCGAACGTTCCTCGCAACCCCGAAAGCTCCTGCGCGTTCGCGCTACAGCCGGACGCATTTCTCTCTTCATTGTATATCCCACTGAATCACTTGTACTAAAGTCTAAAGTAGAGTTCACGGGCTCTATACATTCTAGAGCATGTTCTATAGGATAGAGGCACAAATCAAGAGTCAGTCCCTAACTACTGCTACTTACCTAAATCTATGCAAATTCATATTCTCCTATCGAATCCATTTCGTCATGCTAGCCGTGTCTTGATTCCTAATCGGTTGACGCGCACCCGGATTGGATCTTCGTCTTCCTCCAAAGGCAGGTGTTTTGGAAACATGAACGTTGCGGCCAGACGAAGCTTCGTGTGCTTGCCTAACTTAACCACCTGCTCGTCAAACTCCAATCCTGAAGCACCGAATGGGACAAAGCGGCATGAGATAGGCCAAGGGGCTGTGAACAAGGCGGCGTGAGATGCCAAGGAGTTTTGAACAAGACGGTTGTGTGAGATGCTGTGAGACCGTGTGAGATTCTGTGAGATTATGTAAAATTATGTGAAATTATATGAAACTATGTGAGATACTTCAAGATCTGAGATGCCTCAAAACATACTGGCAGGGGAGAGATGGAAGCCTGTAGGTTGAAGAGGTTCACTGACAGCCCCACTCCAGCTGAGAGGTGCGGTGATGTGATATGCTGTGGGATGCTGCAAAATGATGTGGATTGCAGTGAGATGCTGCAAGGTACTGCAAGGTGCCTCAGAACATACCGCCAGGAGAGAGATGGAAGCCTGTCCCAATGGGGTTGAAGAGGTTCACTGACAGCCCCGCTCCAGCTGTGAAATGTTGCGAGATAGTGTGCGATGCTATGTGGTGTTACAGGGTCAGAACATACCACCGGGGGAGAGGTGAAATCCCGTGCCAATGGGGTTGAAGAGGTTCACTGACAGCCCCACTCCGGCAGCCCGATCCCAGAAGCGGTCAAAGGAACGCAGAGGCAGGCTGCAGAGGTGAGACGAGGAATGAGAGAGAGAGGGCACAGTGATATGCTATGAGTCACATGTTCATATGTGCTTTGGGTTTCAATGACACACTGACATCCCCACTCCGGCTGCCCGATCCCAGAAGTGGTCAAAGGAGCGCAGAGGCAGGCTGCGTAGGTGGCATGGGGAGAGAGGGGGAAGGTGATATGCCATGAATCACATGCTCAGATCTCAAATGTACTCTTTGATTGATTAGGTTCACTGACATCCCCACTCCGGCTGCCCGATCCCAGAAGCGGTCGAAGGAGCGCAAAGGCAGGCTGCGTAGGTGGGGTTGGGAGACGTGGGATGGGGAGAGGGCATGGTGATAAGCTATGAGTAACAAGTTCATTTGTGATTTGGGGTTGAGGAGTCTCACTGACATCCGCACTCGAAATGCGAAGTCCCCAGAAACAGTTAAGGGAACGCATGGGCATGATGGAGAGGTGGGATGGGGAGCAGGCAGAGAGGACTTTTTGAGGAGCCTCAAAAGCAGCTGAGGGAATGCAGGGGCATGATGGAGTGGTGGGATGGGAAGCAGTCAGTAAGGAGCGTATGTCTAGATCCTCACTCACTCATTCACTCACTCACTTGCTCACTCAAATACTCATTCACTCACTCACTCACTCACTCACTCACTCACTTGCTCGCTCAATTACTCATTCACTCACCCACTCAATGATTCACTCACGTGTAACGAACATCAAGAGCAACGTTGGTGGTGCCGAGCCTCCACTTCCACCGAACCTCAATGTCAGGCTCGGGAAGCAGGTGCAGGGCCACATGGGGGGTTCGGATCCTCAGCTTTGGCTCCAGGCGACTCCCGTTCACCTCGTAATTCGCCCCCACTGCACTTGCATATGCATGCATGCAATGCATGCATGGTGTGCAACGGCATAGGGAAAATGAGGACTAGAAAAAGAGTAACAATGCTCAAACAGGACACAAGGTGGGCAGACACGCACGAGGATACCACATGGCTTACTTACACCTTCTCATGACACACATGGGGTACTTTTGAGGCGCCTCAAAATACACCTCACTACACGAGGATACCACATGGCTCACTTACACCTTCTCATCATGACACACATGGGGTAAGGCGTCCCAACAGCGGTACGGTACCCCATGCTTTCCTCGTGTAGAGAGGGTGTTTTTGAGACGTCTCAAAAACACACATGGGGTACGGCGTCCCCACATCGGTACCCCATGCTTTCCTGCCGCCTTCTCCTGAAAGTCCCAAATCTGCGTCAGCTTATTGGTACCCCCCTGACAAGTCAATTTCATCATCATGCTATGGCAGATTATCCTGCCATCGCTTGAAAACCTCACCTCCAAAGTTGAGCCCATATGGAAGCCTGGGCTTTCCAGTCTCCTTATCCAGAAAGTCCCATTTCTGCATCAGCTTCAGCCGCGCCCCCTCCCCATGACACTTGCCATCAAAGAGCAGAACAGCACACCATCCCAAGGAAAGCTCAGCTCACCTCCAAAGTTGAGCCCATACGGAAGCCTGGGCTTTCCAGTCTCCTTATCCGGAAAGTCCCAGATCTGCATCAGCTTCAGCCGTGCCCCCTCCCCATACAACCCGTGATTAATCCCCTGAATCACCCCCCCCTCCTCGTCCTCATCCGGCCTCCTCCCTCTCCCCCCCTGCCTCCTCGCCCGCCACACAGGCGAGCTATCCCTCGCGCCAAAGTAGCTGCTGCTTATGCCGCCCGGTCCCCTCCCATTGTCATCGTTATCGTAGTAGCGGCGGCGGCGGTGGGAGGTGGTGATGGGACGGACGACGTCGACGCGCGCAACGGTGTGCGAGAAGGACCAGATGTAGCCTGCGGCTTTGCGGAACACGTTCAGCAGGCGGTCTTGTACCGTCTCATATGCGACTACACTGGGATGGGATGGGATGGGAGGAGGGGGGAGGAGAGGTGGAGAGAGGTGACGTGGAGTGATGTGAGGTGGATAGGGAACGTTGATATGAGCGAAAGAAACCGACCTATCTTCCAAAATCGTCCATCAGGTGTCATCGTTGTTCAGACATTTCTCAGAGAGCTCCAGTCGACTAAAAAATCGACTTGTCACACGCCTTCCATAATCGTCCATCAGGAATCATGTGATAGTGCACATGTGATCCCATCTGCATGTCATTGCCTCTTGAGGAGCCATGGTCCTCACATAGTCATGCCATGGTCCTCACATAGACATGTCATGGTCATGCATACCAACCGTTTATCGGGCGTCACGTGATGGTGCACATGAGGTCCCATCGGTGTGCCATCGCCCCTTGAGGAGCCATGGTCCTCACATAGTCATCCATGATCCTCACATAATCATCCATGGTCATGCATACCCACCGTCCATCAGGTGTCACGTGATGGTGCACATGAGGTCCCATCGGTACGCCATCGCCCCCAATATCCCCTCCCACCACTCCTCCCCCCACCACTCCCGCTCCTCCTCCCATCACCCCGCCTCCTCCCATCTCTCCAGGTGCCATCCCGCTGCTGCTGATACCGCCACTGCTGCCATTGCCATTCGCTCCCAGTCCCCCCAGTCCCCCTCCTGATACTCCTGATCCGCCTGCGTTTCCTGACCCAAACACGCCGAGGAACTTTCCTTGAGAGTTGGCCGAGGGGGGACTGTTAGGAAAAGAGAGACACGGAGAGGGGAAACAGGGACAGCAGCAAACAAGGATGGCACGTCTTGAATATCTTTAGCGTTGCTGCTGCCAACTGATCCTGATACACTCGTCCCAGAACACCTGAGATGAATCCTGAGTCGACTCAAAACTCGTCTTATTTCCGACCGTTGCTGCTGCCAAATGATCCTGATCCATTTGTCTTAGAAACACCTGGAACGAGTTTTGAGTCGACTCAAAACTCGTCTCATTTCTGACCGTTGCTGCTGCCAATTACTCCTGTTCCACTTGTGATCCTGCTGCCAACCCGGGCACTTGTCTAACAGACTTCTCTTCGCGTCTGGGAACGACGTTGGAAGCCAAGAGAGCAGCCATGCAGGAACCGCGCGGCGTGACAACGCAACCGGAATTTAACATAGAGTCAATGCGCGGTAACTTAAAGGTACCGCGGTGATTAAAAGGTACCGCGGTGATTAAACGGGAACAATGCTAAAGCATGAAGCGGTTGAGACTACTAGTCTACTAATGACCAGGATGATCTGACGTCAAGATTTGGTCTATTAGCGGTCGTACCTTTTAGGGGAAGGTGACCACGCGTTCGGCGACTTGGGAGATTCCGCCATTGGCTCGTGATCAACGGATGTCAGTCTGCGTGTGCTCTGTGAATCATGAACGGACTTCTGACGGAGAGAGGAACGATGCTGACGTCAGGAGCTGGTCAGACTCTTGCAGTATCAGTGTGAACCGTGGAAACTAATGGATTCGAGAATTCGCGAGATTTCGCAGATGCAGAAGGTATGAGCATCGGCAACTTCCACTCTGGTCTACTGAGTCGAGGCTTACGACGCGCGTTCTAACGCGGATGCGATTACACGAATGGCAACCCGCTGCTAGGGCAACTGACTATTTCTAGGAGCTACAAGATACTAGAACTGCAGTGTCTACGTACTACTGCTGCATTGCCTCGCTGGGAAATCCTGAATTTGACCAGGCGTCACATTACAATTTCCAGATATCCTCGTTTCGGATTATCTGCGCTACGAGGTACTCGAACCAGCCAAAAAAAATATCATTAACCTGTTTTCAAAACATGCCATTTTGTAAGGTATATGTTTTCATCCTACATTGCAGCAAACTTCGAAGGTAAATAATCTAGAACGATTATGGGGTTCCTGATCAACTAATTGCCTCCCCATATTGATTGGGGAGAGGAGACCTAACGTACTTCGAAGCACGACATAATTGTTAACATGAGCCCTAGATGCTCTGTAGTTCCATTTAGGCATGCGCTCCATACTGCAAACAGGAAGAACAGGAGGGAGACAGTAAGAGAGAAGGCGTTACAGTCAACCCTAATGCTGAAAGAGCAAAAACGTGACCCCAACCACCATGGCACTGTGAATGTGAAATTTCGCATAACATGGACTCTACCTTGGCGCTCTTGTAAAGCTCATCAATGACTTCGGAGAGAGTTGGGTGGGCATGGACGGCGAACTTGATGTCCTGCACATTTTGAGTGGGCATGTGATGGCATTGGATGGCATGGGATGGTGCACGTCGTAGACAGAATGACATGGATGGCATGGGTTCAGTAAAAAAATTGCTGGCCTGAATGGAGTGGGGTGAGTAAAACCAAGGTGAAAAAATAAATAATAATAATAATAATAGTAAAGTGGCCGGTGCGTACATTGAGGGTTTGGCCGGTGGCCATGGCGTTGGAGACCTCGTGAATCAGGTCAGCTGCATGCAGCCCCAGAATGTGCACGCCCAGGATCTCCCCAGTGTCTGGGCGGTAGATCATCTGAGGGGGGAGCAGCGAGGAACGACAATACAGCAGAGCGTAAGGTGCATGGTACAGCAGGAGAGGGAGGGGTGAAGGAAGAACGGAGAGAGGAAAGCTGCGTGCAGCCCCAGGTCCAACCAACTACCCAGATCACTCTACCCTAAACCCTACACCGCGTCATACACCCTAGACCCGAGAATTCAAGCTCTGTTGCTCCCGTGCCTCATTATTCATCCTTCCAAGGCCCCACCCTAGCCATGCCATCTGCCTCGTTCTCTGGCAGCACCTTGGAGTTGGCCTTGAAGCTCGTCTTGTCAAATAGGAACCCTACTCCCCTTGCCCCAATTGAACCCGTCTATCATTTCCTCCAAACCTTTCCCTCACCACTACACCACCCTTCTGAACATAACCCACCTTAGCCATGCCGTCTGCCTCGTTTTCTGCCAGCGCCTTGGAGTTGGCCTTGAAGCTTGTCTTGGCCACACTCACTTCAAAGCCCTCTATTTCTGCCCTCTCGCGTGCCTGGGGCTGGTGGCGTGCAAGGGGGGGAAAATAGGGTGCACAGAAAAAGCAGGTGACTCGGGGGTGAGTGATGCAGGCATTGAGACGTTTCAAACCCAAACTTCCTTCCCCTACTGACCTGCCTCTCACACCCCTGTGAACCTAGCTGAAAAGAGCATGCACCAGGGCTTGAGACGTCTCAAAACCCAGACCTTCTTCCCTTTTCGTCCCCCCTCCGCCCCTGGCTCTGACTCACCTCTGTGAGGCCGACCATGCTGATCTCGGGGTGGGTGAAGCAGGCAGCGGGCACAGAGAGGTGGTTGAGCACGTTGCTGTGGCCCTTTATGTTCTCCACCACCGATATGCCCTGCGCACTCGCCGCATGCGCCAGCATCAGCTTGCCGTTCGCGTCACCAATGCAGTACAGGTGGGGAATCTGGAATGGAGGGAGGTGACGGGAAAAAACTCGTTATACTCATCATGGAGGGGTGAAAGAGGGAAGGGTTCGAAGAAGGTTCGTTCCTGGGTACAAAGAACGTCACTAACATTGTGGGTCAGGGGAGAATGATAAGGGAGTAAGCACACTTGATGGGATGGTGTGAGATTGGGTACGATGGAATGGATGGATGGAGTGGGAGGGATGGGATGGGAAATGGGGTGGGGTGCTCACCACATTGCCATCAAAGTCCAGCACTAGCATGGTCTCATGCACAGGCATGAAGCACGGTTTGTTGTCACGTTTGAGTCGAATTAAAATGCACATGAGTTGAGATGGTACACAAGTTCGGTGCTTACCACGTTGCCCTCAGAGTCGAGCACTTGCATGGTCTCATTCACAGGCACGAACCCACGGTTTGTGGTAACATTCACCTGCTCACACATACATGCAAGGTGAAGTGTGGATTGGGGGACAGGGGAATCAGGGATCAAGGAGACAGGAGGAAAGAGAGTTGGGGGAGGGTTGCGAGGAGACAACGATAAGAGTTGGAAGCAGAGCAGAAAAGGGAGATTTAGAGAGGTCAACAGGTTGCTTACATTGTCATGGATTCAAGAGGGCATGCCGAGTTAGGGGATGTGTTTGGACATGCACTTGCAATCCAACGGCTGTGATATGCACTTCTAAAATACCTATAAACGCACTCACATTTTCAAGACCAAGACCCTTGGTGAATGGCGCCCGGCCAGTGGCAATCAGAGCCGCATCGACCTGGGAGAGAAGGAAAGAGGCCGAAAGAGGATGCGGAACAGAGAAGAGTTGGGGGGAACGAAAGGAAGAGAGGGAGATGAGGGTGAAGTGTTGCAACCTGTGCTGAGCGGTTGTGACAGTCAGAGGGCAGTATTGCCCAAAAAAAGGCCGTCTAGGTGGTCGATCAGCAAGGTGTGGAATCACAAACTTTGTTAAATCAGCTTTGACTCGTGCATTCTCTTAGTCCTCCTTCCCTCCCCACTCCCTCCCCACGAGTCTGCCCTTCTTTCCATACCAATAGCTATCCCCACCCACTTCATTTTCCTCACTGAAAGTCATTCGTCCCCTCCCTTTTCCCCAGGCTCGCTCCCTTCCACACCTTTCTCTCCACATGACCCAAATTCTGAGTCCCAGTGTAATCCTGTTTTAAGCCCCGCCACCTCACCTCACCCCCAGCCCACTCTTTCCTCTTGGCCTTCAACGGCTCCATGCTAACGCGTTCACCTCGCCGTCCTCCCTTATCTCATCTCTACTCCTCTCTACCCCTCTCCACTCCTCTCCACCCAGAACTCACCTCGAGCGTCTCCTTGTACTCCCGCGTCTTGGTGTCCACCAGCTCGATCTGCACTGGCTTGCCGTCCCGAGCAGGGGTGATCTGGGGCGATCGAGGGGTCGGAATGAGGGTCAGAAAAGAGGGGACGAAAGAGACGGGATAAGGTAACCAAAGAGAACAAACCCCACTCACCATGGCTCCTCCCACCCTTCGCCACTGACCTTCCTGGTTCACAAACCCTCTCCTCCTCCCCGCTCACCGCGCACCTTCTTGCCCAACAACCTAAATTACCGCCCCCAACCCTCCGACACCACGCACCTTCTTGGCGAGCACGCCCGTGTGGTAGTCGATGCTGCGCGGGGTGATGAGCACCCTCTGCGCCAGCTTGCCAATCTCAGGGTCGAACCCCGGCATGATGATGTCCAAGGCCTCGATGAACGTCACCTGAGAGAGGGAAGGTAGGTAGAGGGGAGGAAAGGGGGTTTGGGGGAAAGGTGAGAGGCGAGGAAAGGAAGAGGAGGAGATGAGGAGAAAGAGGACGTAGGCGAATGGGAGATTGACGAGCAGAAGGAAAAAGTGGGCGAGTAATCAAAATTTACAAAATGAGGGAGCTTGTCAAAGCGGCAATATACTGGCGCATCCTAACCTCTGAGCAATTCACATGTCGATGTGATCCTGTGCGCCCTGAAATCGAGTCTACGTAAGCAACCACTATTCATAGAGGCAATGAGGCGACTCGTGAGGCACGTCAGTGGAGTTACGCACCTCAGCTCCCAGAGCGGTGTACACGTCGCTGAACTCGAGGCCAATGTAACCGCTGCCCACAATGGCGATCCAGTCGGGAATCCACTCCAGCTTCAGGGCCTCGTCGCTCGTGAACACCGTCTTGCCTGGTGGGGATAAATGGGCCAGTCGGAAATCGAGCAAGTGGGACACGAGCACAATACAAGTGAACACCTAATGACCATACAATTCCCCTCCCACTACAGTTTCAAAGCCCCGTCGCTGCTCGCGTATACCGACGTGGTTAGTGCGCGCAAGAAAATATGACGATTCGAGCTTGTCCACACTCTTGAAGCGAGCTTACGAATCGAGACAAACGGAAAGGGGAAGAAGAGCATGTTCAAGGGATGCCATGACGACGGAGCGTAAACCACAACACACAGCATATTGAAGACAACGAGCAGCCTAAAACACGCACAATCCGCCATTACGCGGGAGACTCACCGTCGACCTCGATGCCAGGGGGCACGAAGGGCGTGGAGCCGGTGGCGATGATCACGTCTCTCGCCGTCACTGTCTTCTCCGCCGCGCCCGGCTTGCCGTACTTCACCTTCTGAGGGGTCTGTTGGGCACGGCAATGGGATTAACGGGAGCGGGATAGGCCGTCAGGCCGTGAGACCAAGGTGATGTCGAACGATTGGGTGAAACCAACGGGAAAAGGTGTACAGGGTTCATGAAAAGGACGGCGATATGGACTGATTAGTAGGGTTGGCTGGAGGAGAGGAGAGCCGACGGTAGTACGTGGCACTTACGACGAGGGAGCCAAAGCCATCGAGAATGTCGACACCAATGGCCTTCATCGAGTTGGTTAGGTTGCCTCTGATTTTCGCAGCCAGGTTGTTCGCGTGATCTGCCACCGCTTGCCGGTCGTACTGCGCTGCTGCGACCTGGAGGGCGAAAGGAAGGGAGGAACGAAAATTATCCGACCGTGCTTACTGAGAGAGCTTGTATGGCAAGCTTCTTAACTTGCAAGCATGATTCAGGTTTACGAGTGATAAACTACTTGGGTCTGATTCAGTTGTACGGTACTACGTGGATGCTGACTGAATTGTGGTGATGCTTGTCCCCGAACTCGCGCACAGGACAAACGTGCAACGCTTTCTCACGCTTGGCAGACGGGTTTAACCATCAATTGTCAAGTAATATCGATCAATTGTTACCAGATATTACCTGGATACCGAGCGACTTGAGATGATGCTCGTCCTTGAGCTCGCGCATGCGACCGCTGACGGCGAGAAGCGCCTTAGACGGCACGCACCCGCGATTCACGCATGTGCCTCCCACAACGTCACCCTCGATAATGGCCGTCTTCAGGCCCTGGTAATCAAATTGTGCCAAAAAATTGAAGTGCATGAACACTAATCAGCGTTGTAAAGGGCCACGAAACATGACGCGGACATTGTTAGAAATAAAGACCTTCAAGTGACACAAGACGCACTCATTTGCGAATAAGACGTTCTAGCTATTCCTCTGTTTTGGAATCGTCAACCATACGCCTGACGAAAGGTACCTGCTCGACGGCGTGCAGAGCAGCGCCATGACCACCGACGCCAGCGCCGATAATGATAAGATCATAATCGAAAGACTCGTCCTTTGCCTGTACTACCAGACGAGACGCCGAGGCCTTTCCGGTCTTAGCACTGCGTGCCTGTGCGACGGATTTCAGGAGCGACACTCCTGCGACGCTCGACGACGAGGAAGACAAGCATCGCCAGCGCTGCTGCTGGGGAGCTGCGAGGGAGCGAGCACGCTGGCTCGAAGCTCCTGCGACAGCTTTTCGCTGGGAAAGCGCAACTGGCACGCGAGGAGCGAGTGCGACAGCCTCCATGGCTTCAGAAGCTAATCAGGAAATGGAAACTGGCTAAGTCTAGTCAGTTGAGCTGGGAGTGATCAGGCAACTGAAACCAGATTCTGTGACCAGAAAATTGAAATTGCTGGCCTGATCAGGGAGAGATACCTTGGGCTTATCTGCCAAGACGGAAATCCCAAGGTAAGTTCAAGCATCAGAGGGAGTCAGATGGAGGTTGAGCAGGGGTTGGGGAAGATGCCTCCGCGACAGTTGAAATGTGGAATTGACGGACAAGATATGCTTAGAAATTGCGACATAGCGGATGCGACGGGCAGGATTTGCCAATCGCAGTGAACCTCCAATATTTCTGACAGGAGGGATGACTGATCCTGAAGGGCCAGTCAGACGCCCACGTGGCAAGATGAGACCTGTCACTGAGCTCTTATTCTAGAGGTTGTCGCGTCACATCCAGGTCAAAGCATGCCTGATGGCCTTTCGATTGGTCTCGCGTGGAGTGAGCCGTGATCCGCAATGAGAGAATGCACACGTGGATCTGTAACATTCAAGGCAGCAATAACATCATTTTGCTGTATGCTTGCTCAAATCACCCTCATATTTGCATCCTTCCTGTGCATCTGGTTAGCTGCAACAGGTAAGCTGTATAATAGAACAACGTTGGTAAATCGCTTATAATAATGGGAAACACTGGACGCATACCGTAGCAGACATAAAAAAACACATTGGTCATCTAAAACTGACTTCTGTATCTCCTTGTAAGCAACAAGCAGCCTGATTTGATGCCTTCTTGATGCTCTTCGTACTCTTTGTGAGCACAAAGCAGATTCGCTGCTCTGTTCGGGGAACAAGGGATAGGGCAGGAGGTAAGAGAGTGTGGAAGAATGAGGAGGGAGTGCTGCAGGGGGGTTAAGGGGTGATTTCTGCAGGGGAACAAGGGGAGAATGTTGCGTTGGGGAAACGAGGGATGGCGCATGGGAAATGAGGGATGAGGGCAGGGGGGAGGTGAGGGAAAGGGGGGATGAGGGATGAGCGCACGCGAAAAGGGTGAGCACAGGGGGAATGGGGGATGGGCGCAGGGGGAAGTACAGGTGCGGGGGAAACGAGGGATACGCATAGGGGGGCAGAGGGGAAGGCAAGAGGAATGAGGGGTGACTGGTGCAGGGAGAATGAGAGTGAGAGCTGCAGAGGGAAAGAGGGTTGGGCGTTGTAACAATATACTGTGCATGTGGCGGGAACGAGGGAGAAAGGGAGGAGGGCTGAGGGTAAGGCAAGGGGAACGAGTCGTGAGTGCTGCAGGGGTAATGAAGGGTGAGCGCAGGGGGAAGGAATGAGGGATGGGGAAAGGGATGAGTGCAGGAGGGAGAGGAGGCATGAGCGCAGTGGGGATGAAGGGAGTGCACGGGGGGGATGATGGGAGCAGGGGAATGAGGGATAAGTGCCTGGGGATGAGCAGCGCGGGCGGGGGAGATGAGCGATAAATGTTGGAGGAATAAAAGCTGAGGGCGATAAGGATGAGCGCAGTGGGGAAAAGGAATCAACACAGGGGAGAAAGGGGATCAGCGGAGGGAGGAAAAGGATGAGCGCGAGGGGCGAGGCGTGAGCGAAATGGGGATGATGAGGAGAAGCGGAGCAAGGGATTATCAAGGAATGGGGTGAGGGGGGAGCGACGGGGGAATGGGGGGATATGCGGGGCGGCAAAACGGAGGGAGAAGCATTCCTTTCAAATTTTATATTCTGCGATTTTGCGAAAGCGAGGAGAGTCGGAGGAAGCGGGGTGGGAGGGGGCGAGAAGGGGGCAAGGAGAGAGAGTGTGAAGGCATGCATTCGAAAAAAAAACGAGTTTATCATTCGAATTTCGAGGTGAGACAGCATCTGGGTGCGTGATAAGAGATAGCGTCAGCGCGCATCACAGAAACATGGCGTTTCTAGGGTTTGTTGAAAAACTGGTCACGTGCGGTGGGAGATTAACGCGGAAACTGAAGTAGCGTGACATGCGCTAAATGGGTGCCTTCCGGGAACATAGTAAACCTAATCTAACCAAAATTACGAAAGTAAATCATAAGCATCCGATAGCGCGCTATTACCCAAGGTAAGATCCGAAGCGGGCGTCAAGTGCAACGCTACTATGATACGAGAACGGAAAGTTCGAATAGGGTACTACGAGCAAGCGCAAGGCCGTAGAACGTGAAGCCGCGATACCTAGTACAGGTTCTAAGATCGGAGCGAGAACCAAATAATTAGGGCGTGTGCACTAGGCGTTCGAACTTCTGTCTAAGTTCGAACTTTGAGCGAGGTTCTATTCGGTACGATACTAATAAGAGACGTTTCGCCACGGTGCAAAGCGGTTGAGGTTCGAACTCTGCCAAATTTCGCCTGTGCACACGCCCTTAGATCTGAGACAGGAGGAATTTGGTATACCGAGCAGGTGGGTGGTGCACCAACCCAAACACCTCTCGGTTTCCACTTCGCAGTGATTCTCATTCAATTTTGCTTCTCTCACGGTTTCACATTCTGATTGGTCCTTACATAATATTTCTTCCAACCTGTTCCGTTTTTAGCTGCCCAACTAGCGACCCCAGGCCTGTTACTGTGGTAAATTTAAAACATTTACAGCTTCGTGTTGTTGCCGTCCCCTAACTCACGCAAAATACTCGCTTGCCTATTACGTAACCTGCCCGGATTTTGAAACCTCGCTGAAGCAGAGACGAGCTTCCCTGCCCGTAGCTTCAACCGTAAACGAACGGAGCCACATAAACACAAACGAAGCCAAAGTAAGCACAAAGTGTTGAGGAAAAAACAAACTTGTGTATACGAGAACAGCTACAATGGGGTATGGGTGCCAACAATTTCACCCCGCCATTTGTTCTTCTGACTCCTTCCGAAGTTGAACCAAAACTTGCCGAACATCGCAAATACAATTTGGCGACCCGGCCGTCGGCCATCGCCGGATTCACGATAATCTATCAGAGCCACAAGTCCCACCTTGTCTGCCATCGGCGGATTCACTTTTGGCGGCGCCATTATCATCTTGATTCACAAACCGCACCTTGTCCACTGAGCCGCACACGCAGCACCACACAACTCGAAGTGCATAATGCACAAGTTCTTCCATGAGACCGAAACCATCACCACCCCGAGTCGGGCCGCCAAACTTGCTGCGTTGAATTTTTTGGCGGTCTCGCGCGGCCGTCGGCACGAGATTGCATCGAAGCCGTTCAGATTTAGCGGCGGCATTTGCCACCCTCGATTCCCGAACCCCATCCTTCTCAGAGATTCCAATCAACCAACTGGTTCGAACACCACAATCAAACCTTCTCCCGTCAGTTAGCTTGAGAAGCCACTATATGCCCTTTCCAGCTTCAATCAGTTGGATGATGAATTTCCGACAAAGTCTTTCTTTCATGAGGAGCACCGGAAAGCCCGAGTCAGCCCAAGGCATGCAGCAGAGCGTGTGTGCGCTCGCAGCGTCGCGCGTAGGTTCGCAGCACTAGGCGCGCAGCATCGCAGCATAGGCTCGCAGCACAGCGTCGCAGCGCAGCGTCGCAGCGCATAGTCGCATCATAGGCTAGCAGCGCACGCTTTGCTACAAGCTTTTGGCTGACTCGTGTGCCTCGATGGTGCTCCTCTCCTCGCCTCCTTTTTCCGAACGAGTCTACTAACCTCAACTTGTGTAGATCGGAACGCTGCGTAACTTGAAGACAGTCCAAGCATGCTGTTATTTTGAAGACATTTGAAGATATTTTCTCTTGAAGAAGTCAAGGCGCCGCGAGCTTCCAGGATAAGGTTTTCGTGCTTTACTGAATTTTTTTCCTATCGGCGGGCCTTATGATAATCGTTTCTATGATGTAGATCATGATCTCGTCTTTAACTCACGCTCCGACGCCGCGAGGACTTCAGAAGACTTGGAGGCTTCACAAGATCAAGACAACGCGGCGACAACGTCATCGCGTCCCGATCTGCACGTCATCGCGGCAAGGGTGAGTTTCTCTACCTATGTCGCATTTTGTGAAGAAATGAGGAATGAATGAACTAGCAAGCAGGTGGGTACAAGTAGGAAAACCTAAAAGAGTTGTACCCCATATTGTCTACCCCACTACAGCCTACACAGACTATAGCATATGAGTTTGACACACCCCCATAGGCAAAGTGGGGGAGAACAAGAGGTCACAAGACCAGTCAAGCAAAGCAAAGCAAGCTCAGGGTGGATCACAACGTCACCACACAGTCCGAGCACAAGAGCAAGGCCACAAGGCCAGTTCACATGCAAGATCATATATAAAGGTAAACAAGCAAGTGCAGGTATAGAAAGAACACAGTACAAGCAAGGTCAAGAAGTGAGCAAGTGAGGCCAAGTAGGCACAAGACCTAGCATCGTACAGAAGCGCTGATGATCACAAGGCGGAAGTGCCTTGGTAAAGATATCAGCAGTGTTGGCCTCAGAGGCCACGTAAGCAAGGCGCAGCTGACCACGCTGTTGCAGCTCACGAGCAAGGAAGTAGCGAAGAGCAATGTGCTTCGTTCTGTGCTCCAGTCTGTGCTCCCGACACAAGGTCAGCATGGCCTTGTTGTCTACGTACAGAACTGGAGGAGAACGAGGCGGCTCTCCAAGGTCAGTCAGCAGGTAGGTGAGCCAGCGTAGCTCCTATGCAGCCATGGCCCCCGCGTAGATCTCAGCCTCACAGCTGGAGCCGAGAACAGAAGACGAGCGGGTAGACCGCCACGAAACGGAGCCGGAGCCAAGGCTGAAGGTGTAACCCTGTGACGACCGCTGTAGGGAGAAGGAGCAGGAAGGGGGGAGGCGGGCTGTAACTGTGACCGCGACTGGACAGGCTGTGGACACTCTAAGGGAGGAGCAGGACCAGTAGAGGGCGGGAGACCAAGAACCTGCTCAAGGAGCGGAACGAAGTACGGCCGCGGCCGCGCAGCGCCTCCAGAACCAGCAGGGACAGCACCAGTACCCCCAGCGGCAGCACCAGCGCCAGCAGCACCTCCAGCTCCAACAGCGCCAACTCCAGCACCCTCAGAAGCACCAGCTCCAGCAGAACCACCAGCGCCAACACCCTCAGCAGCTCCAGCTCCAGCAGCTCCAGCAGCTCCAGCAGCACCAACTCCAGCATGACCGTCAGCTCCAGTACCGTCAGCAGCTCCAGCAGTACCTCCAGCAGGACTGACTCCAGCAGCCCCAGAAGCACCCCCAGTCCCAGCAGCTCCAGTACCGCCAGTACGAGCACCTCCAGGACCAGCAGCAACAGTAGTACCTCCAGCTCCAGCAGCACGACTCCAGCGGCGGGCAAACCACTCGCGCAGCTCCTGCGGAGAGAGTAGCTCCCGCCTCGACGAAGCACCGCCAGAGGCCACACGAGCAGACCCAGCACCCCCATGCTCCGCACCCCCAGGCTCCGCACCCCCAGGCTCCGTACCCCCAGGCTCAGCACCCCCAGGCTCCGCACCCCCAGGCTCAGCACCCCCAGACTCAGCACCCCCAGGCTCCGCACCCCCAGGCTCAGCACCCCCAGGCTCAGCACCCCCAAACCCGGCACCCGCAGGCTCAGCACCTCTAGCAGCACCAGAGTCAACAGCTACCTCGACAGGCTCGACTGCGTCTACCTGGGACACACCTGACGGGGCAGGACCCTGAGGGGGGAGAGGGTCTACCGGGGGAGGACCTGGCGCAAGGAAGAGCGGCGGCGGGGGGAGGGGCGTAGTGCGGTAGGGGAAGAGACGGTAGTAAGGCACCGACTCGTCAAAGGTGACGTCCTGGGAGGACAGAACACGGCGCGAGGTGGGGTGGTAAAACTGCCAACCAGGCGCGTCAGGGGGGAATCCAAGGAAGACGCAGGGAACAGCACGGGGGGACAGCTTGTCCGCAGACAAGTCGCGGACAAACGCCCGAGATCCCCAGAAACGAAACGCAGACGCATCGCCAACCTTCCCCGTCCACCGCAAGGTGGGGGAGGTCTCTGGCAGGGAGACCCGGGGCTGAAGGTTGAGCTGATGCGCTGCGTACTGAACCGCAAACGGCCACAGAAAATGGGGAGCAGCCGCATGGATCATGGACGTACGAGCGACGTCCATGACCATGCCAATGCGGCGCTCAGCAATCCCATTTTGCTGTGGAGAGGCCGGAAGCGTGAAGGTCTGGCGGATGCCCTGTGCACGACAGAAGGCTCCCAGACGGGCAAAGGAAAACTCCCCGCCTCTGTCAGAGTGCAGACGCAGAACAGGAAAGTCCGAGCCGAAACTCTTTCTCAGCTGGAGACGAGCCGCGCGGATCCAGTCGATCAACACCTCAGTGACGTCACCCTTGCTGCGCAAGGGGAACACCGTGGTGTAACGCGAGTAGTCATCAACCACCAACAGGAAGTAACGCTCGTGACCCTGGCCACGGACGCGGGCGGGGCCCCACACGTCCATGTGAAGAGTCTGCAGGGGAGCCTCTGTCGGAGGAAACTCGGAGGAGTGAGGGGCGGCGCGCTGCCGCCCCTCGACGCAGGGAACGCAGGTAGGGGCAGGCCCCGGAGGGAGGGGAGGGAGGGACCGGGGGAGACCAGAGACAAGGACACGGGAGGCCATGCCTCGGAGACGAGGCAGGGAGGGGTGGCCAAGGCGGTGGTGCCAAAGGAGAGTCTGGTGGGACAAGAGACGATACGAGCAGGGAGCAGACTCAGGACCAGACCTGGACGCTGCAGCAAACACCTGACTCGACGCAGCTACCTGACCAGACTCAGCAACCGGAGGAGACTCAGTAGTCAGTGTGTACAGGCTCGACCCCGGCCGACGGGTAAACGTGGCCAAGTGTCGGCCCGTCCGAGCACACATGCAGT